ATCAAAGGATGCAAGCTGCTGATTGTTTGGTGAATATGCTACACAAGATATAAAGCTAGAGTGGCCATAAAAAGTATTCATGAGTTGTCCTGATCTTGCATCCCAAAGCCGAACTGTTCTGTCGCGACTGCAAGTAGCTATCTGTTCTCCATTTGGTGAGTACTTCAAGTCATTGATATAATTGGAGTGACCTTGAAGAGTATGGATGATATTCCCTGTTTGAATATCCCATTGGTATACCATCGATAGGTCGATTGAAGCAGCGAATTTCCCGTAAGGTGAGCACTGAATGCCATCGACTCTGTACTTATGCCTCAACTCACACTTCTTTTGACCAGATCCAACATCCCACACATGCAGATAATCATTATAGGTACAACGGGATATAATTTCCTGGCCAGTAGGTGAATACACAATTTGCTCAATCCAATCCTCATGGTCCATCTGCATCAGCTGCTGCCCCGATATCGCATCCCACAGCCGTACTGTCTTGTCATCACTGCTAGTTGCAATCTGAAGTCCATCAGGCGAGTATGCCACACTCTTTACACGGCCTGTATGGCCCTCTAATATGTATCTGAGCATGCCTGATTGAATGTCCCACACCAACACCGACTTATCATCGCTAGCTGAGGCAAGGTGCTTTCCATCTGGCGAGTACACTACGCAGTTCACTAGATTTGTATGGCCCTCCAATCGGTGAACTAATATTCCTGAGGCTACATTCCAAATTAAAACAGCAGACTGCGGAGAACCCCAAGAGGCGATATATCGACTGTCTGGCGAGTATAAAAGCCTGCCGCCAATCTCAGCGTCCTCTAGAGCCAAATACTTCTCCCATGTTAATGCATCATGCACAATGATCGAATAACCACCTGCTCCATTTCCGATAACTGCAGCGAGTGTCTTGCCATCAGGCGAGTATGATCCATAGCGTACAGCGCCACTTGCCTCAAGAAGTGGCCATTCTCCAAACTGAACACCTGCCATCTTTGCTCCACTCATGTCTGTTTCACGAAGCCAACAGTTCCGTAAATTGACCTTCCTCAAATCTGCTCCTTGTAGCTGAGCATACTCAAATATACCATGACTGAGATCTGCTCCTGGGATCTGGATGCCTCGCAAGTCTGCTTCGGTAAATGACTCGCCTGCTCGCACCAAGATCGTCATCGCATTGGCTGCTGCTATCCGCCACTTGCTATCGCTCTTCGAGAGCTCCACATATGTATGCAGCTGCCGTTTGAATATCGGCTCGAGACGGACACGGTCCTCTAAGAAATGAAGGATAGATGGTTCCTCTACAAAGCTTCTCCATACTAAAGGTGATGCCTCATCAACTTTGACTGACTCGACCCCTTGCTCGCCTTCATCAATATCCATGCCTTCGAAACTATACATTGAGCTAATACTTTGTCGACGAAGAGCTGAAGTTGGCACTTTTGACTCTTCATACCTTACAGAAGTGCTCATTGCTGATTGCGGCTCAAATACCGCTCGTGCCAGACTGTACTCTAGAAGTGAGCGATGCATAAACCAGTGCTGATTGCCTGTACGAGTAAGTGGAGAAGCCTCGCGCAGAAGGTCCCTTCCACCTTCTTTGCTAAAGTACCTTTCTTTCCATGTATCTTTGTCCTTCGATGATGAGTAGTCCACCACTGGATTGCCATCTTGATGTTTGTAGATTGCTATGGCTAGCTCGGTCAAATACCTGATCCCATTCTGCGCAAATCCCTCATCCAATAGCTTGTGGTACATTCTTTTGTTTTCCGATCCTATTGCATCGCTTAGTCGCTTCTTGCCTCGTTCTAGCCACTGCTCTACGAACTGGTCATACAGTGTGACGCGTTTGATCTTGGTGTTGGAAACTCCTTGGTCTGGATCTACCATTCGTGGGAGTACTTCTAGCGACATCGATAGCATGAATGGGTTCTTCACAAGGTCTTGGAGACTAGGGACCTGTTTGAGCGCACGTCGATAGCCCTCCACATGCCACAGTGGATCCATGACATCGACATATTGTTCGATGTAGTCGTCGATCTGAGCCTCAGAGAATGGCATGATCACAGCTTCTTCAAACAATCCACCATCTGCTCGGTGATTGCGGTTCATAGGTTGAAATCGATCTCGATAGTCTAAACCAAGATACTCGCTGCGGCAGCTGATCACCATCTGAGCCATCCACTCTCCAGGCTTATTCAGTTGGTTGGAGACATACAGATTGGTGGTCTGCATACTCTCATCATATCCATCACAGATCAGGATGAATGACCGACTCTTCTTCAGCTCCTTGATCTGTGAGTCTGTAAAGTCGTAGTGTCGCAGCTGCTTTGCAACCAGATCCTTTTCTGGCTTGTCAATGGCTGGGAGATTGATAAACAGTGGGATCCGACCATGTCTCTTTTGGTATGCGTCCCAGAGTGTACGCTCTAGTGTACGATTGAATGTGGACTTGCCTGCTCCTGAGTCTCCTTGGACAAGTAGCACTTTCTGGTCACTATCCAGGAACTCTTTCACCTTGTCCATCAGCGAGAACAGCTTGTCATCGTTTGCTTGAGGACTTGCCTTAGCATATTGTTGAATGTAGAATCCTTGGCTAACCCTCTCGCCCGCCCGCTGTTCCTTTAGTTTGCACAGACTGCCCTCGATACCTGATCTCTCCTGTGCATGATCAAATAGAGGGGAAGATGAAGCTGGAGATAGTGTGGCAATGATGGAGTGCTTGACTGCTCTTTCATGGAGACACTCTTTGTATAGTTCTTGCTCCTTGATGCCTCCATCTGCCTCGAGATCATCTAAGAGAGCAATTGCAGCTGGAAAGAGAAGAGAAAAATAAATTTGTATGAGTTAAGCGGATTAATCATTATATACTGAGTGTTGCCGTCATCATCAAACATATCCACGGGATAAGAGAGAAAATGTGCACCTTGTAGACCGTCCAGTGATATTGAGGATAGCGTCCCTAGGATATTTATGACCCACTGTTTGATATGTGCATGGCCACCCCACTCCCGATCATTCTTGTACATCTCTCCTAGCAATGTGATGGCATCCTGTCGAGTATCCATGGTCCACTGTGTATCTGCTGCAATCTGTCCCAGTCTCTGGCTTAGTCCCCATTGGAATGCTGCATCATTGCGGCAGGATACTCCACACACAAGGACCTTGAGCTTGGTGAAATCGCGTCTCTGGAGTAGTGCATCAGCTCCACGCAGTGCTGGATACCATCCTGACTTGTGACTAAAGCTGAGCCCTTCTTCCATACACTGTCTGAATGCCAATCCACTCTCATATAGTGGGGTATGTACTTCCATGCTCTTATCAATGGTGCCTATCACAGAAGGAAGTCCTCTCTGGATATTGCTTATCTCATCCATGAAGGCATTCAGATCAAAGCCTTTGACTGCACTCACTACTCCAAACACTCCTCGAACCACTGTTGATGTCCGTCGAAGCATGCCTTGCATTGTTGATTCGTCGTCAGGTATATACTGTAAGGCTTGAAAGGCATAAGCTGCTTGATAGACTAGATGAGGATCTGAGCTGTCTTTTAGTCTCTGGAGGTATACAGCAAGTGGTTCATGGAGCTGCTCTCGCTTCAGACTTTTGACTTGGTTGTTGACCATGGCATCAAGGACATGTGAGACTGTAGCTGACAGACGATAGAGATGTTCGGTAGATTGGCTGTGAATGACTTGCAAGTGAGGACTGAGAGTGTTGAGGATGGTTACAAGGTCATCCGAGTCGAGATATCCAGGAGGAGCATGCTGCATCAATTTAGCCAATCCTTCTAACAGGTGAGTCTCCAACATAATGTTCTGGCTGATCCCATTGATCAAAGCCTTGAGCAGTGTTCTGAATTGTGCTTGATCGAGGACTGGGGAGAGAGCCACAACCTCAGTGACAGATATCTCGGACTTGATCTCATCATTGATGAACGTCTCGATTACATCCGATGCTAGTTTACATAGTCGTTCATACTCATCTTGATCGTTCGATATAGCCTGGCGCCAGTCCTTTTCATGGTCATTGAGGTCATTTGTTTGGATAGGAGCAGTAGGGAGCAGAGAAAGACAATACACGAGCTGGTGGATATCATTCAAGTGAGTACCGGCATCTGGTAAGCTGTACCTGATGGCTGTCGGAGGCTCATTGTGATTGAATATGTCCTTTGAAATAGTTGCAATGGTCTGTACTGATGCTGCTGTAACCATTCTATTCGATCTGCTGCTAGTGGCCCCAGTTTTTTCAAGCTTGATAATGTTATTGTTATTGTTGCTAACACTGCTATTGTCGGTATTATCGATGCTCCCCGGAGCGTATCCCCATTTCTCTGCTTTCTTATCACGTCTTTGAGCAACATCTGAGTGACCTAACTGTTCAAATAAACGAGCGATCTTATAGTAGGCTGAAGCAATATCATGAGGCGATGCTGTGTCTTCATTACAAGTTGAGGTGGAAGAGGTGAGGGGCCTTCTCGCAGGCCACTGGATCCGCGAGAGCACAAAGTCAGCATCGAGACAGAGCTCCATGACGATGTCCTTATCGTCATCTATGGTACAAGCACCCTTCATGTAGAAATTAAAGAGTCTCAGAGCCTGAGCTGGCAAAAGTGTACTCCGTGGTGGAGTATCCATAGTGCTAAACATGATTTATTGTTTTCCTTCTTGGATCGAAGGCTGTTTATTTCATAGGTTTTATTTCACAATATGAGTTAGTAGCGATCTTTTTGTGGGTTCCAGAAGGGGTGTGTGCCTGTCCCTTACATGTATGAGTGTATGACTCAGGGGTTATGTAGCTCTTATGTTGGAGGAAAAGAAGAGGAAGAAAGAAGAAAGGAAAAGGAAAATCAATTAAAACATGCGCCTCTTCCGTGAAACTATTCGACACCATGCATGGGTATGGACTTACACGTGCTACTCACGTGCACTGAGCATTTCATTTATGAGTTTTAAATTTTAATTGAGAAACATGGCTCGTGCCTCTATTATTATTATTATTTTTTTTTTTCTCTTGATCTATCTATGCTCATTAGTGTCCATATTGTTGCTGTTGTTGATCCTGGACATCTACAGGCTGACGGCGTTGTTGTTGTTGTTTCTTTGTCGAATCATTTGATTCATCTGATACCAACGATTGCTCTTCTTCTTCCTTTGGGGTGTCCACGGTTGAATCAGTGTAAACTTCATTTTCCTGCTCGATATCAGAGTCAAGGCCTTCAAGCTCGTAAGCGAGTTTACGGATCTCTCGTCTATAGGTATTCAGTCCGTTAGAGGACATTCGCTCAATGCTCTGTCTTTTGGCCTCTTCGCTAGAAATGTGTCCATTGAATGAATGTGATTCAAGAAGCTGTAGAATTTTGGGATAAACATATTTCTCCAAGCCATCCGCCCAAAGGAAGTCTAGTATTTATTTGTATGCATCCACATTATTCACAAAAAAAAAAAAAAAAAAAAAAAAAAAAAAGTCAGTAAGCTGATATCAAAAAAATGCGGTCAACAGCTGAATTTGTATCATGCTCCTTTCACATACCCAGATGCTCGTAGTTAGGGACTTCCCAGATGCCCACCAATTCGGGAAGATCAGACAGGAGAGCTTTCACGTCGACAAGGGTGTCACTTCCTCCGTAGAAAATGGCGATAGGTGTGGTGATTTGATTTGTTGGGAAGGGATGGGGGCAATGACTCCGAGTTGAAGAAAGATAAGGAACCCTGGGTAACACATCATCGTACATTTGAAAAACTTGAGTTCTAATGATTTGGAACCAGTGCTAGAGGGTAAACAAATAATAATGATGATATTGATAAAAAAAAAAAAAAAAAAAAAAAAAAAGTAAATCATGGGTATATATGGTCAACGAATGCGGTCGAAATACATAAAGAAAGAGCTATAGTATAGTGTAGGAAGAACTTACCACAAGGATCCTAACACTGGTGAAACTGTAGAGATGTTGATACGAAACTGCTTTTTGCACACGGCTCATTGAAGTACAATTCCATCCAAAGAGGAACTTGACGGCCCAATCAATCACAACGGCATAGGCTGTTGGATGCAAAAGATTCTGCCAGAATAGGGCTGCTGTTAGAGGGGTCTTTCGACCAAAGAGCAGATAGATGACATTGGGTGCGGCCTTGACAATCGAGTTGACGAGTCCATTATCGAGTCCAGGTGGAGTTGTTGCAGGGGCAAGGGCAATGAATAGGGAAATTTTGTCATTAAGTGAGGGGTTGATAGAGAGTGAAGCGAATGCTTGAGCAGTTCCTTGTGAAAATCCAATGTAAACCAATGAGGGTGCTCCTGTTCTGGCGAGGATGTACTAATGGCAGATAGAAAGTATATAGAATAGAGTATTTGGTCTGTTACTCCAACTAGATCTGTAGTAGTATAGCAATATAGCAAGACTAAAAGAGGACTTTTTTCTTTTTCAGCTTACGTCAACCGTATCTGGCATATCAAACATTGCAAGTTCATCCATGCCAAACTCCCAAAATTTGTTTTCGTGCGGTTTGAGGAACATGTGTTTAAGTGAATATTTGTTGCCACGGGCATTGCCCAACCAGACGTCATATCTATTTAGTTGGTTGAATGACAAAAAAAAAACCTTTTCTGTGAGCAAAGCAAACATTACAAAACACTGAACAGGTATTATATATATATATATATATATTATATAGATATTTTACCCTGCTTCTGCTAAGACAAAGGCCAAGTTTCTCTCTTCATCCAAGTTACAGAGCCAGACTTCGGAGCACATCATGAACCCGTGGTAGAGTAGGACGACGGGTTTGATGTAGTCGTTTTTCTTTGATTTCCTTCTGGGATGAGTATCAAGATCAGCCTCCAGATTCTCTTCTTGATCCCGTCTGCTCCTCTTGCTCCTTTCAAGGTGTGCCTCTTTTGTTTCTGCAGCCAGGGGAACACCATGTTTCTTTAAAAACTTTACAATGTCCTCCGGAGGATCTGGAACAACACCTTTGGCGGAGATTTGCTCACGACCATGTGTAATTCTGTGGATACCCAACAGATAGTTATCCTGTGTCCGCACAAGATGCTCTTGGACCGGGTAGTTCCTGGGAGAAGGTGAAGAAGAAGGGGAAAAAAATAAGAAATAAAATAAATATGGAAAATGGTCAATTGTCCTGTCAGGTCTCACTTTGAAATGTCTCTCGTCTAAAATATCAAGGCACATCATGTCCTTACCAGAACCGAAGCATTTCTTGCACATTGGCTGCACTTTCGAGTGGGGGTGCTTTTGATGATATGTAGTTGGTAACAATCCATGGGAATAACCTGCTCATTGTGGAGAGAGGTCATATATGTATAAAGAAATGAAAGAAAAGAGTGATATGATCATGGTGAGTTGAAGTTTGACTGACTGACTGACTGACTGACTAAATGAATGAATGAATGAATGAATGAATGGAAGAATGAATGAATACATATGTGTGTGTGTGTGTGTGTGTGTGTGTGTGTGTGTGTGTGATGAGAAAGAAGTAATGACATACTTCTCAAGAAAGGCTTTAAGGGCATCAAGAATGAATCCGGGGATGAGGAAGGCGACCATGCGACAGCATGTCTCGATGCCGAGGATGACAAAGGTCAGGGTGATGGACGAGTAGTCGCTCAGACTGAGCCGGGAGACAATTGGGATATGAACCATTGTTGTTTCCTCGGATGTCTTTTGCTGTCGAGCGAGTAGATATTGGTGTATAAGGTGTATGTTGTACAAATATATAAAAGATGGAATGAATGTAGTGTAATGTAATAAAGAGCAAGTGAAAGTGAAAGTGAAGAAGCAAATGCCCTTGTATGAATAAGATTGGATGTTAAAGAATTAAAAAAAGTTGAAAGGGAAAGCAAAAAGAGGAGTTCCTCCACAGCCATGTCCTAATATTTATATTTTACAAAAGCGATGGATGGTCAAGGGCAATGCAAGGGCACACAGACACAGGGCACAGACAAGGGGTACAAAAGATACAATACAAAAATGTCTTTCATGTGAGTTGAATGAGCTATCTCACAAATCACACCACTTATCAAATATATGTACATTTATTTTTTATTTCGATCAAGTTTTGGTAAATGCTTATTACTGGCAACTTGGCTATCGCGGACTTGAATGAATGACGCTACCATGAAAGCCTCAAGGCGAAGCAATTTGTCAATTGCAAAGGAAAACAAAAAAAAAAAAAACTTTCTTTTAAATGCAGTCGATTGTAACTAAAACCATCAGGAATGCTGTAAAAGGTCTTTTAGCCGGACACGGGCGATACATTCTCCATTTGGAAGGTCCGCAACAGCTGCGCTGCACAGCAAACTAAAAAAAGAAATACGAACATATATATATATATTACCAAGATCAATCATGTCATTCCTTCCCTCTTCCCTACTCTTTCTCGCGCTTTCCCTTCTTTCCCTTTCTCCTTCTCTTCTTCTTTTTCTTCTTCTTCTTCTTCGTTCCTCCACTCAATTAATACACCGCATTAAGCCTATTCTTTGCAACTTTTGGTCCAACATGTCTATAACAACCTCACCCAAGAACCAGGCAGCATTGCCTCCCACCGGTATCAACCTCTACTCCCGCTTTGCTCTAGCCGGTGCCATCTGCTGTGGAGTTACTCATGGCGCATTAACTCCTGTTGGTAAAACTTCATAATGATTTGTTTAGATGCCCTATTATATTCTTTATTCCCCACTTCAGCATCTGTATCACATATACACCCAACATCTCTGTCAACAGACAACTAAACTATGAGGGTATCTCTGCCAAGAAAAAAAGCTGATCATGCGAAATATCTGCTTGGGCTTTTGTAGATGTGGTAAAGACTCGCATTCAGCTCGATAACAAGAAATTTAACAAGGTAAAAAAAAAAAAAAAAAAAAAAAAGAGTAAAGGGAAACCAATACAGAATTTGATGAATGTCGCCATAAATGATGTCATGTTCATAGAATTTTTTTTTTTTTTTTTTTTTTTTTGGAAACAAAGGGTATGGTAGGGACATTTCGTCAGATTATCAAAATGGAGGGTGCTGGGGCTCTCATGACCGGTTTCGGGCCTACTTTTGTCGGATACTTTATACAGGGCGGGTTCAAATTTGGTGGTTATGAGTTTTGGAAAAAGACCTTGAGCGAATATGTGGGTCATGAGAGCGCTGTCCGCAACCGAACGGCGATTTATTTGATCGCAGGTGGTATTGCAGAGTTCATTGCCGATATCGCGCTCTGTCCACTCGAGGCCACCCGTATCCGTCTAGTTTCTCAACCTGGTTTTGCTTCAGGTCTTGTCTCTGGCTTCCATCGTATCCGTGTAGAGGAAGGTGTGCGCAATGGATTTTATTCAGGGTTTGGACCCATTGTCTTTAAGCAGGTTCCATACACAATGGCCAAATTTGTGGTCTTTGAAAAGGCTTTAGAAGGAATTTTGAAATCTATGGGTGATCCAGATCCAAAGACGGTTGCACCTTTGACCATGACAGGAATCAACTTGGCATCAGGCTTGATTGCTGGAACTGCTGCAGCAGTCGTTTCACAACCAGCTGATACATTGCTCTCCAAGATCAACAAGACTTCAGGTTCAGGATCACCAATGGCTCGTCTGGCTATTCTGGCAAAGGAATTGGGTTTGCGTGGTTTATTCTTGGGCCTAGGTCCCCGTATTGTTCTGGTTGGCACCCTCACATCCCTTCAATTTGGAATCTATGGCAGTCTCAAAAACCTCTTTGGTGCTACCGGTGCAGAGATTCGCAAAGCGTGAAGACTGATACTTTGTATTGTCCTGTATATATATATATATATATGTGTGTATATATTTATTTATATACTTTGTTTGTAGTAATCTGAGAATTATCAAGATTGTTATTATTTTCCCAAACTTTTTTTACATTGCTGAATCACCTTTCAATTTTAAATACACGTGGTTTATTATTCAGTCAATGAAAAAAAAAAAAAAAAAAGTAAATAAGTAAATGATGCCATGCTTGCTGTGCTTTTTTTTTTTTTTTTTTTTTTTTTTTCATTTTATTTTAAAAGACCTCTCTCAAACTTGGTCAATTGTGTTGGCGCGAAGACGCTGGTTTTCGCGTTCTAGTTCCTTGATTTGGCTTTCCAATTGAACGATTCGAGCCTGACTGTGCTCTGCAGTCTCGATCGCCACCGCACCCGTGAGCTTGACAATACGCCAGAGACGGAAGATGATCAACAGCGCTCCCAATTCTTGTTCTGCACCCGTCAAGAAGACCTCGAGGAAGAAGGAGATGAAGATAATAATGGCATCCGCCAGATGCAACAGACCGAACGGACTGTTGATCCAAAAGTAATCCAGACCAAAAGCAAAGACCTTGAGCAAGATTTCAACCACAAAGAAGGTCACGATCCCCAAGGATATATGGGCAAAGATCTCGAGGACCTGATGAGCATCTTTACTATTGTCCAGTCCCAACAATGTGGCAGCAATCTGAAGGATGACCAGGATGATGTCAAGGATGGTGAGGGAAACGATCAAGACATGAGCCCGTTTGGACTCGATGACCTCCCCAACCTCGAGACGCGTCCTCCTGTAGTTTGAGGCTGCATCATCATTGTTGTCCTCATGGTTGTTGGCAGGCGCGACATTTTGCTCAGGGTCTTCAGTGGGGATTGCCCCATAGGAGGACTGTTGTGCCATGGTCTGAAATGTGAATGAGATGTTGGGGGAGGATGAGGGAAAGGTGGACCTGAAAAAGAAAAAAAAAAAAAAAGATGTGGTTGCAGCCTTTTTCCTTTTTCCTTTTCCTCCCTTTTCTCCTTTCCTTTTCTCCTTTTCTCGAGGGGAACATTGTGTTTGTTCAGGAGTGCGCCACCAAAATGGTAGTCACCCCTTAATAAGCTACTTGCACTGCTGTATTTGTTTGCTGCCCTTAAAGCAGTCACTTTTTTTTTTTTTTTTTTTTTAATATATACAAAAAATACTACCGTATTTATAAATGTATCATTTTACCCTTCTCATTTATTATTCATTCATTCCGTCCAATAACGACAACAACAGCAAAAACAACAACGGCGACAAAGAACATCATTGAAAAAGAAGATTATTAACAGAAAGGCAACAGGAGTTTTTTTATTATTGTTATTATTATTATTGTTATTTCCTAGACAACATGGTGCGTTTTTTTTTTTTATTTACAAATACAAAAGGACAGCAATGAATCCCTCCAAAAGTTCATCCCCTAACTTCTTTATCTCCTTTTATTCTTTCTTTTTTGTTTTGTTTATTTTTTCTTTTCTCATCCCCTATGAACAGGGCAAGACCAAGACTACAAAGAAATTTGCGCTTGTCAAGCGTATGATCAACCCTAATGATGCACGTCTTAAAGCAAACCAGGAGAAATTAAAGAAAAAAGAAGAGGAGAAGGAGAAAAAGGCTGTCAGGCACATGTAAGTTTTTTTTGTTCTCTTACGCTAAAAGTTATCTTTACAATGCTCTGTCTCTTTTCAAAAAAAAAAAAAAAAAAAAAAAAAAAAAAAGAGTTGCTTGAATATCCTCTCTTCTAACCCCCGTTTCATTGCATTTCTTATTTCTCATTTTATTTTATTACTTATTTATCTAGTCCTCAAGTCGCATCATCCTTGTTCTTCAACTACAATTCAGCATTAGGACCACCATACAGGGTCTTGGTCGATACCAACTTTATCAACTTCTCAATTCAAAACAAGATCGAACTGGTCAAGGGCATGATGGATTGTCTCTATGCTAAATCCATCCCCTGTATTACCGATTGTGTCATGGCAGAGTTGGAGAAGTTGGGCCCTAAATTCAAAGTGGCCCTTAGGGTGGCTCGTGATCCAAGATTCGAACGTTTACCCTGTACTCACAAAGGAACTTATGCTGATGATTGTCTTGTCGAACGTGTGATGCAACACAAATGCTTTATCGTCGCCACATGTGATCGTGATCTCAAACGGAGGATAAGAAAGATCCCCGGTATCCCCATCATGTATCTATCCCAACGCAAGTATACAATCGAGCGCTTGCCAGAGGCCTATGGCGCTCCCACCAATTAATCATACCATTTTATATTCTAGCATTTTCATTTCATTTCATTTCTTTTCTTTTCTTTTCTTTTCTTTTCTTTTCTTTTCTTTTCTTTTCTTTTCTTTTCTTTTCTTTTCTTTTACTATACTCTCTGCATTTTTCTCATAATAAAAGTTGAAAAGAAAAGAAGAGAAAAAATAAATAAATAAAAAATAAAAAAAGAGAAAAGAAGATTGAAAAAAAAAAAAAAAAAAAAAAAAAAAGTGCCTACAAAGGCATGTGTATGTTCTTTAGAATGTATTGTACATAGTGTTCACTAATGTCAAGGAAATGTGAAAAGTGAAAAGGAAAAATGGGGAAAGAAAGAAAGAAAGAAAGAGTAGTAACGTATACATGTTGAATGGTAGGTAGTGGTATTGGTGCTAGAGGATTTTATATCGAGGATATATATAAATAAAAAAAAGTTTTTTTTTATCTTGTGTGTTGCCAAATTCAACCCTCAGAAGCATTCGCCTCGGTTGTATCGCATTTGCTTGTCATCATTCTCTTTCAAGAAGGCTAAAAGTCGCTTCTTGTGGATCATACCATAAAGTTGTCCAGCCTTGACTACACATACATACTTGATGCCCAACTTGATGAATAGTTCCATAACCAAGTCCATCGATGAAAACAAGCTGACTGCTAATGGGGCCTTTTGAGAAAAAAGAAAGAAAGAAAAAACAAAATTAGAATGAAGCGGAGTAAATTATCTCTCCTTCCTTCCATTACTATCGAATCATAAAAAAAAAAAAAAAAAAAAAAAAAAAAAGCAAAGCAAAACTCTCTTACTTGATCAGTGAAAGGCGTAAAGTCCATAGTGTGTGCTGGATCACTCAAAAGGGCCACTGTTCCCGTGCTACCGATACGATCACGTCGCGCATCAAGATGAGGACGGTCACTTTCTCCATCTGCCAAGTACTCTGCTGATAGACCACTGTCGGTTCTGGAACCAAGTAAACTCTTGCTGTCTGAACGTAAAATCTGCTCCAGGCTGTCCTTGCTCCTACTATAGAAACGTCCAGAAGATGCAAGGTTGCCTGGCCTAATCGGCCTATCATGGCCCTGCATATCATTATCAAAACTAGAGTCATCATAGCTTGGATGGATCTGTCGGTCTTGTCGCCAATCCTGTGATTGTGATTTGGATGAAAGTGGAGAAGTACTTCCACTTCCAGATCGCGCTTCCAGATCTGTCAAAGAGGTGATAATCTCCGCTGCAGGGACATTTGAAGAAGCACGGTTCCTGAAGATGCAGATACATTCTGGATGTTTTTCTTCCGCCAGGTCCAAAGCATGTCCTAGCTCGTTAGAAGCTATATAACCGACCAAAAGACCTCGATCTACGATCGCAAGACCTCCATCGGAATATCCCGAGGCGGCAAGGAATTCAACCTTGCGTCTCAATGAAGCTACATCATTAACAACATTCACGTCAATGGTCTCTACAAATCGATCCGCAATATCAGCGGCTGATCCACATGTGTTGTAATCCTTCTTATTGTCGAGGTAAGGATGCTCATTCAGAGCAATCAGCTTATTGAAGAACGCATCGGGTGAAAATGCATCCCCAACAAATTTACCAATCATGACAGCCATCATAATAGGTAACGAGTATGTCATCGCTCCTGTCAACTCAAACATGATGACGACCAAGGATACGGTCATGCGAGTGACGCCTGATAAGCATGCTGCAGCCCCAATCATCGCATACAGGCCTGGAATAATGCAGTCCATACTATCACCGTTGCAAACCTGGAAAACTTGGTGCTCGGGATATTTGCTATAAAGGTTCACCAGATCATGCCGTTGAGCAAGATGGTGAGCATAAAGATGCATGGCCGACTGGGCATTCTTCTCTTTTTCTTTTTTGTTCAATAGATATGTTGTAAGAAAAAATAAAATAAAATAAAATAAAAAGGATACTTACGCAATCAACCACTGCACACCTAGTCCGACCATACGTCCGAATACAGCCCCGGCGACCATGGTAGGGATAAAAATCCCTCCAGGAACCTTGACTCCGAATGTAATGAAATTAAGGACAACCTTCATCACGAATACTTGTGCCAGGAGTAAAAAGATTGGGTAAATCTGCTCAATCTCAACACTAACGTAAATAGTAATTTTAGAGCAACGATTACTTCCCTGTAAACAGTATCTTTTTTTTTTTTTTTTTTTTTTTTTTTACAAGGTTGTGTAACAAACACCTCCAGACTATAAAAAAAAAAAAAAAAAAAAATACTTACGCGCACATTCCATTCAGATGATTATCGGCCGTGCACTCGCTATATAAATTAGTCAGGAGTTGCAAAAGATTGACCCGAGTCCAAGGGTTGAGCCACTGGACCGCACAAGTGATGAGGGCAACGACCAGGACTTCCTGCACTGGATGGCGACCAATGTACGTCCGAGATCGGAACCGAGAGTACGACATGTGGAACTGAGAGAAAAGTGCTCCATAGACGCCCTTTTTTAAAAAAAATAAAATAAATAAAAAAAATAAAAAAATAAAAACAAAAGAGATATCAATGAAGTTATCGTTTCATGTTTAGTGTTAAAATATATATCCCACAAAGAAGCATTGTAGCAAATGAGCCTCCATTAAAATGATAGACAAATAAATAAAAGCCCTTTCAATAATTGTATTATTGATAATTCTTACCCCGAATACACTGATAAAAAAGAATGGGACAGCTTCAAAGAGATGCCAATCTCTGTTGTAAGTAACCTGGAAGAGAACTGCTTTCCCAATGCGATATGGATTGATCATCTATTATTGACAGGTTGATATAGACATCTCAGTTTTTTTTTATTTTTTTTTTATTTTTTTATTTTTTTTTATCTCAAGAGGTCATTTGTCTCAAGCAATGATCAGAAAAATAGTAGTGGTATTTACCTTCAACACAACAGCAGATGTCAATGCACAGAAATAGGTCCGCCACATGGTCTTGCTTGGGAAGTAGTAAGAAACCTCCTCGAGTGAGAACAAGACGCCACCAATAGGAGCACCGAAGGCGACTGCAACTCCTGATGCAGCAGCAGCAGATAAAATCTCCCTGCGTTTTCCTGTCGAGAATATGAGCACATAGATGTTTGTGTGAGTTGAATGAAAATGAACCGTCATTGGGGGGGTTTTTATTTTTTGAGAAAAAAAAAAAAAAAAAAAAAGACAGTCGAGATGAGCTACTTACCGTCATTACGATTGTATTTGTCAAAGATACGGCATACAATGTTTGCAACACAGCAAGCGATATGGACAAGTGGGCCTTGTTTTCCCATATTGAGTCCTGAAGCTACCATCAGGGGCTAGATGAATATGCATCGCCAGAATGAGTATTAATTTTGGATAATTAATAAAATGGATTTTTTTATAGTCATAAACAGTGATTTAAAACGAAAAAAAAAAAAAAAAAAAAAAAAAAGGACGACATTCACTTACCAGTCCAATCAACTTAATCATCAAAGTCCTAAATCCCAAGAACCCTCGAATGACAAATCCGCCGAGGATAGTTTTGACCTCTGGAATACCAGATCCGGCACCAAAGTAGGCAATTTTCTTTGGTTGTGATGCATCCAAAATCGATTGAACGGAGTTTCTGTGAGCAGAACTGACAAAGCCTCCATTATTGGGCACACTACGTCTTTTTGTTGCTCCATGAGATCGTTGCTGTGATACGGTCCCATCAGAGGTCACCATCACTACACAAACGCCAGCAAACAAGACCTATGTATTCGATCATTCATTAGTTTTTTTTTTTTTTTTTTTTTTTTTTTCTTCAAATCCTGTCCCCCAAATAATGGGGCCTTATATATCACAAACAACTTACACCAAATAAGCAATAGATAATCCAGTCAAAGGTGTCGTTTGAAACTCTCATATTAAGTTCGCCAGGTGCAAGCGCCTTTGACCAGGAGACCCACTCTGGACATGTCCCAGCAGCTAATATTGCAGTCAATATTGCAGTCAATGAGATGGATCATCATTAAAAGTAAAAATAAATTAATATGAAAAAGGGAGGAAAAAAAAAAAGTTGAACAACACATATTCTATATATATGTATATATATATTTTCATCTCTTCTCAAAGCAATCATTGTATCTAGCAACTTACAGTTTTTAGAGTTCCAGCAGCAAAAGTATTGGCTCCACCAAAAGTTGGTGGTACAATAGCCCATGCGCAAATCGCCCAACCACCAACTGAAGACATCAATAAAAGCTGCCAGACATGCTGTGATGAGGCCTAAAGTAGATAAATAAATAAATAGATATTAGATAATAAATAAAATGAATGCACAATTGCGGAGATTAGTTACCAAAGCCGTCCATCAGCATCAGCATCAGCATCAGCATCAGCATCAGCACCATCCATCAGTATCAGTATCCAGAAATGATGTGATGATGTGATGATGTGATATGGTGTGCTTTTGTTCATTTTTAATCAGATTTAAAGTGTAAAAATAAAATAAAAATAAGGTTGCATTAAATAAGATCTAATAGATCCCACGTGCATGTGGAGGAACAAGAGGCTTTGCTGAAAGATAAGCTGCTGCGGCGAAAATTGGTAGTTCCTCCTCCTCATTTACATTTGCACAAACAATCAAAACAGATACATTGCATGTGTTGCAGCTATAATTTCTTACCTGTTAAGAGCACAAGTATCCAACCTTTCAGGCCATCTGCTCTGTTTTTGATCACTCCACGTATGCCACCAATCGATCGTAAATGTCTTAAGCGGACGCGTTCCTTCACAAAGTCATGAATCCAATCTTTTATAAATCCACAATAAAAGTTGAAATGGACGTAAAATAAAAAAAGGTTAGAATAAGTAATGAAGCAGAAAAATGCCATGTCAATTTAGCCCACGAAAAAAAAAAAAAAAAAAAAAAAAAAAAAAAGAGCGTCATTGATTGAGCGCAACTTACCAATGGTGGTATAATTGTGATACCAAACACGAATACCATTGTTTTCCTTAACGAGAGCCTCTTTGGCATCATCATAAAACATACTTCGGCGTGGAAGCAATTTATCTCGAACCCTGTTGATGTTTGCCATGCTAGATCGCCGCAGATTATGGAATGGTCTACTCTGACTACGACTTCGATGGCTTCCATGAGGATAGTTTTCAAAGGCTACCTTGCCTGCAATCCGATTATCCCGTCGAGATTCCATTGTGGGTGAGAGCGATCTAGCCCTTTAGTGCATTGAGCAACATTAAATAAAATAAAGAGTAGCCCATCAATCAGTAAATGAATGCACGAACAAGCAAAATTTTTTGATGGCATCATATCACATCTTTCATAGACCTTGCATCTGGTCGTGTGATGATGACTTTAAAATTAAAGGCAATAAAATAAAATATGTTATACCGCCAAATCACACCATCCTGATGTTGAATGATGCATACAAAAAAAGAACAAAACCAACTAGCCCAATCCAATCCTTACCTGCTCGGTCGACGTAATGAATCCATGCCGTTTTCATCTGTCATATACTGGTCCAAGATTCCTTGTTGATTTGCGCCATCGTAGCGTGCTACCCTACGCCTAGATCCCTCGTTGGTCCATCTCTCCTCTCTATCCCCTTGTGGGTTCCTTGTCCTATTTTGGTTGTCTCGCCCTCCTCCTCCTAGCAACGCTGATGTCTCTGTCGGCTGGTCTGCACGGTCATGGTCGGGCTCTGATGTTGGAGACGTAGAAGGTGTGCGCTGTTTATTTGGACGTTGTTTGGTCGTAATAGGAGCCCCCATTTTGTATGCTGGTCGTGTACGATCGGGCACTTGCACGCGACTCTGGCTCAGGGGAGGAAGTCTTGGGGTTGACGCGGCATCAGTCGTATCGTTGAATCCGTAGTTAGAGCTAAGGGGAGCTACTGTTGTACTCAAAGAAGGGTCTTGACTACTAGTATTCGTGGCACCATAACCGCGGCTACTACGACCGTTGCTACTGCGAGTGGGCAGAATAGGGTCTTGTTGCTGTACAATATCTTTGTTGTCCTTGCTACTATCGTCGCCATTGTCATTAGCATCTTCGTCGTCATTGTCGTTGTTGTCGTTGTTATTGCCATACTCAGAGTCGTGCTCTCTACTAGCTTCGTTGTCGGAATTTGTAAAAGTGGATCCATTGAAGCTGGGTTGGTTCTCTCGTCTAATACGTCCTTGCTGTGCCTTGGATCGACCTGTGACAGCATCTAGGAAACGACTGGCAGAAGGTACAGTGGGAACAGCTGGTGAGGAAGAAGTTGGGCCTTGAGAAGGGGAAGAGACATCGGTGACCCAGCTGTGATAATCAGGGGAGAGGTGAGTGGAGAGAGAGCGACGGGGCTGGTTAGGGGGAGAGAGGACGGGGTCTGTCTGAGAGGCATCAGAGGGATTGGGAGGACTGGACGCGAGATCGTGAACGGGTGTGTCAACAGTGTTGACAGACTGAGGACGGCTCATGACTTTTTGCTTTTTTGAGGATATGGACAAGCACCTCCTCCCTATCTGTTTTTATTACTCTTTCCTTTTATTGATATAAACACTCGCACAAAAGGGAGAAATGAAAGAAGGAAGGAAGGAAGGAAGGAAGGGAAGAAGAAAAGAAGGAAAAGAAAGGAAAGTAATGGGATGAAGAGAAAAGAAGAATGGAGAATGGAGAATGAGTTGCTGGGATGCAATGAGGGCAGAGTTAAACTGGGCAGTAAGGGAGAAAGAGAAGAAAGAGAAGAAAGAGAGAAAGAGAGAGAAAGAGAGACTCCAGCTCCAGCTCCAGCTGTAGAAGAAAGAAGATAGGGGACAGGACAAGCCATGCTCATGTAATCATGTAATCCACAACCCACAATTGCACACACACTATAACAGAGCACATGGCTTTGTTCCATCATTTGCTACCACGCGGTCTCTCTGTCAGAAAAAAGGAGGGAAAAAGGGGCTGAGGACACTGTAATTGCTGTGACAAAATCTTTCTTGTGCAACTGTAAATGTATACCTGAACATTCATGTTTGGATCGCCCATTACATCTTCATGTCCAGCATGGTCGTGCAACAAGGATCTGTACACACATGAACGTGCATTTTCACCTCTGTTGAAAGCAAGCTTCCTTAATTGCCAAGTAACATGCATTTACAGTACAGTCGTATATATTGTATTTCCATATAATCGTTTCAAACGCTTAAAGACATTGTAATTTTATCCCCAATAACACCCTTGACCCAGCCAGTGCCCTCTCAGTACATTTACAAGCAAAGAAAAGATCATTCTGACACATCATGACAGCCCTGTTAGATCTGATATATACCGCTTCTCAGCCGTCGCTGAAAAGTAACTGTAGATCCTGTTCTTAATCGTAGATATTACTCGTATACAAATACAAAACAAATCTTTACCACCCTTTTTAAAAAGAACAACAACGTGGACGTTCCTAGCAACGTTCCCGTTAATTAAGAGCATAGGGGACCACATCCTCGTCAACTAGCTGCCATATAGACAAGACACTCGTTTTTACGAAAGAATTAGATAACAACAGTGGTTGATTTACCTCGCCTCCACCCTTGACACGTATTCGTCGTATCATATCGCTCATGTAAAAGACGTGTATTTATCGTTACCCTTTCTATGACCATTAATCTGCAAGCATTTTCCCAATTTATTCTTTATTCTCAATGACATGCTGTTGATTGTTTTCCTTCATCACAAGGCCTACAAGCAATGACATGTGCAAAATTACATTCGCTGCATACGCTGTATTTGAACTGAAAGTCTTTGATCGATCTGCTTGGTGCTGTCGCTGCTGTCAACGGCATGCCTGAAACTGTCACTACTGGGCCTTGATGCAAATCCATTTGACCAGAGGAAGCATCACGCTTGAGCGCCATTAATGGCGTCGTTACAATCTGTTTAGATAATTCATCTACAGCCAATGGAAGGGAACGCTCACCTATAGTTCCTCGTTGCTCCAAGAGCCTCCTATTGATTTCGCTCAACCCAGTTACATCTTGAATACACATGTTACGGACATTAAGAGTCGTTTGCCTGGTGCTCCATTTCAGCCAATACTGATATTGATCATCCTTCTTCACAATCTGCCACATCCGAACAGAAGCATCCTCAGATCCTGTGACCAAAAAGTAGCCTTCTTCAAAGGTATTCCACACAAGCGTTCTAACAAACCCGCCTTCACATAGGATTACTACCAGGCACTCGCCTGTCTCTGCATCCCACACTCGCACTGTCTTATCATAGCTGCTTGAAGCAATGTACTTTCCATCAGGCGAGTAAGCCATCTCTCTGATCTCCCTGGTGTGCCCTTTAAGAGTATACAAAACAACTCCCGTTTCCATATGCAGCACATCAATTTGTCCATTGCTGCGGGCATCAGCCATCCGTTGACTACATGGTGAAAATGTCCCTATTCCTGTATAGTGCCCAGGTAGTGTATAACAAAGCTCACCCGTTTTTGCGTTTCGTACTTTCAGCCCACGAGAGATAAATCTGGGACAAAACACTATCTTCTGACTGTCAGGCGTGTATTTGACAGGATTGCTGCCCCTTTCTCCATCCTTCACTTTATAACAAAGGCCACCTGAATGAACCGTCCAGACTCTAAGAGCGCCACCTTCATCAATTGAAGCAAGATGGTGGCCATCTGGTGAGAATACTACACACCCTACAACACTCTTGTGGCTCCGTAGAGTGTGGATGAGCTCTCCTGTTTGTGTGTTCCATATAGTCACATATCCGCGGCGATGACCACAGGCAATTCGATGGTCAATAGGTGAGAAATCAAAGGCGTAGATCCAATCGTATTGCCTGTCCTGCAGCTCCAAGGTATGGGTAACTTGGCCTGTTCGAGCATTCCAAAGGTAGACACGTGAAGAATTATAACGGCGAGAAGCAAGCAACCGACCATCAGGCGAATACTTGATGTCCCATGTGTACTTATCGGGGATTTGTAAAACATGGATGGACTGTCCTGTTCTTGCATCCCAAACACACAGTAGTTTAGTGCTGTGCAAAGCTATCTGCTTTCCATCCGATGAGCTCATAATGGGGTAGACCAGCAATGGATGGTCATATGAATTGCGATTATATTTCTGTAATCGAGTATCCCAAAGGCGTATTGTTTTATCATCGCTGAAGGATGCAAGTTGATGGTTGTTTGGTGAGTATGTCACACAACATATCTCGCTGAAGTGGCCATAAAAGGTATTCATGATTTGTCCTGATCTCGTGTCCCAAAGCCGGACTGTGCTGTCGATACTACAAGTGGCAATCTGTTCTCCATTTGGTGAGTATCTTAGGTCCATGATACGCTCGGTATGCCCTAAAAGAATATGGATGAGCATTCCTGTTTGCATATACCATAGGAATACCGTACTCCCGGCAGATGAAGCAACAAACTTCCCATTAGGAGAATATTGAATGCCGCAGACGCTATTATCATGATCCAACCCGTACTTTTTTTGACTAGACCCAACATCCCACACATACAAATAACTTTTACCAGCACAGTGAGATATAATTTCCTGGCCATTGGGTGAATACACAATTTGCTCAATTCCAGGCACACGATCCATCCTCATCAGCTGCTGCCCTGATATCGCATCCCACAACCGTACTGTCCCGTCACGGCTGCCGGTTGCAATCCGGAGTCCATCAGGAGAGTATGTCACACTTCTCACACGGCCTGTATGGCCCTCTAACCTGTATTTGAGCACCCCTGATTGAATGTCCCACACCAACACCGACTTATCATCGCTAGCTGAGGCAAGGTGCTTTCCATCTGGCGAGTACACTACGCAGTTCACTAGATTTGTATGGCCCTCCAATCGGTGAACTAATATTCCTGAGGTTACATTCCAAACTAAAACAGCAGTTTGCGGAGAACCCCAAGAGGCGATATATCGACTGTCTGGCGAGTATATAAACCTATTGCCAATCCCATTGCCCTCCAGAGTTGAAAGCATCATCCATGTTGATGTATCATAGATAGCAACTGAATAGTTATCAGAGCCATCTTTGATAACGGCAGCGAGTGTCTTCCCATCAGGCGAGTATGATCCATAGCGTACAGCGCCACCAACTTCGAGAAGTGGCCATTCTCCAAACTGTACACCTGCCATCTTTGCTCCACTCAGGTCTGCTTCACGAAGCCAACACTTCCGTAAATTGACCTTCCTCAGATCTGCTCCTTGTAGCTGAGCATACTCAAATATACCATAACTGAGGTCTGCTCCTGGGATCTGAATGCCTCGCAAGTCTGCTTCGATAAATGACTCGCCTGCTTGGACCAAGATTGTCATCGCATTGGCTGCTGCTATCCGCCACCTGCTATCGCTCTTCGAGAGCTTCACATATTCATATAGCTGCTGTTTGAATACCGGTTCAAGGCGGACACGGTCCTCTAAGAAATGAAGGATAGATGCTTCATCCACAAAGCTTCTCCATACTAAAGGTGACGCCTCATCCACCTCCACTACTTCCACTTCCTGCTCGTCCTCCTTCATGTCCATGGCTTCGAAACTATATACTGAACTAATGCTCTGCCGACGAGAAGTTGTTGCTGTCGCTTTTGCTACTTCATCGATCGCAGAACCACTCATTGCTTTCTGAGGCTCAAACATCGCTCGTACCAGACAGTACTCTAGAAGTGACCGATGCATAAACCGGTGCTGGTTGCCTGTACGTGTAAGTGGTGAAGCCTCTCGTAGAAGGTTCCTTCCATTCTCTTTGCTAAAGTACGCTTCTTTCCATGTACCCCTGTCCTTCGATGGTGAGTAATCCACCACTGGGTTGCCATCTTGATGCTTGTATATTGCTATGGCTAGCTCAGTGAGATACCTGATCCCATTCTGTGCAAATCCTTCATCTAATAGTTTGTTGTACACTCTTCTGTCTTCCGATCCTATTGCATCGCTTAGTCGCTTCTTGCCTCGCTCAAGCCACTGCTCAACGAACTGGTCATACAGTGTGACGCGTTTGATCTTGGTGTTGGAAACTCCTTGGTCTGGATCTACCATTCGTGGGAGTACTTCTAGCGACATCGATAGCATGAATGGGTTCTTCACAAGGTCTTGTAGACTAGGGACCATTTTGAGTGCACAATGATAGTCCTCTACACGCCACATTGGATCCATAGCATCGACATATTGTTTGATATACTCATCGATCTGAGTCTCAGAGAATGGCATGATCACAGCCTCTTCAAACAATCCATCATCTGCTTGGTGATTGCGGTCCATAGGTTGAAATCGATCTCGATAGTCCAATCCGAGATATTCGCTGCGACAGCTAACAATCATCTGAGCCATCCACTCTCCAGGCTTATTCAGTTGGTTGGAGACATACAAATTGGTGGTCTGCATGCTCTCATCATATCCATCACAGATCAAAACAAATGACCGACTCTTCTTCAGCTCTTTGATCTGTGAGTCTGTAAAGTCGTAGTGTCGCAGCTGCTTTGCAACCAGATCCTTCTCTGGCTTGTCAATGGCTGGGAGATTGATAAACAGTGGGATCCGACCATGTCTCTTTTGGTATGCGTCCCAGAGTGTACGCTCTAGTGTACGATTGAATGTGGACTTGCCTGCTCCTGAGTCACCTTGGACAAGTAGCACTTTCTGGTCGCTATCCAGGAACTCTTTCACCTTGTCCATCAGCAAGAACAGCTTGTCATCGCTTGCTTGAGGACTTGCTTTGGCATACTGTTGGATGTAGAATCCTTGGTTGTTTCCAACCTCCATCCGCCGTTTCTTTAGTTGCCGTAGACTGTCCTCAACACCAGGTCTATTTTGTACAAGGTCAAGTAAATGTGAAGATGAAGGTGGAGGGTGTATGATGATAAAGGGATGCTGGGTCACTGGCCCTTGAACACAATTCCTATATAGCTCTTGTTCCTTGAGATCTCCATATTTCTTGAGTTCATTCAAGAGAATGTCTACAGCTGGAAAGAGAAGGATAGGGATATGTGTATGGAGTGAGTTGATAAATCATCATGTACTGAGCACTGCCAACATCCAAACATATCCACAGAAGAAGAGTAGAAATATGTACCTTGTAGATCATTCGGTGATAATGAGGATAGCTCTATAAGGATACTTAAGATCCACTGCTTGACATGTGTATGATTACCCCACTCTTGGTCATTCTTGTACATCTCTCCTAAGAGTGTGATGGCATCCTGTCGAATATTCATGGTCCACTGTGTATCTGCTGCAATCTGTCCTAGTCTCTGACATAGTCCCCATTGGAATGCTGTATCATTTCGGCAGGGTGCTTCACACACAAGGGTCTTGAACTTGGTGAACTCGCCGCTCTGGATTAGTTCATCAGCTCCACGCAGTGCTGGATACCATCCTGACTTGTGACTAAAGCTGAGTCCTTCTTCCATACACTGTCTGAATGTCGATCCACTCTCATAGAGTGAGGTTGCACCAGTATATACTTTCAGACTCATATCAATGGTACCTGTCACAGAAGGAAGTCCTTCCTGAATATTGCTTATCTCATCCATGAAGGCATTCAGATCTAAGCCTTTGACTGCACTTATTACTCCAAACACTCCTCGGACCACTGCTGATGTCCGTCGGAGCATGGTTTGTAATGTTGATTCGTCGTCAGATATATACTGCAAGGCTTGGAAGGCATAAGCTGCTTGGTAGACTAGATGCGGATCTGAGCTGCTTTTCAGTCCCTGGAGGTATGCAGCAAGTGGTTCATGGAGTTGTTCTCGCTTCAGACCTTTGACTTGGTTGTTGACCATGGCATCAAGGACATGTGAGACTGTAGCTGACAGACGATAGAGATGTTCGATGGACTGACCATGTGTGCCTTGTAAGCGAGAACTGAGAGAGTTGAGGATGGCAACAAGGTCATCCGAGTCGAGATAACCAGGAGGGGCATGCTGCATCAGTTGAGCCAGTCCTGTTAACAGGTGAGTCTCCAGAATAATGTTCTGGCTGATCACATTGATCAAAGCCTTGAGCAGTGCTCTGAATTGTGCTTGATCGAGGACTGGGGAGAGAGCCACAACCTCAGCGACAGATGTCTCAGCCTTGATCTCATCATTGATGAACAATTCAATCACATCTGATGCCAGTTTACACAACCACTTATGCTCATCTTGATCGTTCAATATGGCCTGACACCAGTCCTTTTCATGGTCATTGAGGTCATTTGTTTGGATAGGGGCAGTAAGAAGCAGAGAAAGACAATACGCGAGCTGATGGGTGTCATTCAGGTGAGCACCAGCATCTGGCAAGCTGCACCTGATGGCTGTTGGAGGCTCATTATGATTGAATATGTTCTTTGAAATGGTTGCAGTGGTCCGTACTTGTTCTGCTCTACTAGTTCTTGTGCTTTCGTGTTTGGTGATGATGATGTTGTTGTTGTTATTATTGCTGTTATTGATGTCATTGTTGCTGTTTCCTTGGATGTATCCCCATTTCTTAGCTTTCTTGTCACATCTCTGGGCATCGTCTGAGTAACCAAGATGTTCAAATAAACGAGCAAGCTTATAGTAGGCAGAGGCAATGTTTTGGCGTAGAGTTATGTCTCCGTTGGAAACTGGAGAGGCTGAAGAGGTGAAAGGTATTGAGGCGAGTGACTTTCGTGCTGGCCGCTGAAGTCGAGACAACACAGAGTCAGCATCGAGGCATAGCTCCATCACGATATCATTATCATCGTCTATGGTGCAGGCGCCCTTCATGTAGAAATCGAAGAGTCTCAGAGCCAGTGCTGGCGAGAGTACACTTCGTGATGGGGGATTGATAGTACGGAACATGGATTGTTGTTTCCCTTTTTGCCCTTTGGATTTTATTCTATCCTCGTCCTTGAAAGAAGAATGATTTCAAAGAGGCGTTTGTTCAGTGGTGGGTGAAAAAGTGTTTTCTTGTGAGCTCCAATGGGGAATTGTGTGATGTGGAGATTAAAAGGACAAAGCAATTCGCCTTACAGCTGTTCTGTGGAACGTCTACATTATTGGCAGTTTTAGTAGTTTCAGTGTAGTTTTTTACAACGAATGTCAACTTGCGAATAACTTGCTCTCTGTCATGTCAATTAATTAAACAAATGTTCTTCTTGCACACAAATGAAGAGATCACTCTTAGATGTCATTACATTCAATCCTACTAATAATCCATCGCCCTCGTCCATTATTACATTTGTCCCTACTACTTTAAAAATGCACGTGACTCATTCAGGCACAAAAACTCCCTCGTAACATTTTACAGTTGTGTCTAAAACTCAAAAAGTATCTCACAGAAAGAGGCGTTCTGCTTTGCTCTAAACATTGCTCTTGACATTATATCAAAAACTAACTTCCAATTCGTTCCCAAATTTGCCCAGAGTATGCTGACAAACAGTAGGTTGTTAGCAGGATCTTCCAAACCCTGCAAAAGAAGAATTGCCATTGTACGGTTTTCCAATGTTGGCATACAACTCAGGGGATATGAACGCGAAACGTAGAGTTAGTCTTTTTGAAAGTAATGATGATCCAGCATAAATGGTGGAAGTTTGGAAAGATAAAAAGACCGTCTTTGGAAAAGGATCCTTTTATCCGATCTGCAGCTGATGTAGTTGTTAAGCGCGTGGAGAATGAGCTGAAATACATGTCTTCAGAAGACTAGTCCTGAACAAAGCGACGGAATAACGTTCGAATTTTATGTTCAGCGCATGCTGCGGATTGGCAACTGTAGTCTTAAGGTCAGGAACTTTGATGACAACACTGAAATAAGTATCAACCCCAAAGCTAAGCCGAAAGTTAACTTCTTCAGTACCCTTAACCGCTATGTGAGCAGTATGCAAGGATCGTTATGGATCCCAAGCAGCAAAACCTTTCACTGCGTGGATATGTTATTAGCTATTCCAGTTTACGACGAACAAGGATCATGGAATCAAAAGTGAGTCCTTCAAAAAGTTTTTGAGAATGCTGCAAGAAGAAAAGTGGATCCGATGCTCTAAGGAGGTCGCATTTATTTTTGTTGTTCCGCAAGACCGGGTCAAGGAGTTCAAGAAACAAAAATACAAGACCGAGGCAGATGGTGTGGATTCCAAACCTACAAAGGAGCTCCTAGATGTCAAGCAATATGTTATGAGATTGATCTAAAGCAGAACTTGGAGACATGCACAAGGACAAGGAGCATAAGAAGGACAGAGCAGTGAATGGACAATACGGATGAAGGTGAATACTGGTCAGTGGATTTAGCGAGGTTCTGCAGTTGGAAAGCAGCAAGATTTTCAAGTGGAACAAAAACATTAGATGTAACGGTGTAGACACTTTTGTCCGGAGGTCGCTAAGAATACTTTTGAAGGGCTAGTCTTTGATAGAATGTTGCTTAGACACATCGATCTGGAATAGGTGGGTCCATCAACATGTCCACGCTAAGAGAATATAACTTGAGTAAATACAAACGTTAATAATTTATTTGAAAAGAACATCTTGAATCTACGCCTTTGATTTCTCACCTATTGACCATCAAAATGCCTGTGGTCATTACAATGGAGATGTGACTATATGGAACACACAAACAGGAGAGCTCATCCACACTCTACAGGGCAACAGTAAAGCTGCAAGCTGTGTAGTGTTCTCACCTGATGGCCAATACCTTGCTTCATATGATGACGATGGTACTCTTAGAGTCTGGACAGTTCATTCAGGTGACCTTTGATTTGAAGTAAAGGGTGGAAAAATGGGCATTTTTATCAATTGCACGCTTGCTGGTTGCAGAATAGTGGTTTATCACGGCTATCCCTGACATGAGCTGCAAGTACGGAATGCAGAAACGGGTGAGCTTTGTTATACAATACCTGGGCGTTATAAAAGTATAGGGCTATCTTCACCATGTAGCCAACGGATGGTTTGTGCCTGTGAGAATGGACAAATTGATGTGGTGGATATAGAAACGGGAGTTGCTTTGTATACGCTTATAGGGCACACTAAGGAGATCATAGAGATAGCTTATTCGTCTGATGGAAAGTACATTGCCTCGAGCAGCCGTGATAGGACGGTGCGAGTGTGGGATGCAGAGACAAGCGAGTGCTTGGTAGTAATCCCATCTGAAGGCGGGTTTGTTATAACCCTTATGTGGAATATCTTTGAAGAAGGCTACTTTCTGGTCACAGGATCTAAGGATGTCTCTATTCGGGTGTGGCAGATTGTGAAGGAGGGCGATCAATATCAGTATCGACTGAAATGGAGCACCAAACAAACAGCTCTTAATGTCAACAACACTTGTATTCAAGATGTAACTGGGCTGATTGAAGTCAACAGGAAGCTTCTGGTGCAACGAGGAGCAATAAAAGAGCAATCCCTTCCTTTGGTCATATATGAGGCATCCAAATAGTTTGTGACAGCATCACCAATGGGACACAAGTCCAAAGCAGCCTCAAGTCAAGCTGATGATCATCAAGTCCCATCAGTAGAGACATCATTGGAGACAGAGGCTTTTAGAGGAGGAACACTGCAGACAACAGTGACAGCAGCAAGTCAATCGATCAATGACTACCGATTCAAATACAGTATGTGCAGTGAATGTAGATTTGCGCATGTTATATCATGTAGACCTTGCGACTAAGTGAAGCAATAAACAGCATGCCGTTGAGAGTAAAGAGGTATTTGTTGATGAATCACCGTAAAAAAAAGAGTATTGTGTACACGTCTTTTACATGAGTAATATATGAATAACAGGTGTCAAGATTGGTAGCGAAACGTTATCAACCATTGCTTTTTATTGAAAAGTATGAGGAGGTTCGTCCTGTGTCTCTGTGGGGCAATTGAACTACCACCACTTTGGAGAAGGCTTCTCGCGATACTTCACTCATGTCTATCAGTAGCTCTTTCCAAGACCTCTTTCATAATGTGCTGTGAAGTCCATATCAACTCAAACATATTACGAGGCCCTGTTGACCACCGATAAAGGAGACAGCTACTGGTGTGTATTGTTTTCTTAGCCTCTGACAAGTATCTCATTAATTATCAAAGCTCCAACTGGAGGAATTTGGGCGAAGCACTTGGATCATATGACCTGACTTAACTTTGTTAAAAAAGCCACTCCCGCCATCAACTTTTTCTTTGAACCGCGTTGTCCCTTTGAGAAATTGGATTCTGATCTCTCCTTTGTGCAACTGCCATTTATGTGCATTATTTGATTAGAGTGCCAGGACACGCATTATTACAAACTAACCTCCGGATGGCTGAGAGCTTTCCTTTTTTTTTTTTTTTTTTTTTTTTTTCCTCACGTAGAATATGCTTATTAAGAGACAGTAAAAAACTACATTCTTTTTTCTTTTTTTTCTTTTTTTTTATTGTAATTGTTATTTTTTTTATCTTTTTTATCTTTTTTATTTTTTTATTATACCTCTACTTATACGTCGGCCAATAGTCTCGCTTGAATGTGATGATCCTTGACTATTATGTCGATATGAATCAACACTTGACCGCCCTGAATATCCTCTTAAGATATCTGCAGCTCCTATGCGAGTGATTGAAGTTCGTTCTACTGGGATCTGGCCATCTTCGGGATAGCTTGATGGTGGTGTCAACGTGGGTGATGTCATCTGAGCCTTGGCACCAACAAAAGTGGAGATGGCTGCACTAGGTGGCGCATACAACGTTGGACGTCGATACTGATGAATGCCTTCCTCCGGTTCGTTTTCCACATCCTCTACAGTTGCTAATGGTGACCGATGAATAGGTTTATGTTGACCATTCCCATGATGATAATGTTGTTGTTGTTGTTGTTGCTGCTGCTGTTGTTGTTGTTGTTGTTGTTGTTGTTGTTGTTGTTGCTGATGGCCGTTGGTGGTCTCCGTCCTTGTAATCCCCTCCTGATCATCATCTTCTATCTTGGTTCGGTCCATGCGAAGTTTGCTGTCGGTCCGAGGAAGTGTATTTGACATATTGTCTGTGTATGAATAACCTTGGAAACAGTTTTGAATACTGTTGCTAAGAGTGTGCTGTCCTGGTGAGAGTCGAGGAGTCATATCGAGGAATGCATTGTCAAAGTTCCGCAAATCCAATTCTGACTCCAGCTTTGGGATATATGGACATGGTAATTTACGCTGTAAGGCCATATCCCAGTCAATTGACTTGAAATATGGATGTGCTTTTACTTCGCTTGCTCCTCTAGCTCCGAGCCGATCATCAGGGCTGCGCTGTAGAAGCTATTTGTGGTTTAGATAAAAGCAGAATATGCAAAATAGGTAATATTAGTCTCCAGACATCTTCTCTCGCTTTTAGTCATCATCTATGTCAAGCAAAGGTTGACTTACTCCAGCAATAAAGTTGGCAGCATCTTGCTCCATGTCTATTGGAATCTCTAATTCATCCTCTAACACTCGCTGATACATTTGAGCATGATTTTCTGCCCAAAATGGCGTCTGTATCCAAAGTGGGTGGGGAAAAAAAAAAAAAAAAAAAAAATAGAATGGTCAGAAAGTAGTGGCTAAACAAAACGACAGCGTCTATACTCCATATGAAGATACTTACAATACCCGCAAGCATTTCATACACCAATGTACCAAGACTCCACCAGTCTACAGCATAGCTATATTCAACTGCTAATAGGATCTCAGGTGCCTATTTTAATGTACAGTTAGAGAATATGTGTATGGATATATGTAAATCAAGTTAGAATGGAATGTCGTGAGGATTGGATTTGTCAGCGCAGTGAAGTAACATTGAGTTCTCTCATCCTCACCAAATATTCAGCTGTTCCACAAAAAGTATTCGTCTTTTCTTCTGCCAAGTCAGAGGTGGATGATGAAAAGGTAAGGAATTGCTTTGACAGACCAAAGTCAGTCAATACAATATGTCCGTCCAATGCCAAAAGAATGTTTTCAGGTTTCAGATCTCTATAGACGATCCCCTGCCGATGGAGTTCCTCAATGCCCAATACAATCTCTGCTGCATAGAACAGACATCTTGCTGGCTCAAATCGATGATACTGTGCTAGTTGGGTTGCTATATCACCTCCAGGATAGTAGTCCAAGACCATGAAGAGTTGAGCTTGGGATTGGAATGAGTGTCGTAGTTTGATCAAGAATGGGTGTGAGATCCGTGCGACGTTTGCTAAAATGTTCCGCTCTGATTTAGTGTGCTCGATCTCTCTTTGCAGGATCACCCATTCTTTTGAAATGGCCTTCAACGCAAATAATTTTCCACTCTTGTGTTCCCGAGCCAGCATCACCTAACATGAATAGTAACCGGTTTTGGTATAAAAAAGAAAAGAAAAAGAAAAAGTAAGTAACTGATATTTAACCAATAACCAGGCATCTTCAGCCTTATCCTAATCACTGTTGTTGTCTGTTACCTTGCCCATACATCCTTTACCAAGAACTCTGATAAGCTGAAAGTCATCTATGGTAACTTTTTTAGATTCCTGGACTTGAGGCAATGCCGGTCGAATCTTCTTTCCTCTCATTCTAAGAGCCAATATCCTTTGTTGCTCTGAAATGTCATCATCATCCACATCATCATCGAGTTGGTCGTCATCCGAGATCTGTGAAATCTGTGTATCCTGTCCAGGACTGTCATCTGACTGATCTGTGCTATCCAGACTAAGTTCGGATTTGGATGGTTGATAAGAGGCATAGTACATAGAATGAACCGGTCGATCCGTTGAACGCATCATATCACCCTCCTGTGCCACTGCCAAGAATTCTCGAAAGAGTGTGGAGCTTTTAAGAGGCTCATGCGTTGCAACCTTGTGAAGATAGCTCTCGAGTTTCTCGGCCGTATTTTTGCGAGGAAAGAAAAACTGACGGGTACTGACTAGAAATGATTTACGCCTCTCATCCAGTAAGGGCAGTGCTGGCCGGGACTTTGGGTATTGGGTTCGAACCTTTTGAATTGTAACATTTTTTTTTTTTAAAAAAAAAAAAAAAAAAAAAAAGGTACTGCTACTTGTTAGCAATTTATTTATTATTATTATTATTTCCCTCCAATGACATCTATGGTTGTGAAAGTGCCGAGTTACCTTTTCATCAAAGTCTAGAAAGTCAGAGATACGTCTGGTGATCTGTATGATTCTATGGGCGCTTTCAGCTCGGATAGTATAAGCCTTGAGAAAGAGGCAAAAACGATAAAAGAGGAGGAGGGCAGAGGGCAGAGAGCAGAGGTTAAATAAAACAGAAAAAGGTTGAGAATAGACTTTGAGATAAAAAACGATGGTAGATAGACCCCCTCCCAAGAAAGAAAGAGGAAAAAAAAAAAAAATAAAAAAAAAAAAAAAACATACAACATCTCGTTCGCGTTCACCGTTCACCATCTCAGGCAGCTCAGAAACCATGAATACCATCAGGTCATTGTGGCTATGCTCCTGTATATTGGCTTTCTCACAGTGATTCAAGTCTACAGTACCGCTGGAGATAGAGCCTACGGTTGTTCTGCCTGAAAGAGTTGTCCGGCTTGAAGACCAAGCTGTGGTGATGGTCGCAAACTTGGATCCACCTTTGGACCCGCCCTTGGATTTGACTTTTTTGGGAAGGGTTGATTTCTTGAAGAGATCCATCTTGGAGGGTGTGCGTCGTAATGATTGTTCATGATGATTCCCTACTCCTGTTCCAACCTTTGGTTCTTGTTCTACTCCGTTCCGTGCGATGGTGAGATCAGCCTCACTGGCAGAGTCAAACATCCGACTCTTTGCATCCATATCCCGATGAAGATCGTAACTGACTAGTAGGTCGGAGTGGGATGGATGTGGTCCTGGTTCCATATGGGATGCTCGATCTAGGGGGGCAAGGAAGCCCCACCATGAGCGCCGCTTATCAGTTTGCTCTGGCATGACAAATGATTTTATGACTGTCGATGTTGGTGATGATAATAAAGTATAAAATAAAATAAACGATTTGGTGGCGTTAAGAGAGCGATTACTGGAAAGATCTAAAATGGAAAAAGCTGAAACAAGAGGAAAATAAAAAATAAAAATAAAAATAAAAAAAAAAAAAAAAAACGTGGGAACACGTTGTCAGACAGAGTTGAGTTGATTTCTTCCGCATTAAAGAAGACTGATTACGAGATGGGATGGAAGTCCAATTACATGTAAACAAATAAATTAGTCTCAAAAGAAGAAAAGAAAATGTCCCTTCCTGTTTGCAAACAATGGTGAATGGTATGAAAAGCATAGGTTGTCCAAGGGGAGGGAAAAGACTTTTTATTTGTTTTGGATCGTTTAGTCCATTGACCAATGACCTTGACAGTGAAAAAAAAAAAAATAAAAGAAAAAAAACCACTCCACTAACTAACTCACCTTGTCACCCTTTCGCCTTGTCTTTATTCGTTATTATTTACACATGTACATGCAAAAACGTCTTTTCTTTTCTTTTCTGTCGGATGCAGTTACTGCTGCAGCCGCATAATAAGGAAAAAAGGAAAAGGAGTGAGATGTTAGACGATGAATGTTGATGTTTATGATTCATAAAAGAAAAATGATTGATCAGAAATGAACGGGAAAAATATGAGCATGGAGAAAAAAAGGAGTCGAGCGCGAAACAAATGAGAAGTGAGAGAGAAAGAAAGAGGAAGAGAAAGAGAGAGAGAGAGAGAGTAATAGAAAGAGAATGAAAGGAAGTGAGGATAGAGAAGATGAATGTTGATATGATTCACAAATGCACAAAGATGCACATGGATCCATTCATTTAAAAATCAATATGACAAAATAAAGTAAAATGAGTAAATAAATAAAACCACATACGACAAAAAAAAAAAAAATTGTTGTGGCAAATTCAGGATCGACATGTTTCCTCTTTCACACACGCGCACAAATGCTTCTTTCTCCTTAATGCCTTGTTTTCTGCAGCCTTATTCACCTGCTCGTTCTCACACACTCTCTTTCTCTTTCCTCTTGTCCTTACTCTTTCTCTCTTTCGTTCTGTTACCCTTCATTCTTTATTGTATAATTACTATTGTAGTCCTTTTCTTTTCTCCTAGTTACTTTTTTTTTTTTTTTTTATTGCTGTAATTAATGTGCTTGATGATATATATAAAAAAAAAAAAGTAATAATAGGTAATTAAAAAAGAAAGAAAGAAAGAAAAAAAGCCTGAATAGCCAGCATTCCTGCTTAAATACCTCCTTGTTGCAAAAGAAAAGAAAACTGTTGCATTGGAGAATTGAATGCATGTGTGACAAAATTAGGTCCGCGAAGTTTGCTGTTGGACACTTTTGTACATGTATACAATACATGACAATGGGAGGGGAGGGGGAAAGGGGTGAGGATGGTGTGTGTGTGATAAGGATAAGGTTGAAATAATAAAGATTTCGAAGAGACCGTTGAAATAAAAAAAAAAAGTTGGGTTGGAATGATCTTTGATTGGAATTGAGCGTTAATACCTGCTTATTTCTAAACGACAAGCAACTGAACGAAGGAGAGGAATGAAAAAATGATCTTTGGTTATTTTTCTACAAAAGGTATCGGAGATACAGGTGAATGAAGTTGCTGATGACTGTTAATGCTTTGGTATAATTGAAGGAAAGAGAGAGAATTAGATGAACAAGTGAGAGAGAGAAAGAAAGAATGCTGTGCGAGAGAGGAGAATAAGGTCCGAAAAGGAAATAAACGAGAACTGAGGATTTGCAAGGGTCGTAAGTTTGTGAAGAGAAAAGAGAATGAAAAGAGAGAGAGAAAGAGATCGTTCCACAACAAAAAAAAAAAAAAAAAAAAAAAAAAAAATCTGACAATGAATGGATAAGGCAGGGAAAATAAAAAATAAAAATGTAAAATATAAAATAAGGAGTGGGCTGAATAAATGGATGGGAAAGGGAAAGGAAGGATGGGATTTTTTTTTTTTTTTTTTTTTTTTTGCTCAGGAGTTTGGGAACAAAGAATTGAATGAATGTGTCATCTCAACGTGGGTCCTTGCGAGAACCATTCTCTTTTTATCTTTTGTTCGATGAGAAGCAACTAATACAAAGTATCCAAGCGGACATTGACAAGAGTGATATGAAAAGATGATACCAATGAATGGCCTTTATTTCTTTATTGTCCAAACAAGGTCAAGGTTAAAAAGAACAAAAAAGAAACAGGGGGGGCGGGAGAGAGAGAAAGAAAGAAAGAAAGAAAGAAAAGAAAGAAGAAAAAAAAAAGAGTTCAATGTGAAAAGTATGTGTCCATAAACGATAATTGCTTTGGTCTTTTGTTTTTAGTTCCCCTTTACACGTTCACGACCATGAAACTAAGCATTGGACATGAACCATTTCATGCATGATTGGCAGCGGAAAAAGGAAAATAAAGTGAGCAAAGTGAACTGCCAAGCCCATTCTTTCAGTTCACTATTAAAGGAAGGGACAAATGAATATGGACATGGGCATGCATTGATGTCCAACAACTAACAACTGATCTTGAGTTTGACAAACAGATAAACACCAAAAAAAAAAAAGACAGTGACACAGAGATCTTTAGGAAGTTCATGGAAGAAAAATTACTCCAGGCGTTATTTGCGTGTGTATACGTACTTACAATTAGCGCATTTCACAGCAATGGAGAAGAATGGGGGAAAAAAAAGACTTGTGAATGTTTGATTGGAAAGAAAAGACAAAGGCATAGGCATAGGCATTGGGTATGGGCATAGGGTATGGGCATAGGGTATGGGCATGGGCATAGGCGTGGAACACATTTATCCCTTTTTTTTTACATGGCAGTCAGGGGCATATGATGGTAATACACACACATGTATAAATTACCGTGGCCATGTTGACATTTTCTTCATTCCTTTGTTCCCTCGTCCTTTTGTGAAATAACTGATACACATAGACCGAGATATTTATACAGAATGTGTACATGTACAAGTATCCAGGAGGGAGCCCATTCCCATCAACCTGTGTCCTACTCTTTTTTCTCTTTCCTCCCCCCCCCCCTTGAATCCATTATTATATTTACCCCTGGAAGGCTATTCTTGTGCTTTGCTTTTCTTCCTCTCTCTCTCTCTCTCTCTCTCTCTCTCTCTTTCTCTCTCTTTTATATTTTATAAAAGAAAAAACAGTCATGTCACATCTATTCAAGTCCCTATTGTCTTATTAAACAGGACAGGTTAGCATGGCAAGATTCTACTAGTCATTCGCGTATTGTGTAATCTATGCAATCGATATGACATTCCACACTTTTAATTTATTCTTAGTTTGATCAAGACTCATAATGAACGTTTAGAAAGGCAGCTGATAAAGGAATCCGTTGGAATGTTCTTTTCTTTTTTGTATCTTCCTAATCAGACTACTAAAGATGCAATTGATAATACAAAACCACCTTGTTAGCTTCTCTCATAGGTAGCAAGTCTCGACAAAGCTCGGCAAAGGGATGAAAAAGAATAAAAAAAAAAAAAAAAAAAAAAAGCCCTAAGTATGCTAAGTATGCACAACATGCACTGCAGGATATTGCATGAATAAATAAAAAGGCAACCCAAGGGGTAAAACAGAAGCAGGAAGGGGATAGAGAAGAAGGAGAGATGTGGTCGTCCGTTTATATTTTACCCAAAAACTATTAAAGAATCCAGAACGTCTTAAAAAAGATTAAAAAAGGCATACAGCCAAACCAACGTTCTGTCATAATTAAAAAGGAGTCCTGAACGACTAGAGAAAAATTGCATGAAAATACGTCACTTTTTTTTTCTTGACTTATTAAATTGTTGTATATTTTTATGCTTAATGATAAAAAAAAAAAAAAAAACTTGGTGTATTCTATGCAGCAATTGTCGATACACGGGTCATCATATTCAGCAACTGCAACTGCTCGTCTGCTCCATCACAGAGGGCCTTATCCATATCACCAAAAACCTCCGCAATCTTGGCCTTCTGTATCGAATTCAACATGTCGTTCTTCAATAGTCTTCCTTGAAGTTGAGACAGTACCTTTGCAGCAGAATGTCCATCCGCAACTACGTTCTGAACTTCAAGTGAAATTTTGCTATAGTCCTTGGTACGCCAGCATGCTTCCAGACTATCAATGATCGATTCAGGTACAGTCTTTTTTTTTTTTTTTTTTTTTTTTTTTTTCATTCCCATTATTGTATATCGTGGAAAGTTGTTTGTCAGTATATAAGAGTCATCATTAACCGTTGCAATATTGACAATCAAAAGACTAGAGAAGAGCACTTACACCTGCGATATCTGCTATGACATCTATATCGATTTCACCATCCTTGCCCACTAAACGTGATGCGCTCTGAAGATACATAATGGCCTTGCGTAAATCTCCTTCCGAAATCCTGACCAAACTAAGGGTAGCCTCTGGTGTAATCTTTACATTCTCCTGTTGACAGATCATCCCCAACCGTTCCTTGCTGTGCATTTCCTCTAATGGTTTGAATCGGAATTTGGCACAACGTGAGGCCAGGGGTTCGATAATACGTGTGACGTAATTGCAGATCAAGCAAAACCGAGTCAGCTTTGAATATGTCTCCATCGTTCTCCTAAGTGCTGATTGTGCATCCGAAGTCATCGAATCAGCTTCATCCAGAATAATAATCTTGTAAGGAGGACAAGTTTGATTGCTATATAAACATATAAAATTTGTCGAGCAGACATTCAAACATTAGTGCATCCGTAACAACGTCAAGCACGCTTCAGGATTTAAACCGCATCTGAGGGACATACCCAATGTTATGAGTGACAGTTGATCGCGCGAAATTCTTGACCTTCTCACGAATAACCTGAATTCCACGCTCATCAGAGGCATTAAGTTCCAACACACGCGACCCAATCATTTCGGGGCTATATGTTTATAAAAGAAAAAGAAAAAGAAAAAGAAAAAGGAAAGCAATTCCCTCCAAAATGATGATTAAAAAGATGGTTTATAGATCATTTGTAAAAAAAAAAAAAAAAAAAAAAAAAAAAAAGACAGCATATTATTGACCATCATTACCCATAGATATCTCTAGCGAGGGCTAGAATGGTCGAGGTTTTTCCTGTTCCTGGTGGTCCATAAAACAACAAGTGAGGCAACTATTGATGTCATTTGTATAATAACCGATATAAAGCGGGTTATGCTGATGTTTTCCTGGCTTCAAGTAGTACGACTAAGAGTCTCAAATCAAATCAAATCAAATCAAACTAAATCATTACGTTCTGCGACTCCATTGTCTTTTTGAGAACAGCAACAGCCTGTTCTTGAGAGCTGATATCGTCCATAGTTTTTGGACGGCTAAATAAAATCAATACCAGCAAGAGAAAATAAATGAATGAATAAATAAGCGCAAGTCAGTAGAAACGTTGTCAAGTCTCAAAACCCAAGAAAGCGAACTACACAATTGTCCGCAATTGTGAAATGAAGTCTTCATTTGGAGAAATTACTTTATATGTTAATTTTTTTTTTTTTTAACTTACTATTTCTCGATCCAAGGTTTTTGAGCAGCGGCTGCTGCTGCTGCTGCCGCAGCTACACTTGATGATGAACTTGCGGTTTGTCGCTTTGCAAAGAAGGACATTTTTTTTTTTTTTTTTTTTTGAAAAAGGTCTTTTGATCTGTTTTTTCTAAAAATGAATGAGAAATGCAATCCTCCAACATGCATCTTTTTTTTTTTTTTTTTTTTTTTTTTGGTGGCGAATGCAATGCGCATTTTTGCAAGGTCGCGTCCGTGCACGTGATGCAAATGGCTTTTAAAAGAATTTGGGCAAAGCCTACAAGTAAAGACTTTTTCTGTCACTCATAACTCTTTTTTCTATACTCTTTTCACATTTTTCACTACTATCTACTGTCATTCCTATTATAACACATCATTTCCTTTTAATCTTCAAAATTACTGACTATCTAACCTCTAAATACACAAAGTAAAAAAGATGATTCATATCCCATATGTCGCCGGAGGATCTGTCCGTAAGTGTTTCTCTTGAAAGTCATTTCAATGTCCTCCTCAAACAAGGCAACGGGTCAAAATGTAAAGAGAGGGAAAAAAAAAAAAAAAAAAAAAAGATCTATTATTGTAATTAATGTGATCACTGACTTGGCTTCTTATCTTCTTATCCTTTCTCTATTATCATCAATAGTCTTGGGTAGTATTTACAATCAGTGTGCTGGTGCATTTATCTATGGACCTCTCTTTGGTCAGGTCTGGCGCAATGCCATGTCGAAGGTAAGGGAAAAACAAAGACGGAAATTGGGTCCATTCAAATGACCTCACATCTAGATACAAAGGCATCTCATCAGTTTTCAAGATCCAATTATCCAACTTTTTGGAGGTTTTTTCTTTTTGATTGCTAACGAGTTTTTTTTTTTTTTTTATTCCTTTTTTTCTTTTTCTTTTTCTTTTTCTTTTTCTTGTTCCTTAGGATAAGGGAAATGATAGCTGGATGCGTGAGAACGCAAGAAACAATATGACTGTATCATTACTCAAAGAATTCGCATTGAACGCTGGAAAAGTAAATATCCAAAAGAAAAAAAGAAGATTAATGCAGTATTATGATGTCATCAGAAACCAAATGTATCAATTGAATTTTTAAATTGTACTGACGCGTCTGTTTTTAATTGAAACAATTTTTTTTTTCTGTAATAATGTGAATAAAATAGTCATGGTTTGTTGGACTGCTTCTCAATTTGACCCAAGCTAATACAGTCTCGCAAGCAGCTCAACTCGGTGCCTTCTTGTATTTTGGTGTTCTCGTTCCCACAGTCCTGTCCGAATCCATGTGGGAGAACCGTCCTTGCGATCTTCAAAAGTTTAAGCTTCTCAGCGGATTCAGTAGCACTGTCCTTTTGGCTTGTCTAATGCACTGGTGGGGAACAGCTTAAAAAACAAAAAAAAAACAAAAAAAAAAAAGATCAAAGAATCAAGGATGTTAGGAATCAGCCTTCATCTAAAGATTGTGAATAATATTAAATAAAAAAAAAAACGCATGTATATATTATGTACAGATATATCCTTGATCGGGGTCTGCATTCATGTTTCCTATTTCTTTTGTTTTTATGGTTACAAGTGTCAGTGTCATTTTCATTTTGATCAATGGGTGGCTTTGCTACACGGAAATTTAAATGCTGTTTGGTTTATTTTAGTCACGTGGGACGTCCGCCACCAACCATTTAACGGGCAGTACTTCAGGAAACTGGTTCTTTTACACAAGAACCGTTGGAGTGCTGGCTGATCTCGCTCAGTCTTTTGTATTCGTTATTCTTTATTTTGTATTCGAGTATTTTACCGATCTGTAAACAGACTAACCAAAGATTTTAATTATTTTTCTATTATCAGTTGTTACGACGCAGGCTTGAAGATGGAGCTGTGAAGCTGTGGGGACTCAGATAAAGCAATGTCAATAAAAAAAAGTTTCGCATTCATTGCTCTTTATCAGGTGTCATCGCTCCAAGATGACTCTCTCTGTCTTCAACACTTCTATCCATACTCCTTTGTAAGCTTACCCAGCCATATCTTTTTTTTTTTTTTTTTTTTTATTTTTTTTTTTTTTTTTCACACGTCAACACGTTATTTTTCACATCTAATGAAGTAGACTGACTGTCTATCAAACTAAACAATCTCCAAAGCACCTACTATTACAAACATGGCCTCTGATAGAATGATAGGGTAGACGCCGGGGGACCATCCAGGCATCTGCAAGCAATATGGTCGCAAGCCATCCCAATACCCTGTGTCTTGACAACCTCATCAGAATCTGCGGTAAGCCCAGCTACTTTTGTTTATGTGCTCATACTTTTTTGTATCGTGTCCAAACTGACCATGACCTTGCCAAAAATCATCGTTCTGTACTGAAGCCCCCGCCATATCTTCCGCAATGGCTTTCGATGTCCCTATCACTGCCGCGAAACGCTTCTTTGATCGTCTGTTAGATTTAGTGCAAAAGTCAAAGTAGTATTCTAGGGGATCTAAGGGTATAATAAACGTGTTTTTAGTCAGGGAATTCATGCTGCAGAACTAGATAGAAAAGTGAGTCTATTTATACTAGCTAACGTCCTGCTGCAACGAATGCTCTAGAAAATTGGGCGAAATGCTGTGTCGTACAGTATCATAATAGTAATTTCGCTTGCATTTAGGTACAGATAAAGGAGGATAAAAATCTTGTAGGATCGCCGTACTTTCGTCAGGTAGAGTGTCAATGAAGTCTAGGACCTTGCGGATTGATGTATTGATGAACGGCTCTTCTTCGATCATGTCATCAACAGCCATGTCTTCCTGCTTGTTCTCTTGGAGTCATCGGCTTAGGACCATTTTGATGTGGTAAGTAAACCTGTCGTCTTCTTGCATCATCCAAAAGTAGTGTCGGCAAACAAAGCCTTTGTTAGTTGAAAGATGGTGCTGGTTATTTATACTAATTGGTAGCGACGTGAGAGCCGGCACTAATATGAGTAATGTATAGTATATAGTAGCGAGCGATGTGAGTGATACGTTTGCAGAGACCGTCGGTTATGGAGAGTTCGCAAATAGGGAGCAATCTTGACAGCATCTTCATACTCAACCAATAACTCTCTCCAGAGATAATCGAATGCCTCCTCTGTTAGGACCTCGCGCAATTGTTCAAACCGCTTCTTGAAGATAATAAATCCCCTCTCACCGAGCACAGTCTGCACAGTTGAACGGAGATTTTTTGTTAATATACCATATACAATTTACGATACGAGTTTCTCTGAACACTTCCGAACATGCCGTATCCATTGCTGAGTCACTATCCATTAATAGGATGTCCGGTTGAAGGTTACCTGCCCCTGAGGTGCACTCCCAAGCCTCGGTACGTAGCACGGTGGTGTTGACTTCGTCTATTTCTACTTGCGCATAGAACTCAGAGAGCGTCCTTTGAATCACGCAGTCATCTCTGACTTTTAGATGGACTTGCATAGTGTCTAATGGGCAGTGACTCTTAGGGCCAATCTGGCTATTGGAGCAAAGGAAGGGATAAATGGCTAATAAGAACTGCTTCTTCTGTTCGACGAATTCAGTTTCTAACTCTTGGTCTTTCATAGTGGAGGGCACAAGTGGCGGTTTACTTTCATCATCTAAGAAATCATCTGCCTTTTCAGCAACAGCTGTAGCTATGCCATGGATCCCAAAGCCGAAGCGATAAAATAGATCCATTCCGATAAGGAAGTCGTAATAGCCCATAGGCATCATACCGACTCTGCATTCTACTGTTCGGTGATTACAAGAGAGAGTAATAGCATCTACTGTGCCGGCATTTTGAAAATCAGTAGTGTCGTCTGCAAATTTAATTACAGTATTTTTCGAGGTTGCAGTCCTTATTTTGAGGGCTTTGGCTACTTCTCGATTGATGAAGGATACGTTGGAACCAGGATCAAGTACAGCCGTGTGCAATAGGCCATTTATAGTTATGAGAACAGATATTCTGTTGTCTTCCGGTTCAGGTCCTCTATAACCAATATTTCTATTAGGTTTGGGATCCGCATAATTGTCATGCGGATGTGGTGCTTTTGATTGTGGTTTTTTAGAATTTGATACAAAATCCAACAACTGATCAATGTCCTTTATAGCGTCTAAGGACTTGAATTCTCCGAAGACTCTTTCCTGACCGGCATCGGACAACGCCGTTATGACCTTGCCGTAAAGGAGCACGCCCATGGGCTGTAGGCCCACCAGCTTCAACAATTGACTCTATTCTGTCCGCGAAGGTATTGGCATCTTCGTGAGGCAAGACAGTAAGGTCTGTAATTTGGCAAGTGATCCAGGATCGAATTAAATCAAGCTTCAGGGCCAAATGGATGCTCCTTTTGACTTGCTTCCAAGAGCGATCGCCATAAGCTTCTGTCTTTAGCAGGCGGTTGTACTTGTTATCCAAGCGGATCTGTTCTAGAGCAAATCCCATGTACCGCCAAGCTAAGTCCTCGAAGAGATCGTCCGTCAGGAAGTTATGGTAGTACGTCTCGAAAGCCTTGAGGAAGTCGATAACAGTTCTTGCCACCTTTAGAGCTATTTCTTTCTCAGGTACATTGTCCAACTGGAATTTAAGCGTAGGGGCATTCGCTTTCTTCTCCAGCTGGACCCTTGAGAAGTCGATTTCTTTGGTAGTTATGTCTAGGACAGGGATCCGTTTGTAGTTGAAAACTCGGATCAATGCAGCATGTTTCTTGATTTCATAATCAGGTGCGATATCAAGACTGCCGCTGTCCTGCATATCAACATCGCTGGGAGAAGAAGCGGCTCGTTGCTTGACAATCCGTTGACGTTCCTTGCAGATGGCTTCCTGGGCTTCAAGGTGATCTTTGATAAGCTTATAATGGGCTTCAGCCGCGTCATAGTCTTCTTGTAGGGATTTGAGCTGATTGTGAAATTCTCGCTGAGCTTCTTGCTCTTCTGGGGAGCGAGGTCGTAATTTAGATTTTTGGTTATTGTTGTAGTTGGCGAGCAGGCGAGTTTTTTCGTCCATACATTGCTGTCTTTCCGCATCAGCCTCTTGGAGAGACTGTTTAAGTTCAATAAGGCTTGGGGAGACAAGTTTACTTCGATTGTCGAGGGCATCGCAACGGTAGGGTTTTGAGCTTCAACGACAGAGGAAGAGGGAGTGGAATTGATTGAAGTAGAGTTCTTTTTTTTTTTTTTTTTTTTTTTTTTTTTAAAAAAAATGATTGAGTGAGGGTGAATTAGAAAGGTGAGATGAATCTGTGGATATCTTGATGTGAATTGAGTGTGTTCGAAAAAGGTTCCGATTTTTTTTTTTTTTTTTTTTTATATTTTTTTATACATATATATACGAGTGCCATCATCTCTATCCATGTTAAGACACAACGCGTCAGGATGGCATGGTTTGTATACCACGTTCCAAATTGAGGCAAATTAACAATAGATCGCTCTGATCTGCAGGAATCCATAATTACCCCACATTGCTCTGTCTCCTGGTCCAAAATAAACATTTTGAATTGTTTTGTGAGGGTGTGACGCTTAGTAACATTGGCAAAATCAAGATCAGTGATTGGTTGATGGTCATGCCATGCATGGTGAATGCGGATTGGATGGGGAATGTCAATGGGGAATGTCATTCTTGAAGAATCGTTTTGAGGCATTCTCGCTTCTCCATTCCTCATTCCTAAACCACGATCACTATCAAGTCTTCTTTTTTTTTTTTTTTTTTTTTTTTTATACGCTCAAACTGCACCCGTTGTCACCAATAAAGCAACATCAATATGTCTTCAAATACCAACAACACTTCTGTTTGTTCACGTACCACTAGATCAGCGATACGTCAACAGTCTGAGTTAGAAGCTCGAGAGTCAAGGCCTACTCGAAGAAATAACCGTCTTCTTTTATCACTGTCTCCTAATATCAAAGCTCGACCCACTGGACTCATCTTTCAGGGGAACGTATCAAGAGCCAGAATAAGAGTGCCTGATTCCTTATCTCCATAGCCGGAATCATATTCACGTGCCATTAGTTCTTCTACTGAAGAGTCTTGTCAGACTAACGCACTAGGCTCTTCACGAGGGTCACAAAAGAGAAAGTGTCCTAGTGAGGATGACTTAGGGTCTGTTGGGTTTTCCTCTTCTCCTCTTAATAAGAATAGATTTTTGAAAGGACAAGATCGAACGATTGAACTTAGGCCGGATGTTGTAGATTGTAATTGTGCGAATGACTTTATGCTAGTCTTGCATTATCTCCGAGGTGCATACAAAAGGATTAATGATCTGGACAAGACCATTCACGAGCAGAAAAAGACTATCAATGCTCTTTTAGAGAGCATACGATATTTAGAAGCTCATCACACCTTGGGGTCAAGCTCTTCGACTCATCATAATTTTTGATTTAAAATAAATATTTCAATAATGCAACTGTGTGGAAGTGAGCTGTTCCTGAATTGAAAGTGCAGAAACATATCAAGAGTATCGCTGAGAGCAAATAAGCTTTGTTTTGTGTTTGGAGTGTTTGAATGGAGCGAGCACAGGCAAAATATTTGTAAAGCTCTCTCTTTTTTTTTTTTTTTTTACGCATGTCAAAATCTCAATCATTCATTGGTCCATTAGAGCTGAGGATCACGCCATCGTCTTTTCATGGCGAATGAGAATGGAGAATGGATGGTGATGGATGGATGATTGTGATTATAAATTATTTGTCATTTTTCATTCCTCCATTCCTCATTTCACTCCTCAAACTTTTTGACCTTAACACTCTGGCACTTCCAACACTTCACATACACTTTTTACAAGTTCTTAACACTCGTCTTCCAGCGTTGTTTCCCCTAAAACCCTTTCCACCTCTTCCGCTGCTCAGGATAAGGCCAAAAATCAATCTGTTCAGGAGAAGGGTGAAAACCTTGTCACCCTTGATTATTCACTGACCGGCGCTGAGGAGAGTAGTGGAAGTGAGGAGGAACGTGGACGTAAGAGGATTCTCAAGCCCAGGAAGGATCCCATACTCAGTTTGGATCCTTATGCTGATCCTGCCTTTGAGCAATACAATCGACACCAGCGTATGCTAGAGAAGGGGTTGAGGGATATCTCTCGATCCCCTTGTTTGGAGATCGGTTCTTCCACTCATGCCGTTTCTTCCAGTGCCACTGAGACTGTGCTCGGTCGAAGGAGCCGCAGTGAGACCGATGATGAAGAGGCTGAACCTTCGAGGCGTCGTCAGCGCATTAGCAAGACGACGCAGGAACGTCTTGAGGACACTGTCAGGGCCCTCTGCAAGCGGGTTAAAGAGCAGGATGAGAGGATACTGAGTTTGGAAATTGATATAGAACTTTTGAAGAAATCCATTCCTTCTCCTACCCTACTGTTCGTCGTAGTGGTAGAAATCGCAAAGGAAAGAAATTGCGGGTTGTATGATAAATATGTAAATATGATGAGGAAAATGATAGTTGAGATGATATGAATAGTATGAATAGGTCCTCATCCCCGCTTAATAAGGGTTTTATCTTTCTACGTTAAAAAAAGTGAAATATGCCAGGAGGAAAACGAAAGAAAGATGTGTTTATTCTGATCCTGGGATCTTCGTTAAATAAAAAGGGTAAAAATCTTAGCTACAGTAAAAACCCATATAAATGACTGCTAATCGCAACAGATGCCCATAATACAACTTGCCTTAATTGCATCAAAGAACACCTCTCATCACCGTCCTCTCTACCCGGCTTTTGCCCGAATGACATATCCTTGTTGCTGTTGTTTAGGCCTTACTTATCACGTTGCCTTATCATGTTGTCTTATCACGAACAGGGTGATTATTCAGTAGCTAAAGTCAAAGAGGTCCCTGTCATCAAAGACAAACGAATAGAAACGATGTACTCAATACTAGCTTGTTGAACTTCCTTGAAAGTGCAAGGGAGTCCCTCAAGAAGCCAGAATTGACTCGAGTTGTGGAGGATGAGGGAGAAGGAAGCAAGCCCAAAGAACCACAGGCAAGGAGGACATCAAAGAGAATTGTCAATAAAGCTCAAGCTATGGAAAATAAGGAAGAGTTGAGCAAAGCCAGCGGATCAAATAAAAGAAAAAGTGAGTCGACTCAAGCGGAGGACGACAAGTCCAATAGGTCAAGCAGGGATAGGAAACCAAGGAAAAAGTAGCGATCGTTTCTTTTACTTCTTTTTACTCGCCATTGTTTATGACAATGGCACAGACACAATTTTGTAATATTACACTAATAGATAAATTAAAATATCACTATTCAGTAAACCTGAGCAAGGAGAAGTGGGCACACCAAGCGGATTGCTACAGCAGCTGCATTATCGGAATCTTCTCAAGCAAGTGGCAAGTTGTTTCTATTGTCTATTCCTATCTTTCCACCCATAAGTTTTGTGTTGGAACCCGACAAGCCATTCCAGGTCACATCAGAGGAACATCCGATCAAGCAAGCATCATTCAAGGAGATAATCGATAATATTACTGGATCCTGCTTGAAGAGAAACCGATCAAACCTCGGAGAAAAGTGACAATATCACATTCCTCTGTTCCATGGCCCCAGGCGACATACACGTCAAGCTTAAGATTCAGAAGCTCGTTACCAACAATGATCAGAATGTTAAGGCAACACCTAGATATTTAAAACATGCGGGACAGTGTGTCATAAAAACTCACATCAATACCGCATATGCAGGAGGATCGCCAAGGTTCAAGCATGAAGAAAAGAGTCGAATGTCAGTCAAGTGAAAGGAATTTTGTCTTGTAATGAAAATACCATATCTATTGAGTATTCTTTACAATCGTTCATCCTTTATGAACGAAGCCATCACTATCCACTTACCCTTTTGACAAACGGGATGGCGCTTTCTAATCGGCCCTACACACACACCCAAATCACTAGCCTCATTTTTACCAATCATCTCTTGTTTCCATCACCTGCATTGACATCTATTATTCTAACATTTGAATCTACTTCACAATTCTCGCCTTTCTCCCGATAGCAAGAGATCGTTTTATGAGTTTACAAACCTCTCTCAAACCGCCTGTCGAGAATCGAGAAAAGATCCTACAGCTTGAGCAGCGAGTTTTCGAGAAATTCCTTCAGCAACGTATCCAATATGCATCCGAATGCCCAGTGTCGGAGGATCAATCCCGAGTCCTAAGTTCATCACCCAAGTCTAAGGCGTCACTACACATTGTTATACAATATCAACCTATCTTTAAGAACAACAACCAGCATGTGCCTAAATTCATGTGGCACTTCAAGGTTCCAAGGGTTAAGCAAGATCAATATAAGGACAGTCTAGGCGACTACATTGACATGGGCGTACATAGCAAGAGTAGGGGGATCCGGTGTCTGGGAAGCTGCAAACGCAATGGCACGATCAGGCGTTTCATCCGTGCCCCATGGCACCAATATGGATGCAGAGTTTTTCATCACCGATGTTCAGCCCAAAGTGGACAAAGCCTCAGGTACCAACAGGATCCCAAGGCGCTAGCGTAACCACATACGGTTGATTTCATCAGCACTTGGATATGCATCTAAAGTCATGATATTACCTTGCCAGTTGCCCATGCCTATCATTTTCATTGTTGTACATAGAATATTTACGCAGTACAAGCATACGAATCTGTACAGAATACACTATGATGGCCAGTGTGGGACCTACAAGCTGCGACGAGCTCAATCTGGGCAATGCGATATATGCAAGAGGAGGCATAACGAGAATGGCTAACTTCAAGTGAGTCGAAATGGAACAGCAACACTACAGAGCTATAGCCGAGAGTTTAACTCGCGATATCCTCGTCAGGGAATTGGATTTCAACGAAAAGATTCTCCTAAGACAACATCTTGCTATGGCGACTGTTCGGACTCCATTTGATACTGTATAAACACCTGAACACTGCCACATGCTATTGACTACTCTACGTCCCTTAAACAATATTCTTAGCATACATCTGAACTTTTGCAAGGGATGTGTCAATACTTCGACAAACATGTAGCAATTAATGGCTATATCACAGCCCTTGGATTGTGGAAGCGCTGAAATTATGCGGAAAACGGGAACCATTTGTGTTTTTACTAGCAACAAGCGTGGTTTCAAAAAGGTGTGCCTCCAAGGAACAAATCTTATATCCTTCATTGCTCAAAAGAGACAATCTTGTCTTTTCTGCACCCCAAAAGCTCGCCATAATCCTATTGAAGCGTTCAGAGGCATTATTTGCCTCATAGTTTGAGGATTAGCAGACTTTCAGTCAAGTTTTATTGTTTTGAACAACACAGTAAATCCTGTCCATTCGAAGTTAGTCCCTTTGGATGGCAGCTATTCAGGGGATGCTAATCATTTCCGCTAGATTGCGGTGAAATCAGAGCAGATTTGGAAAACCAACAAGCATCGAACAGTCGCCTTAACAAGTGAGCGAGGATCTCTATGGCGCGCACGGACCATGGGGGCGACTTTTCAAATTCTTTTTATAAAGAAATCCAAAGTCGTCCCCGGCTAAACATTTCACCGAGGTGGAGCAATGAAACGGGTTCACAGTTTTGAACAGAACAGCTCCCATAGCTATGAATGAATGAATGGATACTTGAGTGGATCGGCAATGGCGATTGAAATAGCGCCTTTTGTGATGCAGATGTATAATACAAGTCTTTTATTGACTGTCCAAAATTTCGAGTTGATTTAGGTGACTACGACATTTAAGCCCGAAATAACTTCGACTTGAGTTCATCGTAGCATATATGTCTGACTTGAGGATATTCGGTGACTTTGCCTGTGTGATTAGGAGGCTCTGCATTTTTATCAGCTTTATTTCCACCACAGATGTAGACAATTTGAAAGTCATTGCAGGGCTTTCCATCTCTTGTGACCGCAAACTTCTTGACGGTCTTTCTTTTCTTACTGCTCCCTTCACCATTCTTGTTATCACTACCCTCATCATTTCCCTTCTTTCTTTTCTTAACTCCGTTATTGGTTCCTTTGCCATCGCTCTGGTTGTTACCTCTCCCCCTATTGCTCTTTCCCTTGTTATTGCTGGTTATATTGTCGTTCTTGTCATCAGCAGGCTCTTCAGTCATAGTTGCTTGGTGAACACCACCAAATGCAACATCCAAATATTCCTCAATCTGGTTCTTGCCTGTGGTCTTCCTTTTCCAAAATGCCCTGTCAATGCATGTTGAGCGATTTGGGTCGTTATGGACCGTGAACGAACTAACCGACACTTGGATGAACATGTAGCCCAATATAAAATCGAATCGTGCATACGAGCCTCCGTTTATCAGGATCCTTTTGCCATCTTCTTCTACAGTTCCAAGCATCCTTGGTGGCTTTCCTAATAGCTCGTATCCCGAGATGTTGAAAATAGTATCCATCTTGTTTCCGCCTGCAAGATCTGTTGACTCGAATGTATGAGAATATCCTCTAATAAGCTCCCGAAATAGGGCCTCTTGAAATTGGCTCCCATCAAAATTACCAGAAGCAAGTACACTTCGAAGAGAATCTGGCAATGGGATGACTCTGTATAAATTCAATATCGCTCTTTGTGCAGGGTAATTAATGGGACGGTATTCAGGCACATTTCTCTCGTTAGTCGACCGATAAACCATCCCCGTATCAAGGAACTCCCATCCAAAAGTTCCCGGTTGTGAGCCCTGACGTCCAGGTAAGAACATTTTTGTCAGCGCTTGGATAGTTATTTCCTTCCAGATTCCTTCGAGCTTGTTCAAATGAGCCGATATTTCATTGGAATAGGAATCGAAGCATTTTCTGTCGTATGCTTCTAAACCGTCGTCGATCTGTTCCACCGTGAGCTGTCCTCCTTTTATGAGCATAATTGATTTGGCGAATCTGACCAAATCACGTGGCACTCGGTTGATAATCCCGATAATTGCGTTCATGCGGCTCATGAGGCTCTTTTGAGATGTCAAATCGAAGGGAGCAATGGTAATTTTGAATAGTTTTTCGAATGTATCTTGTGATAAAGGTTCGACATAAACGAGATATTCGTCTGGATCCCTGAGGATGGTCCTTTCAAACTTGCCATGCGCAGTGCCCGTAAACACAACACATACTCCACCACCATTTGTTAACCAAGTGTTGAAGCTATCCAGATTAGACAGGACAGGAAACCTATCTGTTGCTGCTTTGTCACCATAAAACAAAGAACCATGCTCATCGACGATGAAGAGAGTCTTTTGACGTCCTCGTTGGAATAAGCATATTATATGCCTAGCAATAGTTGAAATAAGTGATCCACTGCTTTCAAGGTTTGCCATGATGGAGAGTTCTTCTGCAGTCAAGATATCCTTATTGAGATCTAGGAAGATCTGACAAATTATTGCTGATGCGTCATCTTCCGCCCTACAGACAGAAAAGTTCTTTGCATCAGGGATGTAAAGAACTTGCCAGCCGTGAGCATATGCCTTAGCGGCAAGAAACCAGGTTATATAGGACTTCCCGACTCCCATGGGGCCAGACAAACATTTTGTAAACGGAAACTTAGACTCGGTCATCGCTTCCCATAATTCCATCATCTGCTCGGTAACAAGGAGATTCTGACTAGCTAATCCAAAGAACTTTGGGCTACGACCAAGGCTTCTTATCTCGACCTCTTCGCCTACCTTAACATCCTTCAGTGATGAGAAATTCAAGCGACTTTCCGGCTGGAGGCTGGTCTCATTGAGCATATCTATCATGAACTTGGGTAAAGATACTGTCTGCCCATTGGCTAAAGTATAAACTTCTCGGGATTCCGAGGGGCGAAGGCGCTTTGTAAAGTGCTCTTTGAGCATAAAAGAATAGCGAGACTGACGTGAGTATGAAATAAACAAACTTCCTCAAGAATCATCAAAACTATGAGCGGGATGAACTCACCTTCTGAACCTCCGTCTTCTATGTCTTCTAGGCTCCTTTTTGGACTTCTTGGGGCTGTTTAAATCCACGCAATAAACAAACAAGAGGATAGTTAGATAGGGCCTTGATAAAAGTACTTGTATGCGATAGGGCAGTGGGGAGCCGAAATAAGCCCAAGTAAAAAGACTCGCGAGAGGACAGTGAGAGTCAGAGTATAGGCACGAAACATGGGGCGACTTTTCAAATTCTTTTTATAAAGAAATCCAAAGCCGCCCCTGGTTAGATAGTTTAGCCATGATACATCTCAAACATAAAGAGCTGTTTTGAATTACATCAATGACGTCATGAATGACAATAAGCTTCGTCAATTAAAAATATCAACAGCCATCAGTCCATCAAGAGCTAAATACATACCTGGCGGCGGCAGCTTGACAATAACATATGTCCTTCGGCTGGTCAGCTCGTCCAGCTCAGAAAGAAGTGCCCTCTCGTCATCGAGCTCTGTCTTTTCAACGGTGCCATCAAGATCTACTTTATTGTCCTTATCTCTCCTGGGGTTGACTGTTCTCCAGAGCGTGAGCTGGTCAGCATCGAAGTCCTTAAACGCATTTTTCTTCGCTGCCTTGATGGCTTGCTTGAGTTCATCGACTGAACAATTGGAAAGAATCTTTACAGAAAAAGAAGTTGCTTCTCCCTCGATAATGCAAAAAATCTTTAGATCGATTGGCTTGGGGGTGTTAGATCCACTGATGCTTCTTCCTTCGTTCGCTCCTAACGGATTATGTCGAGGTGATTGTCGTGGTGACGATTTGGAGCTTCCCATTGTGGTTTCAAAACTGTTTAAAAACAAGGGTGTAAATGGACGGAGGACAGAAAACAGGAAAAGTTTGATCAAATTGTTAAGTATGGTAAGTCAGTAGCAGGATGGTTCAAAATTGTGACAATGTAAGCTGTGGAGATGAAGATGAGGGAGGAAAAGAAAAAAAAAAAAAAAAAAAAAGGAAGGAAAGGAAAGGAAAGGAAAGGAAAGGAAAGGCAATGAATGAAAGCTTGGAATAAATGAAAAAGGAAGAGGAGAAGATATGTGAAGGGAGCAAAACTGGGGGGAAATAAGAAAAAAGTGAAAAGAGGATAAAGGAAGAAAAGGAAGAGGAGAGTGCAAAAATGAAGTGAAGCAAGTTAAAGAAAGGAGCGACAATTGATAAATTTGTTCCTTTATTTCAAGGTTGGGCTATGCTGTGTGTGTGAGAAATTTTTTTTTCTTGTTGCACAAGACGCCATGCGATTAAAGATTAAATTGGCCCCCGAGTGTGACAGAACATGTATTATTTAAATACACAAACACTATTCATCTCTTTAACTCTCTTGTTTTCACCACACAATCGAAAGTGTGCACATCCACTCTTCACCTTACATTCATCCCACTATGAGCATGTCTAATACCTCATTCCAAGAACAAGAAGCTGTTACTGATATTGTAAGTGTTCAGACGCGAACAATAATTTTTTGTATCAGTGCTTTCTTGGTGAAATATGCCAGGATCATAATAAGTAACGAGAACGAAAGAAAGATGTGTTTATTATGATCCTGGGATCTTCGTTAAATAAAAAGGGTAAAAATCTTAGCTATAGTAAAAACCCATATAAATGACTGCTAATCGCAACATAACTCCTCCAGACGAGCGTCCAGGTAAGAGCGAGTGCTTACAAAGCTTGGAAGGAAACTATATAAAATCTTCCTATTAGGATAATTAGTATCGAAGGAAAAGTATAAAAACCTTCTTGTTTGATTAAATAAATAAATAAATTCTTTGAAGGAAAATGAGGAAAACGTTCATGCTTGTTAAGATATGCGTACAAAAACCTCAGTGAAGCTTCATTCGTTTTTGCTTCTACTTTCTGTTCTTATGTCTTTTCTGAACCCTTGACTCTACAACTGTTGCGGGTTGCTTCCTCTTAGCCATTTTGACAATCATATGAGGGTTTTACTGATTAAGCTTTTTATAGTACTTATTGATCATTGCTTTGGAGTCAAAGTCTTCGTACCTAAGTTGCGAGTTGTGCTCATCGTCATATCCTTACCACTTAACTGTGTACAGTGTCTCTCCCCCCCCTCAGAAGTTTCATGACTCAAGATAGCTTCGACTTCATAATGATCATCGGCATCATCCGAAGCATCAAGTGGTCGATCCACTAGCTTAAGCTGTTCAGGAGCAAAATTACGAGGTAGTAGTTGTCTCATCGCGTCACGGAGAACATAGGTACCACGAACAGTGCAGCGCACGACTTGAAACGGCCCAATGTACTTATTATCAAATGTACTATTAGTCAAGGGGACTTTGATCATCAAATAAGCGGCAATAGGGAAGTCAGTTATAAAATGATTTGAGTTGAATTTATCCACCATCTTCTGCTGCGAGGCTGTACTCTTATCTGCAATAGCAGGGAATACAAGGTCAGTAAGATACTTTAAGCGCTCATTCAATTCTGATTCAGATAGCAATCGTGATTCCGATGCCTAGAAGTCAGATATGCCGGCGAAAGATCGACCATAAAACAGCGAAAAAGGCGCCGAGCCATGAAGGCTGGAAGCTCTAGTATTCATTTGTAACTGGACCATAGGAAGCTGGTCATCCCATTTAATGATTTCGCCTTGAATAGATTTCTGCAAGAGATCTTTAAGGGTACGGACATTACGTTCTGCTAATCCATTGGCCCGAGGATGATAAGGCGTTGTAAGCCTATGATCAATCTTAGGCTTGGTAGTTAACGATGTGACAACAGAGTTGACAAATTCAGTCCCATTATCACTCTGGATAATTTTAGGGAACCCAATGGAGCAGAATAATTTGAAAAGGCGAGCGGCGACAGTAACCGCATTCCGATTAGGTATTGGTTCGATAAAAACAAACCTCGTGCATACATCTACGGCGAGAAGAGCGTATTCGTTGCCTGCGTCACTGACAGGAAATTGGGCTAGGTCAATGGCTATGTGCTCGCCTGGTAGAGTAGCATGTATCGCTTTGAGTGGATGATAGCCTTTACGCACGATATTATAGTGCTGGCAAGCAGAGCATTGTCTTATCCACTGATTGCAGGCTTCACGCATTTTGGGCCAGTTATACCCTTGCTGCTGCAATGATACAACCATAGCATTAATGCCAAGATGTCCAAAGCTGTGTGTATCTTTCAAAAGTTGCTTTTGCTGATCAGTAGGCGTCACTCGTTGCACTTCTTGATCTTGAATCTGGCGCACATAAGGTAAAGAAGTATTAAAACTTTCAATCCTTGGAATAAGATCTGCTGATTGCGTAACTATTGGAGGATCAGTTGTGTCAATGGAACGTAAGCTGCATCTTGTTGATACTGCAGATACTCTTGTAGACTCTGATTGAGAAGACTCTGGATGGGTCGGACTATTTTCTCGGGCCCATAATTCATCAGGAAAAGCTCTCGATAGCGCACCAGGAATAATGTTCAGCAATCCAGGTCTGTAGATGCATTGGAAATCATAGCTGAGAAGGGTTTCTCTCCAGTCCGCTAAGATCTGAGAAAGTTCCTTTTATTCATGAATATAAGTGAGTGGTTTGTGATCAGTGTATAGGGGTGAATTTGCGACCCCATAAGTAGTAGTGAAACTTTTTGCAAGCTTAGATAATGCCTAAAAGTTCTTTCTTATATGCTGGGTAGTTGCGTTCGTGGTTCTTTAAAGCTCTAGTCATAAAAGAAATATAATTGACTTTGGTTCCATCTTCAGGACCATTTGGTAATTGGTAAAGCACTGCGCCAATGCCTAGATTGGACGCGTCAGTGGCCACATAAAAGGGCTGAGAGAAATCAGGGAATGACAATACAGGTGCTGATACGGTGAGCTGTTTCAACTGATTAAAACAACGCATTTCTAAATCACCAAGTGTAAAGTGTCCTTTGACGTGTCTCAATTTATCCAAAGGTGCTGCCAAAGTACTAAAGAGGGGTATGTATTCTCTGAAGTAGTTAAACATCCCAAGGTATCTTTGTACCATTTTGCCATCGGTGGGAGGAGCCCATGATTGAACATCAGCAACTTTTTCTGGATTAATCCTTCTACCATTTGCATCGATGACGAACCCGAGCAACAAAACTTCCATGCGGAAGAAATTGCTTTTTTCCTTATTGATAATCAGATTGGCACTTGTCAATAGTTTGATCACCAATTTGACATGTTCAGTGTGCTCTTCAATGCTGTCGGAGAAAATGACAATGTCATCAACATAAACGCTAACGAAGTGAAGATCTCCAAGCAATTGAGACATTCCTCTTTGGAATATACTGGTCATAGGCTTCAACCCAAAAGGAGCACGAGCAAACATATATTGTTTGTTCATATGCTTAAATGCCGTGTAGGGTTGGCTTTTCTCATCCAGAGGTAATCTATGATATGCTTGTGACAAGTCAATTGTAGTAAAATACTTATGACCTGCAGCTCGTTCCAATATTTCGGAAATGATAGGGATAGGAAAGTTATCAATATCCACGAGCTGCTTGTTCAGCGTTCTTGGGTCAAGACAGACTCTGTATTTAATAATTTCACCTTCTAAGTTTTTCCTTGCTGCAAGCGTGAGAGAGTTTTTGTAGGGATTGCCTTTAGGTACCTCAACGATAACTCCGTTGTCTAACCATTTCGGTATGGTGTGAGATGTTTTCTATGTGGTCGCGAGTCAAGGAGACCAAAGTTGTTTTTATTATTGTTGCCAGGCAGCAGTGATCTAAGCTGGAAGCGAAGCAGCAGCGATTTTTGAGAACAAGCACGTGCTGGTTAATTTTTTCAGCATGCTGGTTCGTTTTTCCAGCATGCTGGTTCGTTTTTCCAGCATGCTGGTTTATTTTTCCAGCATGCTGGTTCGATATTTCAGCATACTTGTTAAAATTTATTAAAATTTTTAACTTGCATAACCAAGTGCTCCTCCATGCACTGCTACCTCAGAATCTCGAGCATCAATAAAAGCTTGATTACTCACAGCTACAGAATGGATAATCCTCATTCAAACATTTGTCAGTTTTGTATATGCACATGCCTAAAAAAAGATGTCAGCCGTAGTCACCCTTCATTGCCTCTTCACAAAAAAACAAAAATGGCGTGCTAACTGCAGCTGGTGGAACAGAAAGGTTTTCATGCTACACAAAACCAAACACCAATTGAATGCTACAACGTTGCCTTTATCTTCTTTATCTTCTTTATCTTCTTTCCATTGTTACCCGTTTTACTTTCACACAAAATCTTTAAGAAATAATGGCAAATCATACACATGATCCTCTTCACCAGGATGAGAATGGAGAACAGGGGTATGAGGATGAGGATGAAGATGAGGATGAGTATGAGGATGGACACGAGGAGGGGAATGAGTATCAGGAGGAGCACACCAGTGACGAGGAAGAGACCCTTATACCTCGCCGAAATCAAATCGAACGAAGAATGCAACTCCAGAAAAGTCTTCCAGCAAATAGAATCGATTCTCCCCAAACTAGTGATGCAGCCTACAATGGCGAATCGTTCGAGACGCAAGATATGCCGTGTGATGAGCTTGAGGTACTAGACTCCTATCTTGGTGCGAACCCAATCTCGTCTTCATCCCAGACGATGAGACCCATGGTAAGCATTGGTCGCGAAAAGAGGAGGTTCATCAAAACTTCTTCTCCTCCCGGTGGATTTGCGCAATCGGTTCATCATGCCAGACCAAGGACGTTTGGACGTTCTCAATCATCAACAGCTTTGCCTACATCACGTTATAATCATACGCTACTTGCTGCACAGCAAGCCCCACTGTCATCTCTCCGTTCATCCAACAGCTTCTCCCAATATCGGGAGTCAAAACCAGGCCCATCTTCAGTCTCCTCGATTTCTACATTGAGCTCCACGCAACAGCGCAATATTTACGCGTTCAAGATCTATTAATCTTCCCTCTTTTGACTTTACACGTGCCATTGATGCTGAAGCATTGGCCAACCGGCGGAGAGAGCTGAGGGATAGTCATTTTGCATCAAACGGATGGTATGATTTGTACGAGTTACTGGATTTTGGTACCATTCCTACGCCAGAACAATTCTCTGACGCCCCTCCCTCTCAAAAAGCATTAGCCCTGATTCCAAATCAAAAATCCTTTCGCAAAAACAGCGTGATTGGTCATTTTTTCAAATCAAGCAAGGAAGAATTCCAGTGTCTGGTCCTGAAAGATGGAGTAATCTGTGGTACTACATACAAGAAAACTGGGAGTGGATATTCAAGATCTGTTCACTTAACTCAGTGCCATGGCGATTTATATAGTGCCCTCCAAGAATTTCGCAATTGTCAGAGCAGGGTTAAAGGTATCATGCTGCCACCTGATCCGGAAGAAGTTGACGTGGCTCCACCAAGAAAGGCAAAATTCGACATCGCACGAGATGAGATTGTTAATGAGAGCCTCAAGAAGCCGCTCCCTCATGAACAAGAAGCATTCGAGGATACGCTTTTACTGCAGTTAATTCGACGATCTTCAGATCAATCATTGAAATGACCAATCCTTATTTCAATATCCCTACCACAATGGCTATGCAAGACAGGATGGATCGACGAGTTCGAGAGATGAGACGCGAAATCAAAGAGTACATTACCTATTATAAGCTTTACGCTGCCGTCACGACAGATTGCTGGACAAGCGTCGATCACAGGAAGTTCTTGGGGACTACAATGCATTTTTTCACGCCAAATTTCGAGCCAGTATCTATTGCAATAGGGATGGAACAAGTCTATGGGGTGCAAACATCCCAAAATATTCACCGGAAGTTTGGTAAGTAAAATGCTGATACATCTGCCCCTTATCTTTATATTTTCATAAGTATTGCAACGTTCTTAACGTTCTTAACGTTTTTTTTTTTTTTTTTTTTTGTGGTCTTTTGATTCATTTACCAGCTGAGGCTATTGATAGCATGGATATGAGCGAAAGACTCATTTGCGCAACAACAGACCAAGGTGCTAATATAAAAAAAGCGATAGCTCTCTACCAAGAAGATCACAAGGGGGCGCACTGGTTGGCATGCGCCTCACATAAGATCCAGCTTTGCATCAATAAGTCTTTGGAGCTATGCGAACCCGCTAAGAAATTATTGGACAAGTGCCAAGATATTTCAGTTTTTTTCAGAGGCAATGCCGCGGCGATGTCTATCTTAGTGGAAGAACAGGAAGGCAAGGGTGCCAAGTTGCTGTCGAGGAACATTACAAGATGGAACTCCCAGTACAAGATGGCAAATAGAGTGCTACTTTACTCTCAAGCAATTTCTCGCACCTACCATCGCATGGAATCCTCCGAAAAAAGGGAGATAAGGTTGAAAGCAAAGGAATTAGAGCCAAACCTACTCGATCGTGATGAGGTCAAAGCTCTCCGTGAAATCATTCATATGATGACAGATGCAGTCAAATTCACTGAATGGGTGGGCAGTACCGACCATCCAAAACTGTCACAAATGTATGTGAAGTTGAAAGAGTTGCTACCGGACTCTCGCACATACGACACCGAGACGGCACAGGAGCTCTGGAGAAACCTTAACAGGCTTATCAATACGATGTGGGCCGTGGATGACATTCCCGATGTTATGCTCATATCGCTATTCCTGAACCCGGTGACCTTGAGTATCATTAAAGACATAATGACAACCAATGGTGACTCTCTCAGGAAGAAAGCTCTAGAGGTGACCAGAGATGCAGCAAAAAAGTTTGCCGCCACCCAAGATGGAGCATGTTGGGATCAACTTCCTCTTTTGGAACAAGAATATTACCATTCGATAGTTAGTGTCGATATGGTATATTATGATGCGTCTATTTCAAGAACGCCGATGATGGACATCGCGCGTTTTGCTCTTACTCCTGAGCTTTACTGGAAGGAGCAAAAGGACAAGGGATTAAGAGGAATGGATTATATTGCTCCATTTGCACGAGCATACCTTTCTGTCCAGGCTACTTCCAATGATTCTGAAAGGTTATTCAGCAGAGCCGGATGGATCCTGTCTGCACGCAGAAACCGAATGACCAATCAAAACTTCCGTAGCATCATATTTTATCACAGCTTTGTCTCTGCCCTGAAAAAATTACTAGCAGTAGCAGCTAACTTTTTTATTAAAATAAAGGACTTCTATGGCAACGCTTAATTTCTAAAACAGATGCCAAACTATGGCTGACATCTTTTTTTAGGCATGTGCATATACAAAACTGACAAATGTTTGAATGAGGATTATCCATTCTGTAGCTGTGAGTAATCAAGCTTTTATTGATGCTCGAGATTCTGAGGTAGCAGTGCATGGAGGAGCACTTGGTTATGCAAGTTAAAAATTTTAATAAATTTTAACAAGTATGCTGAAATATCGAACCAGCATGCTGGAAAAATAAACCAGCATGCTGGAAAAACGAACCAGCATGCTGAAAAATTGAACCAGCATGCTGAAAAAATTAACCAGCACGTGCTTGTTCTCAAAAATCGCTGCTGCTTCGCTTCCAGCTTAGATCACTACAGGCAGGAGCCTTTTATTAAGGGCTCGCCATGACCGTCACACAATGTTCTGACCTTATGAATAAAAATGGACGTGCCCCTGAGGTGTACTCCCAAGCCTCGGTACGTAGCACGGTGGTGTTGACTTCGTCTATTTCTACTTGCGCATAGAACTCAGAGAGCGTTCTTTGAATCACGCAGTCATCTCTGACTTTTAGATGGACTTGCATAATGTCTAATGGGCAGTGACTCTTAGGGCCAATCTGGCTATTGGAGCAACGGAAGGACTCAATGGCTAATAAGAACTGCTTCTGTTTGATGAATTCAGTTTCTAACTCTTGGTCTTCCATAGTAGAAGGCACAAGTGGCGGTTTACTTTCTTCAGCTAAGAAGTCTTTTACTTTTTCAGCAACAGCTGTGGCTACGCCATGGATCCCAAAGCCGAAGCGGTAAAATAGATCCATTCCGATAAGGAAGTCGTAATATCCCATAGGCGTCACGCTGACTCTGCATTCAACTGTGCGGTTATTACATGATAGAGTAATAGCATCTACTATACCAACATTTTGAAAACCAGTAGTGTCATCTGCAAATTTAATTACAGTGTTTTTCGAGGTTGTAGTCCTTATTCTGAGGTCTTTAGCGATCTCTCGATTGCTGAAGGATATGTTGGAACCAGAATCAAGCAAAACCGTGTATAATAGGTCATTTATAATATAGGAAGTAGATATTCTGTAACCAATATTTCTATTTGGTTTAGGATTCGCATAATTATCATGCAGATGTGGCGCTTTTGATTGTAATCTTTTAGCTTTTAATACAGCACTTGTCGCTATTTTTAAAGAGTAAGGGAAGAAGGTTTTATTAACTACATGCCAATGGTAATCATTCTATTACATGGACTAATTATTTAAAAAATATCGTCATCTTCTATATCCCACTTGAGCTGCTCGGGGCGATCCTTCGTCGGTGCGCATCTCTCACGCTCCTCCCAATAGCCAGCACGTCCATCCCTGAGGTTGCCACTGCCCTTGGGTTCTCCAGGGAGATCACGTCCAATAAATTCCCATCCATCATCCTGGCCATTACGCTTGAACCAACGGGGTTGATGCTCTTTCCCAGGAGGAAGCATCCTGCGCTTGGCACGTTGCTTTTCTTCCAAACGCTGCTTTTCTGTATTTGCTAGATCAAACTCTCCATTCTCCATCGCTCGTTGATCGGGTCTCAAACGTGAATCTGTGGGACAGAGATGTTTCTTGAGTGAGTCCGGACAGTCATTCAGGGTCATAGCAAAAGGTGTAAGGTTGAATGGTGTTGGGGTAGAAGGAACAGGGTCACGCTTCCACAACAAGAGCACCTGCTTGGGTGAAAGCGAAGCAGCATAGGTTGATCCGCCTCCTGATCTTGCTTTTGCGTGATGGGATGCTCCTGATTGAGCTAATTCACCATGGTCATCCTCTGCCACATGGACAGCGCCAGCAGCGACAGCATCGCTCCCCAAGTCTTCGCCATTGCCCTTGCCAGCGCGACGTGCCACCAGACGTTCGTTCCATCGACCTGCTACTTCCCAGACCTCGTTACCCTTGGCATCCAAAGCGAATCCTCTGATCTCGTAAGCATCTTTGCCTCTCCAACCACGAGGCTTGAACGTCAGCTGACATTTCTCTCCTGTACGATGGTTTGTAATAATCATATCACCATAGTTATCAATCCAAGGTGTACCCACAATCAAATTTTGCACACAGGTTGTCACCTTCCTCCAGGAATAACGTTCAATAAACTTGTTTTCGTCATTCGGATCAGTCAAAAGTTCTTCTGATCCCTCCGCAAAGGCTTTAGGGACTTTGAGCTCAACGTTCGAAGTTCCCTTGGGGAGCACTTCAAAGGACTTGCCCCAGAACTTCGACTTTACATCAACCTCGGCGTAAAAGTTATAATTAGGTGACTCGCAGTAGCATGCGCTGATAGGCTACATTCAAGATTCCAATCGAAGCAAATAAGGTTAATGGTTAGAAAACAATAATAAAAATAAAAAAATAAAAAAAATAAAAAATAAAAAAAGAAAAAGAAAAAGAAAGAAAGAGAAATGAGTGCAATGAGACATACTGGATGGTGTGACACCTGCTCGGAAATGTAGCGAAATTGCTTGTCCTCACGACAATACTCGTACGTCTCGCCTAAAAGAGGGTTGAATGGTTTGGCAACTCTGCCGATCGTACTGGAGTAGTTGCTCATAGCGAATGCTGCAATAAATAGAATACGCTCCGTCGCCCCACGGTGTCGTACAGCCTTGTCAAGAAGCTCAATATACTCGGCGTCTTCGGCCATGCGCTGTAACATGGATGTTGGCTCATTAAAGTAGACTGGCAGCGTGATTTTGGAGAGATCTTTTCCAATCGAGTTCTTTAAAATGGCCCAAAGGGACACATCCGGACGCAGCGACGTTTGCTTTGTAGGAAGGCGATCGCGGACCTTTGCTGGATATCCCTTGAAGGAAGGCGCAACGTAGGGCTCTCCCGGCTTGGTAGAGGTGGCTTCATGATCAGTTTCTCCTGTTCCTGCCGCTACAGCACCTTCTTTCTGCCCAACTTCTTCCTTCTTCTCTATTTCCTGATGCCCCTCCGTCTCTTTTTCATTCTGCACTTCATCATCTTCAAGCTCCACAATGTCATCGTCGTCCACAGCATCGAAAAACTCATCTCCAGACTCTGCATCAGACTCACTAGACTCATCAGAGTCAATGTCATCCTTAGCCTCTTTTTCAGCCCCAACCTTGGACATATCTAATGCTGGATGGGCCGTGGCTCCTTCTGTTGGATTTTCGGAAGTTGCCATTACGGCAGTGGTGGTCAAGGTGGGCGTGCTGGCCTTGGAACGAGCTGGTCGACCCTTCTTCAACTTTCGCTTAGATTCTTCTGTGCGTTTCAAGAGATCCTGCATCTGCAGTTGCTCCTCAGAGAGAATCCTTAAATTTTCTTCCCAAAGCTCACGTTTTTGTGACTCTTGTTGTAGAATTCGCTTCCAATAATCCTCACGATCCTTGGTCATGGCCTGGAGTTTTTGAAGCGAGTTCTTGATGGCAAGTGATGATTCATGGGTGGCCAAGGTCAGCTTCATGATTTCAGAGTCCTCTGGGACTTCTGCAGCTCTCTGGAGTCGGATCAGGTTCTCTGCAAACTCGGTGTGAATCTGGATCTGAGACTGTACATAGTTATTTGTTGTGATAAACGATTCTGCATGTGGAACAACACTGTCCTCGACAGCAGCCTCATCTGGGCTGGCAGAAGAAGAGCGGGATCGTTGTGAACGAGCCAAAGATTTCCCTTCCCGAACAACGGTTCGTCCACGAGCCAACATCGAGTCTCTTTGTCGAGAAAGATCGGTACCTGAAAGGCTCAAGCTCTGGCGAGGTTCCATGAATGACATGCGATCATTGGTTCCCGAGGTCTCTTCTATCCACTGTTTTGATTGGTTCAGTGCAAGGATCCAACGCTGAGCCTCTTGAGCGTGACCTGCTTTGAGATGATATCGAACGGAGCCTTTGCCAACGATGTCAAATCGCTGCTTGTCATTCGAATCGATATCGACCTTGGCGATTCTCAAGTTGATACTTCCTCTACATGCATTTCCAGCGTCTTCCTGGTTGTGAAAATATGATAGGATACCATCCTCAAGTACGAACCACCTCGCTTTATATCCTGAAGCGTAGTTGGTCCATTTGAAGAGTGTTCCCTCAAGTTTAGGTGGTTGCCCAGGTGTGGTTGGAACTATAGGTGCAGTGGATGCTATTTATATAAAAAAAAAATAAAATAAAATAAAAATGAAATGAAATAAAATAAAATAAAATAAAATAAAATAAAAAATTAATAATAATGATAATTAGCTTTTTTAATTTTACGCTTCATTTCAAAGAAATGCATTACATCAATCAATCAAAATAAAAGTAAAATAGTTATGTCATTCTATTTTTCTTATTATATTATTACCTTGGGAACGAGAATCTCGTAATAGATTCTTAATTTTTGTATCCTTGGTAACATCGGCAGCAGTTTTTCCTTTCTTGTCTCGAAGAAGTGTATCAATCCCTTGATCCAGACACCATTGCACCATAGCCATATCCTTTCGCCGACTGGCAGAATGTAATATGGTTGATCCTGTCTCGGTGTCTTGGTGACTGATGTTGAGTACAAACGCAGCACGAGGATGATCAAAAAGCCCTTTCAAACTAGTCAAATCTCCTGCTTCTGCATATTGGTGCATGAGTGCTGTCGTCTTTGAAAGGTATTCAGTTCGATGGGCTAAAATAGGATTTATTTTTTTTTTTTTTTTTTTTTTAATATCAGAGACGCATAGTCATTTAGTATCTTGTACTCGTCAGGAGTTGGAAAAGGGGAGGAAAGAAAGAAAGAAAGAAAGCAGTTTCATGGTGCCTTGTAATAATGTTATAATGTTAATGTCAATGTCAATGTTCAAGTTGTTTATACCTTTGAGGACAACGCGCACTTCAACTATGGAGGCTACATCGAGAGCACTCTTGCCCTTATAGTCCAAGATACCGTCGTTCACCTCAGCCTTCGAAAGCAATAGTTTGACTACATCAAGACGGCCCATACTGGATGCGATATGAAGGGCGGTTGAGCCATGACTATCTCTAGCATTAAGATCTATTTGAGGTGTAGTGTTGACGACATATTCTACGACTGGGTATTGTGCACATTGAACTGCAAGGTGAACAGGTGTGGTCTGACTTCCTTGAGATGCACTCTCGAATGAATGAGTGCTGGAGATTGAGGCGCTGGGGTTGTGAAAGGTCGGTCCAGTCTTGTAGGTGGGTAAGAGCACAGAGAGTGAATTCAAGTCGCCTAAAGAAAAGAAAAAGAATGGGGCAGAGGGTAAGCAAGCGAATGTAATGAATAAAAAAAAAATAAAAAAAAGAGAATATACCTTTCTGCAATGCTTCGAGGATTTTGAACATCTTCATGGGATCATCTACATTAACATCGGCATCATATGGTATAAAAAAAAAAAAAAACAACGATCAGCAACTATTCATTTGCTAAATTACATCAGACCTGGCAAAGACTTTTTTTTTTTTTTTTTTTTTTTTTTTTTTCATTCCTCGTTCCTTTTGCATAGACATGCACACACACACACACACACACACACACATAGACCGTTATTCACACGCCTACGTAGTTTGCAACATGTTTAAACTGAGCAAAAATTATAATTGCTGTAAAATAAATAAAGAAAAAAAGGTTGTATTGTTTAATACCTTGGGACGCATTTGTTGGAGATGTAGAGGACAGGTTCTGGCGCGTGTTCTGGGTAAAAGCTTGGTCAGACCGACTCTTTTGAGGCGAGCGTTGGACGGTTGGGACCGTCGACATGGCTTTGTATTTGGAGGAAGAAAGAAGGAAATAAAGAAAAGAAAAAGAAATAAAGAAATGAGAAATGAAAAAGTTAAACTTATTACCCTTTCAAGGGTTTTTTATTCTATGGGTTACAAAAAGAAAGTAAAGAGGAAGGACATTGAAGGGGAGCAACTTGCAACTTGATAACTTGGAGGGACTGCAACTTGATAACTTGACCCTTTTCCCCCGTGACTGAGCTGTCCCGGAATGTGACAACCCAAATTGCAGTCTCATCTTTACTTTACACTATGAGAATAACGCATGCACGAGCATATGAACATTGCGAAACCATCAGATTATGATTAAAATATATAAATATATTCCGTCTTTTGTGTTTCAGTAGCAAAGAAAGATACGCTGCGGGAGGGTGTTTGACGTATGTATTGTGTGAATGGATACAACTCCAAGAAAGACGCGTGTTTTACAGATAAATATAGAAGATGGGAGGAGACAAAGCGTAGATAAAAGCACACGACACTTTCTCTCTCTTGCTTTCTAATCCCACTCTACCAGATAAAGGATAGATATTCCTCATCAACCAACCACTCCTACGGGTTTTGGCTCTAATTGCTTGCTCTCATTAAAAGAAAAAAAAAAAAAAAAAAAAAAAAAGAGTTGTGAGCAAGAGTGATAATCTTTTCCAACCTGCGCTGCAATGGACATTGATGAACTTGCAATTGTGTCTACGCCACACAACATAACATGTACAACACAACATCACATCACCAATGTCAATGCTATACTTTTTTCAAAAAGGAGTGAGCATTAGAAAAATAAATGATCCGCCATCCACGAACGACAACGATGTTTCTAAACAGCCCCCTAACAGAAGTGATACACATGCACAAACAACCATCAACCAACATTTTTGCCAATGATCGTAGTTTTTAGACTGAACAGAGCCCGATGCCTGAAAAGAATTGTTAGGATAAACTAGGGCGGGTTTTTTGGGTTGCATGAATGAATTATTTCTATTTATTTTATTCTGTAAAGGATTGGTTCTCTTACCTGTCCTGTGTGTACCGGACCCCATACATCATCCCATGTCGGATGTCGGCATACATCTCCACCCCTAATTTACTTTCTCTTTCTCTTTCTCTCTTTTTTTCTTTCTTTCCTCCTTTTCTTCCTCTCTTACTTCCTTTTCTTTCTCTCTTACTTCTTTTTCTTTCCTTTAAAAGATACTTTGATTCATCCGTTCATTCATTCATTCGTTCATTTATTTATTCATTTATTTATTTATTCATTCATTCATTCATTCAGCTCATTGATCTCTTCATTCTGTTTATTCCACTTTATTATTCATTCTTTTTTTTATTCGCACTTTGCATCACACCTCTTCCCCACACTTTTCTTTTTCTGTTAAAAAAAAAAAAAAAAAAAAAGAACCAAGCTCTTGCGGCACATATCCATTGACCACATTACGACAATTCCTCTCGCTCACTCAGTTTCTTTGTATCCACTTTTAATATTCATCTCCACATTCATTTTCTCTCTCTCTCTCTCTCTCTCTCTCTCTCTCTCTCTCTCTCTCTCTCTCTCTCTCTTAATATTTCCCCCTAACATTACATTTCATTATCTCTCTTGTAAGTTGTAATTTGCTAGTTGTCACGTTCTCCTCTCTCTCCACATTCAATTCGTTTCACTTTAATTCAATTCAATTCCTTCTCCACATCCCCCCCTCCCGATAAAAATCAATTTCACTTTATCAACAACAACACATCTGATCGATCCACTCTTTTCTTTTCTCCAATTACTTTGCTTTGAAAAAAGGAAAAAATAAAAAAAATAAAAAAAAAGAAATAAAAACCAGTAGAGCCTTGCTCCTCTTCTACCTTGCCTTTTCTTTCACCAACTTACACAGCAGCATCACCTTTTCTACTCTTTATTCTATATTCCTAATAGATCATATTTAAAAAAGAAAAAGAAAAAGAAAAAGAAAAAGAAAATAAAATAGACGACATTTCTAATCTCAATGTCGACAGAAATGAGGCTCCAGCGTCAGCTGGAGCATAACAAGAAGCTACGTGAGCAATATGAACGTGAACGTATCTCTGTATCCCAGGCAAGCATCCTGTAAGTTTTTTTTTTTTTTTTTTATTATTATTAAAAGGATAATTTTTTAGTCTTGTTTTTTGTTTTTGTGCAACCCAAAGCTCCAATTCATCACAAGGTTATAATCAATACAAACAAAAAAAAAAAAAAAAACAAAAACAAAACAAAAAAACAAAAAAAAAAAAAAAAAAAAAAAAAGATTTTATCGTAACGAAGCGAAATAAAAAAGCAGGAAACTAGGAAAGGAGTACACACAAATACAGAAACATACAGGAAACACAAACATCGACAACAAATGCAAAAATGAAATTGATCAGACTCCTGACCGTGTAACAAGCTCAAACTTTCTCACTCTTTTTTCCTCTTTACGTCTTTGATCATAGGCTTATTCAATACTGTCAAGCAAGGAGAGACATGTTCATTCCCACCGTTTGGGGTGAAGTGGATAAGAAGGAGGATCCTTTTGAGACCCAGGCCACTGGATGTGGCTGTAATATCATGTAAAATAGCTTCTTTTTTTTTATATACATATATATCAAGGAATAATAATCATCGTAATAATAAATAAATAAATAATAATTAGTATTTAATAAAACGTAAAAATGTAAAAAAAAATAGTATACAATAATCTTTCTCTCCCCCCTTTTTTTTTAAATGTGTATCCCCCGAATCCTTTTGTTATTCCTGCTAAACAAACGGTCAACTGTATACACATGTTGTTATTCAACGTTTGTATAAATAATTATCTACTATTTCACCCCCTTAGTCTAAAAAGATCAACAATGTCAATGTCAATGTCAATGTCAACAAAAAAAAAGGAAAAAGGGAAAAAAGATGAGCTAGGATATTGCCGACACCAACACCAATTGATTAAAAACAAAAAAAAAAAAAAAAAAAAAAAAAGTTTCAAGCGTTGCAAGTTGTCTGAACTTTGAGTGTGTTCTGGCCCTTTCTTTTGCTTGGCCCCTCTCTATGCCCCCTCCTCCTCCTGCCTGTGCCCCCCTGTGCCACTTAAAATAGTCTTTTTTCATGCGCCACTAAATGGAGTTTACTTCCAACTCTTTCTTTGTTATACATCACATACATCTTATACATCTTTACACGTCCTTGTTTCTGTACTGTGTACTGTACGGTATTTATTTATTTCTATTATTACAATCTACTCTAGCCCTGACAAAACAAACAAAAAAACATTTAAAAAATAAAAAAGCAAAAACATCCTCTTTCCTCTCCTCACAATCGTAGTGTCTGGGAGGAGTAGTTTTATATATTTATATATACAAGCGTTGTAAAAAAAAAAAAAAAAAAAAAAAACCATCTTTAAATCAAAGAAAATAACGTTGAAACCATAAAGTTTTGCTCAGTGATCAGTGATCAAATAGTGTATACACTGCCTTGGGTTCTGGGAGATGCTTTCTCCCCCTCTTTTTTTTTTTTTTTTTTTTTTTTTTTTCTTCTTCTTCTTTCTTTTTTTATGATCACTCTTCACAAAGTTTGCTTAATCGAAGCAGTTCTGCTGACTCCGCACCTTCAATCGTCTGTAATAGATATTGTATCTCTGCCTCCGGCTCAAATGGATATCGTGCTGCCATGATCTTAAACCCTAGAATACGCTTGATGATCGTGGCAGTCGTCCTATGTTTGTGAATATTGATCAACCGACCATTATCAGCCCTCATCACTGGAACAGGGCCAGGGGTTGGAGCAGAGGTACAAGCAGAGGTAGGAGCACGAGTCGGTACAGGGGCAGGGTCAGGGTCAGGGGCAAGAACAGGGACAGGGACAGGGGTAGGATGCATTTCGCTCGCTGAGCTCATCATCGAAGGCGAAGCCGGCGGCTCAACAAACGATGGTAGCTCAGAATTAAACACAAGATCAGACAGATAGAGACCTTTTCAATAAGAACAAATATTACAGAGTTAGAGTGAGCGTAGAGGAAAGAATGTGAGCAAATTATCAGACACGCGATCTTTTTTTTTTTTTTTTTTTTTTTTTTTTACATACAAATATATATGTATATGTATACTATACATACCAAGAAATGGGATACATCCTCCCTGCTGTCCTGATCTGGAAATATCCTTATCCCTTTCTTTCTCTTTACCTTTTGAGCTTGCAGAAATCGGTATCAGCGGCACTGTCTGTTTCACTGATGCTACAGGTGAGACTGGACTAGACACGCTCTTTTGTTCCAATGGATGGTTCATCCGCTGAGCGTTTGATAATACTGAAACAGTCCCTGTGTTTGTTCCCAAAGGCTGAGGCGTTGTTGATGGCCAACGAATGGTTCCTCTTCCAACCTTGACACTTAGACTGGCCATAGATTTTGAAGGCTTCCGACTGAAGAACGTTCCCCCACCCGTGCTTATCGTCGGCTTTTCGGCGACTGCGGATGGTGTAGAAGGTCCAACACCAGCGCCAACATCAACACCAACACCAGCACCAGAACTAGCACCAGAATCAGCATCACCACCGGTACTACTATTGGCACTGGTACTGACATTAGCACCACTACCGCCCCATTCATCTGCGATATTCTTCATTGCCTCCCGTAGGTGTTTCCAGTTGTGGAAAGGCAATGTAAACTCGACTAACTCCTCCATAGTCTTCATTTCCTGTGCTCGGACTCTGGCCCAAGTCTGGCTTAATCTGGACACGGGCAAAGATTGCAATCCGAGCATCAATTGTATGAGTGAGCTAAAGTTGGAATGGTTGTAACAGGTCTATGAACGTTTTTTTTTTTTTTTTTTTTTTTTTTTTTTGTTTGAGATCAGAGGAAATATACATGGTTGAGCTGCGCGCGTTCTTGTGCATGATTCAACACAAAAGAAGGATTTGGTATTTCCATAGACTTACGTGGGCTATCCTAATGAACTTTTCCACAACCTTGACTCTCATACTCAAATTTCGTGTTCGAACGATCTCATATGTTACCCATTGGCATGTCTGTTCATGTAATCGTTTTTTTTTTTTTTTTTTTTTTTTTTTTAAAAAAAATAAAAATAAAAATAAAGCGTTCAACAACAGCAACACCAACAAGCAAAAAAATAAAATAAAATAAAATAAAATAATAAAATAAATAAATAGATAATTCTACTTACCAAGTTGAACCGCTCTACAAGCCTTCTGATACCACGACTTTCCTCGCGCTTCACAAGCCGTCGCTTAGTGTCCTTCAAAGCATTTTTTGGCCTCTTGCCTGCAGTAGACCTAGATACATATGTGGATGTAGCCTCAACAGGATGATCCAATGGCACGATACCAGGATTTTGTTCGTCTGGATAGACCCCCGCAGCTGCGCCCTCTGACCCTTGATACTGTCTCTTATTGAGAGTTCCTTTCCCCGTTTTTTCCTTTTGGTTCGCACTATGTGTGGTTGCATTGACTTTTTTTGTCCAGCCTGCATCAACAAGTTCATACCACTGAATCTGGCTCAACAACTCTCGCTCGATCAGGCAGAGTTGCTGAGCAATTAATTCCGATCTATATCGGAGAACTAAGGGTAATGAAAGGGACCTCTTCGTTGAAAACGATGTAGATTCAAGTGGATGAAACGAGGCCGAATCATGATGAAAATCCTGTTGATCGGAATACATAGCTTGGTCAGCTCGATGGTTCTCCGATTGGCAAGGATCGGCTCTGTTAGCCAAAGAGTCAGCCATGGTATTGGAGGGTGCTTGAGCTTGTCCAGCGGTGACAGACATATTACCAGAGTCTTCTATACGCGAGTTGAGAGTAGGCTCTATCTGTGGCGGATGACTGGTGCCGGATATAGTCATGTCCAAGCCAGAAATCCGATTAAGTGAATGAGACTGGGGACGGGAATGGCTCTTCCAGATTGAAAAAGTGGGTACCAAAGGTAGAGATCCGCGCCGGAGACCAGAGGATTGCTGCACATTCGGGTCAGCTTGGACATGGCTCAGCTTAGAAATGCTTCCTGTGTTGTTTACACGGGTGAAGGTATAGGAATGGAATTAGAAGATGTACAAAATAAAACATATCTTCATATGCCTTGTCGACACCTGTCTTTTAGACTGATCGTCAGTACCTAGCATATCTGAAGAATGCCGTCGTTGAGTCCGATTAAATAGGACTTTCCCTTGACCTTGAGTGGACGGTTGATGTTGTTGGCAACTATTTCGACGATGGAGCTGCAGGTCATCAACAAATGTGGACATACCTTCCACCGCGGAGCTTGGGCCATAACTCTGAGCCCTCTTTGGTAAGAAGCATTCTTCTTGTTTGATCTCAACTTTTCCCGTTTTCACCAAGGTAACATCTTGGCTGTGTGAGGTGGACTCCGGAGGGAATCCTACCCAAGATGCTCGTTGCGATGGGCTCCGCTGCTGTAAGCCCTGAATCATTTCGGCAGGAGGTACAACATTCCAGGTGCCTCCCCTGCCTGTGGAGCTTGGACTCGCTTCTGAAGCATTGGTGGTAACAGGAGTAGCAGTGCCCATAGGAGCAGCGGAAGCATTATCCCCTGAAGCCACAGAGTCGATTGTATGGGGTGGGTACGATGGCCCAGAATATACTCGCTCACATTCAATCTCATTACAGACAGGACTCTCCTTACGACCCTCAAAATCGACTATCACATCCTTGCAGACTACAGGACCCCTATTTTGGGGTCCACTAGATGAGACTGGCGCAAGCCCCACATTGGGTGGATGCTGTGCTTGTTCTAACCTTCTATCCGACAGCTGTGAACCCAACATGTCTTGTTGCTCTATATGGTGATTCTCCCGTAATGGTAGCTGACGGCTATTTCTTTGTGTCATTATATATTGAGGATAGTCATCACCACTTGAGCAGTTACTTCCAGATTCTTCACGCTGCCGGCTCCTTTCTAAACCGAGGCGACGATTGCTGGAAAGGCGGCAATCTTCCGGCGAAAAAACCGTGTTTCTTCCCGTGCAGGACCCCAGGAGGAAATGCGAAAACCTCTCACCCTCTAAACCTGAACGGCCGCCTTGCCGATGCTGTCCAGGCCGGTCGACAGAAGTTGTCCGGCTACTAGGGGCTCCAGAGATAACAGAAGATGAATGCGGACGCCGATGGCTTTTTTTAGTATTGGATGAAAATGCGTTTTTCATCTTTGATAGATGGCCAACAGTGGCAGCCATGTATCGGGACCATGGCTTCTTCTTCTCTGTTGATGAAGCAGCTCGTGGGGGCGGGTTTATGTAGGGCTCAACCGGTCGTATAGAGCTCCGTGTCGGAAGCAAAGGCCCTGCCGGCATAGTAGGAAGTAACGCTGGAGTAACCTGGGCCTTACTACGATTAAATCGAGAGGTGCTCTTGCTACGGTGGTGACTGGGGCTAGGGGAGTCTAGCATTACTGAATGGGTAGCTTCCTCCAATGAGTCAAAATCTGGAAGCGCAGGCCGTGTCCTCCGGATGCTGACACGATGTCTCGGTGACGTTGGACTGAAAGTATCGACAGGCTGTTGGCGAGATTGGATAAAATCTGATTCATTCTGGTGTCCCTGTGCCTGCCCATGCGACCTGGGGGACTGAGGTGAATGTGGGATCACCTCTACGTTAGAGCCATTATCAATTCCATCTTGCTTTTTTATTGAGGTGGCAACAACAGCAGAGCGAGTTGGGCCTCGACGGGTGTTTAGAACCTCGGACTCAAAATCAGACTCGGATATAAACTCTTTTTGCCTGTCTACTTGCATGCGAGGCTCGTTGCTATGGAAATTATCACAACAGCCTTCTTGCTCTGATGACAAGTCAGACCTGTCTTTGTTATCATCTATACTACCTTCTGAAGACAGCTCATAGTCATCATCAGAGTCCTCTAATTCAGAGTCAACTTCATCAGTGTCATCGTCGTTGGACTGATCACTGGATCGAAACTCTACCTCCAATTCTTCTGTAAAACAATCTGATGTGGTGTTCCTTCTGTCTGCTGTAGCATATGCCGCCCCGCTTGGTGACCTGAACGAGTGTTGTTGGCTATCCTCGTAATCAGACCACTCTGTAGACGTTTCTAAAAATAATAATCATTCAAATGGATTTTTTTGAAAGTAAGATCACAAATGAAATAAGGTGTGTTTCTTGTCTTTTTTTTTTTTTTTTTTTTTTTTAAAAAACCCATCAGAGCTGCGTTGGTTCACATACCTGGCGATGACATCCGCCTGACCTGCGGGCGACGTTGTTGACGCTCGTCATTTCTACGATTAAGTCTTTCGAGCCTTTTTTGAGCCACCTTCCTATAGTAAATCTTCTTTAGACTCTGAGAATATTGGCACAATTCCTTAATGATACGCTGGTCGCGCGTGCTTTGGAGCACAAGCGGATGTTGACTCAACGAACTCAAATGTAGCTCAAGGGTTTTGCGCAATTCCCTGGATCGCATAAAGTCATATCCAAAGTAATTGAGAAGCCAATGGCGGAGAGTGACAAATGTTCGGATGCGGACAATCTGCCGATGAGGAGAGTTGTCAGCGAGAGCCCATTGAAACCGAAGGATGATCAAATTCAATAGGGCCATTGGTGTTATGAACAATCGGTAGATCAGGAAGAAGTCTGTCAAAAATGTATAATCTATCGCCCATATATACCCGGAAGGAAGGGAAGTTCAGAAGAAGGAAAAAAAAAATTTAGAGACCAACTGATAATTCGAAAATCAAAAAGCTTTCACTAAGGTTCTTACCAATTTCACTTGTTAACTTCTCCACCAACTTTTCTACAGTGGCAGCCATGATAATACGATCCCCTTCAGCTTCACTTTGGTTTAACGGGGATGCTGTATTGCTAGTCGACTTTTTCAATGCCGGTGGTGGTGGCCCTTCGCTAATGCTCCTCCTTATATTTGTAGCTGTCGCTTCCAGGGTATTATTGCGCTTTAGCTGGAGTCTGGGGGGATACGACAGCTGTTTCTTTTGTATTGATGAACCTGCAAACCGAGCAACATCTTCAACTGAGCGAATATTATTGTTGTCCTCCAAGGACTGCTCTATAGGGTCGCAATGCGACTCAGGATTATCTCTACCTTGAGCCAACTTTATATCGCCCTTAGACAGCTCTCCAGAGGACCACCGTCCAGCTTCTGTGCGTCCTTTCTGTGTTGATGAAAGTGATAACGAATCATTTGGCCGCGCTATAGAGATGGTATGTGGGGGGTGTGATATAGGTGATACCGTTATAGTTGGACTGCTAGGCTTTCCCATAGGGCTAGAGCTTGCTGTCATAGGTGATAATGAATGGACTGGCTTTTTCATAGTTGATGGATATTCACTCCGAGGCCCCCCTGTTATTGGAGCGGTTACAGCCGCCTCTATAGTAGGAGTCCCTCCTACCGATGGCGGCGCACTCACTGTCACTGAAGTGGAAGGTTTGTGTATAGGCAGCGGTGATGAAGCACTCCACATGATGTATGATTCATTGTCGTCTGATTGAATATCATCAAAGATTGAGGGAGCAAGGATAGATGTAGGACTCGCTGAAAATGTCTCTGAACGACCATCGATGCCTGGTGCAGGGGAAAGTAGCGTTTCCGTATGGAATCCTGGCCTATCCATGTCAATCCGTTGATACTGTGGTATTGGCATTGAGATGCTGACGATACTGATTCTGTCCGACTGATCACTATGCGCTTTTTGGCTGGGAACCTGCTCCGTGACGCTGTTACTACTAGAGTTACTAAAAGCGTTGGGATAAGGAGTGCTTGTACGACTTTTGTCGAAGCGCAAGTTGAGCTCTGAGAAGGAAGGAATGGGAGGAAGAACCCATGGAGAAGTCTGGTTGACAATTCTCATTGAAGATGACGATGAAGCGTTCTGGTCGGTATCATTATTGGTACTGTAACTACTATTATCGCTGGTGCTTCCGGCTTGCTCGGCATTGATGTTGTTTCCTTGGCAAGTTGTCGTAGAGTGTGGCTCATTTATGGTCGGGGAATTCATGGGCAAAGATGTGTCTAGGTGGGAGGAAATCTCCTGTCCAAGTTCGCTCTGTGTCACCATACTATGTGCTTCAACATTCCCGTTGTAACGGAAAAAAGTGTTATCCCGCGTATGAGTAGTGTTGCCTTTACTGATGATCTGGCCACCCATGCTATCTTCTTCTTGGCACTCGTTGGTTGAGATAGCAGGGAAAGCCACAGGTTCAGGTGACTGGCGCTTGTGCTCTACTGACACTGATGCTGCGGGTCGATTAAAGGAGTTTGGTTGTCTATTTGCATTTATTATTTAATAGTATAGACATGAGCAACTGGGTGGTCATCTGCAATCTTTAATGCCCCAAACAAGCAGAAGACCCAGTATGTCGGGAAAGTGAGAACTGGTGATAGCGCTTTTATACTTTACAAAAGCCAAATGCAGGGATTTGGAGAAAAGAGGGAGGTTTGTGCGCCAAAAGAAAGCCAGTGGGATGGAAAAGGAGGAAGAAAAAAAAAAAATGTGACACGAATCTGCAAAATAAAAAAAAAAAAGTTGGAGAATAAGAAAAAGAGGAGGAGTAAAGGTTAAGGGAAAAAAAAGCCCGGCTGAATGAGCAAATGCAGACAAAATTCTAAGGGTCCAACGGATTTGAAATGTCTTTACTCTCCATGACCCATAATCCACAACTGGTCCCTTTTTTTCATTTCTGGAGACTGGAGATCCGCTTTCTTTGTTTTTTTTTTTTTTTTTTTTTTTTTTTTTTTTGAGTACACCACTCTCACTCGTCCACAACCCTGCTATCCAAATAGCTATTGGAGGCCCAGACTTTCTTCTCTCCTACTCTCCTAATTTCTACTACTCTGCGTATTTGGATATTGCTCACATTGTTAGTAAACTCAGTTCCCTCCATCAAATAAAAAAAAAAAAAAAAGAGATGACGTGAACAATGATAATAGTAATGACAAAAATAAACCACATGAACCCTCTGAAATGGAAGAAAGCGAACTCTTCTGGCAGGGAAGGCAAGCTTACGAGCGTTTTCACTTTTTTTAACTTACGGCATCATCTTCAGCATCAGTGTATCTGTTCTTGTAGGATTAAGATTAGGTCTATGAACGTCTATTTCTGTTGTTTGTTCTTGTACAACCGACATTGGAAAATGCAATTCCTGGTGTTGTTGGTCAGTTCGAGACGTACATGCTGTAGACGATCGTAAATCTGTTGGTCGATCAAGCTTCCGTGCAGAGTTAGAGGCCATCATTGACATTGAGAGATACACTAGATCGGTAGATGTGAGAGCACGCGGGATGATGGCCCACTTCTTTTCACTAGTACAAATAGCAGAGGTAGACAAGCTCCTAGGCATGGTTTGGCCTACATGTATTGGAGGGCTTCTATTGATGCTACTGTCATTGATCCCATGGAGTGGGGTATGGCTGACATGTTGAAAATGTGGAATCAAGATTGACTCCTTTGTCATTGGTTTTAGGGTTAGCGACTGGTGACAGGTGTGAGGAGCACTACAAGATGAATCATCATTGGGCGTGACAGTAGGAGATGTCGCGGCAAGCATAATGAATGGCCTTTTTTTTTTTTTTTTGCTTTGTTATTGTTATTGTTGTTGCAGGTTATTTATCTTGTCAAAAGGTCCAAAGAGCACTCCACAACGTCGTACGCGTTGGACAAGTTTGTCTTTTAGCCCTCTTTTTAGTCACCTGAGAGCGGGGTATGAAATAAACAAAACTATAGTTTCTATGTTGTGTGTAGGTAGGCGAGTCTCGGACGCGTCTTTTTTTTTTTTTTTTTTTTTTTTTTTTTTTTCTTTCTTTCTCTCTTTTTTTTTTTTTTTTTTTTTTTTTACGCACAGTGAAATGCTGTTTCCTAACTCATGGTATAGGGTGCAGTATTGCTGCAGAGTTCAATTATGAGGTATAGTGCCGATTAGATTGGTGGAGAAGGGGGAAGGGGAAGGGGAAGGGGGAGGGGAAGGGGAAGAGGAGAGGGGGGAAAGTAAAAAAAAGGAGGTGGATTGTGGGATATGACACAACGGAACTGTAGACAATTTCCTCTTGACATACAAACGAATGCAAGAATGTGAAAATGAATGAAAAGAGAATGAGAATGGGGATGAGAATGAGAGTTGAATAAATAAATAAAAAGAGACAAGACAAGTACAACGGTCCCTTTTACTTTTGTTTGTACACTGTTGCACCGATCCTCACACACAGGGGTGAACGCAAACATTCGAAGGAGGATCTCCTTTTTCCCATGGGGGATAGGGATCTAGTTTTTGTCGGTTTTGGCTCTTTTTACGTGCTTGCTTGTGCTTCTCCCTCCTCTCCATTTCTCATCGTCATTCATCAACACCAACAACAGTAATTGAGTTATTACAAACGACAGTGTCAACAAATGGCATCCCTTCCTCCTGTTCCAGTATTCTTTTGGTCTTGACTCCTTTTACATAGTCAGTTTGCATGCATGTATACAGGTCAGTGCGGGAAAGAGTGTAAGCAAGTTGTCTCTAAATCGCGATCGAATGCATTGTGAACGTCTAGAAGGTTATACATTAGGCCAGTGCTCAGGGTAGTTCTGATGCAGAAAGTGTCATTTTTTATTTTCAATACCCCTGTCCTACAGTCCACCGATCAAAGTTTAAAGAAAATAGGCTCGAGAGTCTTACCAAAGGAAAAAACAAGAAAAAATAAAAATGCGATATCCCGATTTATCAGATGCGGCCATCTTCAATAGCTCATTAGATTACCCCTAAAAAAAAAAAGAAGGAGTGGTTGAGACTATTACTAAAAGGATTAGAAAAAAAAAAAAAAAAAAAAAAAAAAAAAAGACTTTTAAGAGAAAAAGAAGGTGATGTTAATGAGAAAACAAGCTAAAAGAACTTTGCATCAATGAACTGGGTAAAACCAAGCATCTCGTTGCTTGATGACAGAAATCAATTTAAAAAGAAAAAGAAAAAGAAAAAAATCATTCAGGAGCCAATTGCTTGCTCACTGCGTCTCATGGCTAAGAATGATGGAGACGATTGAGATGTATATTTATTCGTCCACAAATGATGTGTAACCAGAGAAACGGGAATGGGCACGATTATCTTTTAAGATCGCCCTTCATTTTAATGTTAGATCTATTAACAATTAAAATGCAATGAGACCTGACTGAGCTTTTTGGCTCCAGAGATCAAAATTGAAACCTCCAATGCTCTTTATTCCTTCTTGTACGACATGTCATAAAAGTCCAAGAGAAGGTAGAATGGGCAGAGAAAGGGGTAGAGTCAGGGTTTCATGGTTTCATACTTGAATTACGAGAAACAGCCTTTGGTTGAGCCTATGGGATTATCTACTTTGTCAAGATGTTAACACTTCACTTATCTCTTGATAAGAATAGGAGTGGGAATAAAGTGTATACCACCAACTAACTACCACTTGTAGTCGTTGTCGCCATCAAAGAAGGTTGATTGCGTCCTTGAGTATCTGTAATTTTAGCTCAACATCTTTCACTGAATTCACAAATGTGTTTTGTCTGCATCATCATGAGGTTGATGGGTTGATGGAGGGGTTGATAGATTATCGACGGCAGTAACAAAAAATCGATCCTGTCCATGCAGCCATAGGCAAAAAACAAAAACAAGGGCTAGTCTTGTCAGGAGGTTCGTTTGTTTAGTTTTGATTAGGCAATCCATGAAGTATTACTAGAGCATAGAAATTATAGGAATAAGAGCTATTTCTTTTAGCAGTTGTTTTGTCCGTAGTTGTGACATTTGATTTTGATCTACCGTTCGGTGTTGTCTTTATGATCTTTGACAGTGATGTGGGGGGGGGGGGGATGTTGTGGGCATATATAATCATGCAGTGCTGCAAGCAAGATGGAGAAGATGCATGGCAATCGCAATTGCAATCGCATGGACACTGGATATACAAATAAAGGTGCATTCAGACATCGGTAAGTGATATAGATAGTCTTCAGTGGGATGCACATTAAAAAAGCTAGTTCCAAAATAGTGCCTCGGGTAAACATACCAGTTTACAACAATACATTTTTAGCGATCATTTATAAATATACACATTTATATATATATAATAATATTTATATGTGTGTTATATGTGTGCCATTTGCATTTATACAAATGTTTTACTTATTTGACTTAGTCTATTTCCTCGACACCACTCATCTCACATACACAATGCAGACTTCTTTCTAATTCTCTTTTTCCTACATCATCCATCATCTGATTGTCAATCATCTTTTCCATCATCTTGGTTATCTCTTCAACTCCACATTGACTCCATCGGGTCATATTTCAAGCTCTCTTTCTTATTATACTTCTCTCCTGAAATCTTTAATAAGCCTTCCTTTCCCCCTTTCTGAGTCTCTTCTCCTTGTCTCACATCGAGTTTGTACTCAGTCTTTTTTCGGGCTGTTTGCCTCCACACCTTCAGTTCTCTTCTTCGTTCTTTCTCCCCCTCTTTATCACTTCCTATCCCCTTCCATTCCATCCTTTCCCCTGAGAAAGAGACGACTCCTGTAGGCAGTCCTCCTTCATCGGCCTTTTTTTTGTTTTTGTTTTTCACATAGACAAAGTATTATGGCTTCACAACGCAACCGCACAGGAGTGCAGCCCACTGGCAACTCTTCCTCTAATTATGACCAGACCCAAGCCAATACCCTTGCCAACAGACGAAACTCTGCTGACCATCAAGCCCATATTGCCAAACAGCGTCCTGTTACCACTTACTCTTCTCTTATTCCTCCACCTTCTCCAACTTACTTTCGTCTTCAGGAAATGGGTGGTAAGCCTCCTTTCAGCAGCCTCAACGACGACAGCGACCTAGGCAGACCCGCTCCAGGTCTTCCAAGAGGTGAACTAGACCATCTCCGACCCCTCCCTCCGAGCAACGATAACAAGTTTGCAGAAAAAGAATTCTCATGGCATCAAAAGATTAGCATCTGGATGATCAATGAAGGTAAAAAAAAAGTTCATGTCAGGATTGTATTTCTTTATTTTCCGGCAGTACAAAGTTTATTTCCATCTTTGATTTATTTGAGTCGGTAAAAAAAAAAAAAAAAAAAAAAAAAAACTGAACGGAGAAAGTTCATGTTTGAGGCTGTGAAAGCAACAATAATAACATTGTTTTCATTTCTGGTCTGGGCACCTGCTCCAAAAAAACCTCTTCTTTAACTTTTTTTTTTTTTTTTTTTTTTTTTGTATATTAAATCAATCCAGGAAATCGTGTCATCTTTTTCGGTGTTTGGATCTTGGTACACATTGGATTGTTCGGCCTCGCCTTCTTCAACTATTTTTACTCGGACAACTTTGAAAAAGCTCGTGCAATTGTTGGCATTACTCTTCCTATTGCCCGTGGCGCAGCCTTGGTTCTTCATGTTGACTCGGGTGTTATTCTGCTCCCAGTCTGCAGGACCCTTATCTCCTGGCTTCGATCCACACCTCTCAACAGAATCGTGCCCTTCGACAAGGCCGTTACTTTCCACAAGGCCATCGCTTGGAGTATCGTCATCTTCAGTCTCGTCCACACCATTGCTCATTATGTCAACTACTACAAGCTTTCTCAAGCGGATCCTTCAAAGTATAACTTTTGGCATCTCATGTTTGTATCTGGACCAGGACTCACTGGTCATATCATGCTCATTGTCTTGCTCGTCATCGTCGTCACGGCCCTGCCTAGTGTCCGCATGAAGAAATTCGAGGTCTTTTGGTACTGGCACCATCTCTTCCTCGTCTTTTTCTTCTTCTTCTCCTTCCACGGTGCATTCTGTCTCCTCACCCCAGACCGCCCACCCTACTGCAAGGATATCTCGAGCTTCTGGAAGTACTGGGTTGCCAGTGGATTCGTCTATTTACTCGAACGTATTGCACGCGAGTATCGAGCTCAGCAAAAGACCGTCATTTCTCGTGTCATCCTCCATCCCTCCAAGGTCGTAGAGATCCAAATCAAAAAAGAGGACTGTCATGCTCTGGCTGGCCAATATATCTTTTTGTGCTGTCCCGAAGTTTCATTATGGCAATGGCATCCTTTCACACTCACCAGCGCGCCCGAAGAGGATTATATTAGTGTACATATGCGTGTGGTCGGAGACTTTACAAAGGAGCTGAGCAAGAAACTTGGATGTGATGCTGAGGGTGTTGGCGAGTGGGAGGAGAATCTGGGTGACCGTAATGGATTGGTGACAGTCTTGCCAAGGATTATGATTGATGGACCCTTCGGAGCAGCTTCAGAAGATGTGTTCAAATATGAGGTGACTGTGCTTGTGGGCGCAGGTATTGGTGTCACGCCTTTTGCCAGTGTCCTCAAGAGTATCTGGTACAGAGTTAACTATCCGACCAAACCGACAAAGCTGCATAAAGTCTACTTTTTCTGGATTTGTCGTGACAAGGAGTCGTTCGAATGGTTCCAGTCATTGCTGTTGGCGCTCGAGTCCCAGGATTTGAACCAGTTCATTGAAATTCACACGTTCTTGACCGGTCGTCTGCGCCACTCTGAAGTCGGTAATTTGATGATCAACGAGGATAGTGCATTCGCAGATACAGTGACAGGACTGAGAGCAAGGACGCGATTTGGACGCCCCAACCTCGACATGGAATTCGATCGCATCCGCAATAGCCATCCAGACACAGATATTGGTGTCTTTTTCTGCGGACCCAAGAGGATGGGTAAACAGTTGCATGCCTGCTGTACTAAATTCAGCGGTTCAGGAACATCCTTTTTCTGGCACAAAGGTAAAAAAAAAAAAAAAGAGAGAAGCCTAGCCCCTTTCTGATTCATCTTGTCCCAATGTTTACAAATGTTCATAATATTCATTTATTAATGCTTGTCTTACTTTAATATTTTGATTATTACAGAGAACTTTTAAGGACTCCTTTTTTTCTTTTTTTGGTCCAAGAGGCAGTGAAATGAGAGAGCAACGGATTTCTTCTTTCGGTCGCTGGAACAAGAAAATATCATATCACGCATTACTGTATTTTGTATAGAAAAAAAAAAAAAAAAAAAAAAAAAAAAGAATGCCATTATATACTAAACCTAACTCAGAAGTGTTAATATACCTTTTCTAATACTTCAGAACGTAGACATCTATCATATCATCAATATACACTATATTATATCTTTTTTTTATTATGATTATTGTTTTTTTTTATTCAGTGGATCAATATGTTTTGCCACTATGAATTACATGACAAGATGTGTCTGCATACTACGAGTCTTAATCTTGACAAAACAATAACAAAAAAAAAAAAAAAAAGTAAATGTTTCTCGACTTGAAAGAGAAAGCAGTCAATTTAATGATCCCAAAGACTGTCTAGTTGATGTCAGAATCAACAGGAGAAGACATTTCAGTGTCAGGTGGGGTCAGGTATTGACGCTCTGCAGCGGATCTGGGGAGAGGAGGGAGAGGCTTTGACTCTTGAGCCAGACGATTTTTCAGGTCCATTTCGAAGCCGGTGCGAGCGGGAGAAGGAGCAGGAACAGAGGTAGGAGCATAAGCAAAAACAGAAGCAGAAACAGAAGCAGAGGTAGAAGCAGGAGCAGGAGCGAGAGCGGAAAGGGGGACAACGCGTGGGTTCTCACCACAGGCACGAGCACAGCCGATTGAGCAATAGCCATGACGGGTATTCCTAACCAGATCTACATTGATGGGCAAGCTGCAACCGTTTCGACGGCAGTAAATTTGTTTGGGAGTAGCTTGTGTGTGTTTTATAACCCACAGAAAGATTCCAATCGATCTCATTTAGTCCAATGCTTTTACTTTTACTCTAGTTACTGAACTTTTTTTTTATTTATTGACGCCGTAAACTCACCATGACACATTTTTATATGTATATTTCCTTTTTTTTTTTATTACTGTTGTTCTTGTAGTTAATTGTTCGAGTTATGTGCAATGTGAAAAAGATGAAATGAAACGAAAGAAAGAGAAAATAAAAGCAAGAAAAAAAAAAAAAAAAAAAAAAATATGGGTATTTTACGAAACAAAGCATGTATGTCGTTGCCGTGTGAGAACCACATGCCATCTTCAAGCTGATCGCGATCAGCTTTTTTTCTTTTCCTTTTTTTTTTTTTTTTTTCTTCTGTCGCGAATACGAGATTTATCATTGCAACTGATCAAAGGAAATAAAAATAAAAAAAAATAAAAAAAAATAAAAAAAGCCTCAGTAGATGCGTTCCGAAGAGCGTGGGATGGGAATTAAAGGTCCAGAAAGCTAATATAATCTTTGTAAAAGAAAAAGAAAAAAAAAAAAAAAAAAAAAAAAAAACGGAGGTATAATTTATTACTTTGTTGCTTTTTTTTTTTTTTTTTTTTTTTTTAAAGACCCAACGGCTCTTTCAAGTGGGGCTCTGTGGACCAAAAGTCAATGACAGCAAGGGTGCATGGTCCAGACTGGCGACACCACCGAGTACTGGTCGTTGGATACATAGATTCGAGAGTACCGATCACAATGCCTCGAGAGTTACTGCTATTGTTGTTGTTAGTCGTGGCCACAACCAAAGAATGATGTTCACCTTTTTTTCTTGAAAGGAGAGGTTCATCATCATCTCTTGTTGTTGTTGTTATCGTTGTGAGATCCGTCATTTTCGCTGCTTGCTCTGTTTCAGGTAGTACTGCATCATGAAGTGTACAAGATGAAGATGACCAAAAAGAACGATCCATCCTCTCGTAGTCATAGTCATAGTCATAGTCGTAGTCGTTGTCGTTGTCGTCATCTGGATCCATCATCGACTCTATGTGTCCATGGCCATGTGCATAGTCTTGGTCCTCTTCTTGGTCTTCACCGTCATCGTCGCTTGAAGACAGACTAAAAGAGGTATCGGAAGTCTCGTCTATGGCCTCATCGATGGCCCTGAATAACTCAAACATGGTTGATTCTACATCACTCTGAGAGGATGAGGATCCAACAGATAACATCTCCAGCGAATCACTATCGCTGTTCGCGTCCTCCTCTTCCTCCTTCTCTGATGTTGCGTTGATTTGGATCTTTTTGATTATCTGTAGGCTCCTTGGGGATTTCATGTCTAATAATAAAGTGAAGGTTATATAGTCATTATTAATTAAACAGTATACCAAAAAAAAAAAAAAAAAAAAAAAAAAAAAAAGATCCGTAACAATTTGTAAATGTATATTACCTTGGCTCTTTGAAGCCTTGCAGTTTTTCTTTTCGCGACGTTTCAGCTCCAATTTTGCCCATAGTTGACGCCTAGGGAGTGAACGAACATGTAGACGACGACGATGGGGTGGATGGGCCATTCTATGGAGTTGTTGAGCCACATTGTGTTTCAGATGCTCGTCAACTTGATCCAGCAAGTCGTCGACAGTTACTACCCGTTGGTCTGATGGTGGTGTGATTGGCTCAACTATGACTTGCTCAAGGGCAACAGTTTCTGAAGGGTATTCGAGACAAAGGGCCGGCTCCTGTTCCTGCAGCTTCAGTCGTAGTTCTGATCCCAGTTCCTGTTCTTCAACATTGTCTTCGAGAACGTCTTCCAGGATGGTAGTACTTTGTGGATATATCTGATTGTATGGATCAGACTCATCTAAGTAATCATCTTGATCATGAATAGAGTGCTCGATGTCATTATCTTTGTGATGTTCGGTTGAGATTGATTGTGATGCCCTGGTTTTGTTCAAAGTAGGCAAATTATGGGAGCTACTTCTTCTCGGACCAAATGAACGGGGTAAGGATGAGGATCGAGGTGGGATACGGCCTGGTCCTGCTGCCGCCACAGAGGCAGATACTTTCTTGTGAGACAATGAGGGGCCAATGTCACTACGTCGACGGCGATGAGTGCGTTGGTACTCTTGTGCAGATTGATAATGAGAAGAATAAGCGAATAATGGACGGTCGGATGATGATGTACGGCGATGAACCGGGACGGTGTCGTCGTTATCATTGGTGACGTGGTTGTTGAGATCATGAGCATGATTTTCGTCCTGCGAAACGGTCTGAAGAGCAAACATTCCTTCAATGGTGGCTGTTGGGATTTCTACATTGGGTGAGAGCAAATGTGTATCCAAGAATTCGGGCTCTTGTGCAACGATATTGATCTGTTCATCAACAATTTCCTTGCTGTTGTTATCAGTACCAATGACCGGGCGGAGAGAGGGTGATGAGGGTGGTGTTAGTGGTGGTGCAAACGAGGGAGTCTCGCGTCGCGAGGGGTGGCGAACGAGGTGATGTCGGTGGTGTTGACCTTGACCTTGACCTTGGTTTTGGCTTTGGTTTTGATCATTAGGATAAGGATGTTGCTGAATATGCAACCAATCTTTTAATTTGGTTGCACCTCTGTTTTGCCATCGCTTCAGAGTGCTCTTCTTTCTAGAGAATGAATCGACCGTTGGAGAAGCCTGGTTGCTAGCCTTCATAGTGATCGGTAAAGGGGCTTTCTCCGTTGCGCCAGTTTTACTACTATTGCGAACGATAGTAGTGGTAGTTGTAGAAGTAGAAGTAGAAGTAACAATAGGAATGGGGACAGGGTCAGAGGCAGGGGAGGGTTCAGGATCAGTTCCGACGCGTCGGCCTTTCACCTTCAAAGAGAATGATTGCTTCAAACGGGCCAAAGAGTTTCCATGGGATGAAGTGCGTGGGACGGTAGAGGACTGAGACGAGGTCGAGTCTTTGGATGATCGACGCGATGATCCATGGGCATTGTCATGGGCATGGTCATGTTCGTGACTTTCAAGATTCTCGTGCAGGTCTGAAGATGAAGAAGAAGGAGAAGAAGAAGAAGAGGAGTTGAAGGAGATGGATGAGGCAGGTGAGCATGGTGCAGAAGGAAGAGAGGATTGAGCCATAGTAGGGGAGGTATCTGTGGATTTATTCAGGTCCAGTGGTGGAGGTCTGACTAGAAGGTGTGTGTGCTGTACCTGAGAAGATTGGTGATCCTGAGGCTGTCGTTGTTGTTGCTGCTGCTTTAATTGCTTACTAGATGATTTTCGGAGACGATGAAGGATGGATGTCTGTGGCTTTTCGCTAGGGGTCGAGCGATTTGGCGCGCGACGAGAGATCTTTGGCTCTGGATGGAGCGTCTCGAGCGAAGGAACGCTCAGTGTATTGTTGGCCATTTGCTGTACAAGGTTTGAGCAATATGTCAGCGACCGCAGTCAGCTTGGATATTAAGATGTTTGGTCGTAAAGGGTTGGGTAGGACAAAGAGACGAAAGGCCAGAGAGGGTCTTGATGTTGATGGAGAGGATGAAGTAAAGGGAAAGGAAAAGGGAAAAAGGATGGAGAGATGAGATGCGAGAGGAGTATCGTTCAAAGAGTGAAAGATGAAAAAAAGTAAAAAGAAAAAAAGAAAAAAAAAAAGAGAGAGGATGAGGAAGATTGAATAGGATGAAGTGACAGTGCAAAGGCGGGGGACTTTTTCTTTCCTTTCGTTGACGATTGACTACCGGACGTGTTCTCTTTTCATTCTGTCTCCTTTTCCTTTTCGGAGCGGAGAAAAACGCTTTCTTTTTATGCAGCTGATGTCAATCGTCGGAATGGATTGTCGCGACAGAAGTTTGGATGTGGTATTTTCTTTTTTGTACTGTGGATGCATGGATGACAGTCTCACAATCCTGCTTGGGACATCCGTGTCATCATTGACTGAATCAATATTTTAACAAAGCAGCAAAAAGTCAAGAGCAGCTGTGGGATGACATGATTTGATGCATGATTGTGTTGTTTATATCGTCGTAAAAAAAAAAAAAAAAAAAAAAAAAGGGGATTAAATGAATTCATAGCGTACAATCGGGCAAGAGGTGAACAATGATTTATATAAAACCAAAAGATTCACACACAGACGCAGTACAGCACAGGAATAGGAACAGAACACGGTACAGAAAAAAAAAGAAAAAAGAAAAAAGAAAGCCAACCCCAACATGGGAGATGTATATATATATTATATATATGCAAGACTACTGTATGTCCCCCATATTCTTGCTTCGATTCTCCCACCATCCCACCTTGGTAAAATCTCGAGACAAGGTATAAGAGGTAGATGGGAGATATCAGAAAGATGGAAAAAAGGAAGGAATGGTTCAAATACAGCCATCCGAAATCTAATATGGTCAATACCAAGGACAAGCGGAGAGCGAATTTTTTTATTTTTTATTTTTTATTTTTTATTTTTTATTTTTTGATGTTTTATATTCGTGTCACACTGTGAGAAAAAAAATCAAAATGAATCCTCAAGACTTTAGTGTTGTTGTATCAAAAGAAATGAAAAAAAAATATGGGGTTTAGTGGGCTGTGAAGGAGAGGATAAATGAAATGATCCATGTAAGACCGACTGAATAACTTTGTGTTAGATTATTGACGCCTGGCATGTGCGCCTCTGTGCCCTGTCTCAATTTGCCGCCACTTGAGTATCGATATTAATATGTATTTACATGTACAAATGCTTTATATTACTGAAAAAAGAGATCCGTAAAAAGATATGGAGAAATAGATCGGAATTCTTTAGAGGAAGAAGGACCAAAAAAACAAAACAGATCGTGTTGGATGCCCATCATTAGCATTTTTTCCTATCCTTATCTGGATGCTTCATAACATGGGACAATAGGAACAGTAATATTATACGCCAAGTTGATCATAGTACAGCCAAAAGGTAGACATTATGTAATACAAGGAGAAGATTCAAGACGCGTCTTTTATTCTTTTCTTTTTCTTTTTTTTCTTTTCCCTAACCTATGCTAACCTATGGACCTATGGGGTTCTAGATTGCTTTCGAGTGCATATCGGTATTTAAAGAAAGCAAATGACTGACAAGGCCGAACTGGACCACATTTTAATTTTTCATTTCATTTAATTACAAACAAAACATCATTCCATGAGCACGGGCCATTTCTGTGGCACGTGATGTCATACTTTTTTTTTTGTGAAAATTTGTTTCATCTTTCACTTCTTTCCCTTGTGATAGGAAGGGATAGGAGAGAAAGAAAAAGAGGGGAATGGTCATCTATTATCAGACTATAGGAAATAAACATCATTGCTGGCATAGCATAGCATAGCATGGCATGGCATGGTAGACTCACTAGCACCATGAGTAATCCTCCTGTTTAATTGACATTCCACTGACTGAGGGAAAGTAAAAGAAAAAGAAGAGTGGAGTGGAGGGAGCAATTGGGAAATATAACCTTCTTTTTCCTTTTTAATTCCTTTGAAAACGACATTGTGAATGCATGAAATGCAAAAAGCATAAAAAAGAAAGAAAGAGAGGTTAGAGTTTTGCTGTTGCTGTTTCCGATGCTTCATGATGCAGAATGCAGTTGGGTTGATGGGAACATGAATGTGAATCAGGTAGTGGGTAATTTCTTGCACTGATCAAATCAAATCAAATCAAATCATGTCTAATGTCAATGTGGTGTGTTCATGACGCTTTTTTTTTTGATTGTCTTTTTTCTCACTTTTCTTCCTCTTCAATTTCTGATACATGCTCAGACAATTACAACGCTCTCACTCTTTTACTCTGCAGTCTGTCTGCATTCTCTACTCTCTTTATTCTCTTCTCTCTCTTACTCTCTACTCTCATTCACTCTCTTTACTTGCTCTTTACTCTCACTCTCACTCTCTCACTCTCTCACTCTCACTGTCATTACCTGCTCAGGTTTCATCTTTTACCCGTTTTGCTCCTTTTACCCGTTTTGTTCGTTCTCTCTCTTTCTCTCTTTCTTTATCTTCTCTTTATCTCACACAATCAACACAATCAACTGGATTGTATCTGACGTTGACTGACGTTAGTTGACACACTAACACCCTATCTCTCTCTCTCTCTCTCTCTCTCCACCAGTCAACTTTAATAACTTTGTAACGACAACGACAACGACAACGACAACGACAACGACAACGACAACAACAACGACAACAACAACAAAGTTTGCATTCACATTTGTATTACGCTTCCATTCATTCTCTCATTCGGCTACACCTCTCTCTCTTTTGTTCATTACTTACATTTTACCGAGTGAAGTGAATATATAAGAAAAAGTAAGGATTTAAAAAAAAAAAAAAAAAAAAAAAAGCGGCGGCGTAGTGCATCAAGTGAATGTCGACTTTGCCGATTCATTCCAACTTGCAGTGATCTTTGAAAAAACACATTCTCACCTCTTTACAATTCCTTTTTCCTTTTCTCTCTCTCTCTCTCTCTCTCTTCACTCTGTCTTTTCTCTTTACTTACTCTTCACTTTCACTCCCGCTACAGCCCAGTCTAGTCATAGCCATGATCTGCTGCAGGTAATACAGCCCTCATGAACGCGCTTAATTTTTATACTTCCCCTTTCGATCTTTACACCCTCTGCAACGTTCTATTCCCGTTCACCCGTTTAACTGGATGATTGAAAAAGAAAAAAAAAAGGGAAAGGGAAAAGGGGAGGAAGAATGCACTCAATTGATTGTGAGCACATGTCTATCATTGAGCGGTCATGATGTTATGCACACTGAAATATTAGCTTTGGATGGAATAACATCGTTGTAATTACAGCACACAAATATGTATTTATTTTGTAACGCGCAGTTGTAAAAGGAAAAAAAAAAAAAAGAAATAATAATAATAACAATAATAATAATAACAACAATTATAACAATGATGTGGAGAGTGGTTGTAACGGAGTTTATGTACTTTAGACAGTCGTACGACTGTACCTTGTTTTTTGTTTTAATTGCTTCCAGACCAAGGCATGATTGTTGCAAGGAGACAGAGAACCTTATTGTGATTGGGGGTGAATGAAAGTATTTAAAAAAGATTGTAAAAAAAAAAGTGGTTCGAAGGCTATGCGCGGCAATGTAATTAATATAGATCAATCAAAGTGTATGCGTAGTGCGTAGTGCGTAGTGCATAGTGCGTAGTGTGAAGTGTAAAGTGTGAAGTGTTACAAGAGCGTGAAAAAAGAAGAAAATGGGCTCAAAAGCTATTTCCTCACACTAGCAACTTCCTTTTGTGGCTCTGTGCGGACTGTCTTTCTCTCTCTCTTTTTTTTGGTTTGTGGATGATCAGCCAGAGAGGATGAGCAAATGGTGCTAAATGCTAAATGAAGAAAAGGAAAACTATTAATGCAATTCATCGGATGAGAGGCAATGTGATGAAAAGAAAATTACATCCTTTTTTTCTTTTTTCTTTTCTTTTCTCTTTTCTAGTTTGTCTTCATCTTTTTCTCTTTTTCCTTTTCCTTTTCCTCTCTGGCTCACTCCTTTACTCCTTTATTCAACTCGACCTTGACTCCTCCATTGTCCCTGTCTTTGTCTTGTCTTTTTATCCTCCCTAACTTTTACCTCTCCTTCCTACACTCTCTATCCTTTTCATCCTTTCCCTCTCTCTCTTTCTTTCTCTCTCTCTCTCTCTCTCTCTCTCTCTCTTTTCATCTCTCTGTCTTTTCATCCTTTTACTCTTCTAATTCTTTTTACATTTTTTTTAACCTCTCAACGTCTTCAACATTCTTTCCCCTGACTGTACTCGAGCTATACTAATCAAATCATGACCACTTCCTCTTCTGCCTCTGTTCTTTCCATCACTCCTACTCCTCCTACACCTCGCTCTCGGTCTGCGTCCGTGTCTGCTTCCTCTATTCATGGCCTGTCCCTCAATGCTAACGGATCGGTCCCACCCGTTCCACCTGTGCCCCATCCGAATGCAACGCACTCATCCCTCATCCCCTCCAGATATGTCAAGCATGCTTCGTTAATCAATAACTGTTATCCCGCAAAGTCGGATGAGAAGGGTCCCAAATCAAGTGAGCTCTCCTACTTGGTCTTTTATACCACCTCCAAACCCGTCAAGCTGACTAAAGTCGGTAGCTTCATCGAGAACAAAGTCGTGCGCGACTATCGCAAGAAACGACTCAAGTAAGTGACAAAAAAAATGCGCCAACACTCTATTTTTTTTTATTTTTTTTATTTTAATCATTAATTTAACTTTATGAGCATCAAAAAAGAGGCGATCAAAGATTGTATTGTTCAGACGAATCATACAACATCTGGAGACGGGAAGCTATTTCAGAGGGGGAAAGAACCAAAACAGAATTAGCATTAAATGAGAGCACAACAAAAGTTGGAAGGAAAAAAAAAAAAAAAAAGACAAGAAGGAAATAGAATGATGAGAGTAAAAAAAAAAGTAGAGCTGGATTAGCATGGCATGGTCTGAAAAGGTTCTTTCCCTCTTGTGCATACAACATTCACCAGAGATGCTTGTTGATTTGTTGATTTGTTGGGTCGTACTAGAAAGATCCCTGTTACATTTGATCAGCATGGCTGAGCATCACAAACAGACATGTGCTGTGCTTGAGGAATGGGAACACAACAGCTCAGCATTTGGTTATCCACATGAAGCATCATGTGTGAATGCTGCGTTTTCCTCGACACTTTGACACTTTGACACTTTGCTTTTCAACTCTACAGTCCTTCTACTTTGTGCTGTCATTCGCATGCATTTTGTGTTTTAATTACCAAAATAACACCATATAATCCTCTTTGTCTGTTTTCTTTCATTCTCTTTCTCTCTCTTTCTCTTACCTACTCAGTGATGTCCATTGTTCACTCGAGATTATCAAAGCACTCTTGATCGCAAGCAAGGGTCATCTCAACATCTTCTCCAAAAATATTGTTGCCATCCTTGACACTCTCCTGGTCGACACATCGGACTTTGACATTGTCAGGCATTGCCAGATCGTCTTTTCAGCCTTTTGCGCCGCTCATGATGGCTCCACCCTGGGTGTAGACCAAGACTTCCGAACTCTTTATGAGCGTGTTGTGGCTCGGTTCTCCGATATTGCAACCCTACAGGGCGATGAGAACAACAAGTACCGATTGGTTGGCCTAAAGGCTCTGGAGAGTGTCGTTTCATCTGCTGCACTCCACGCATACGACCACAAGTCTCAGCTCAATCTCGTCCTTCCTTCCATCATCGACTGTCTGATCGACGCTAAGGATGGCATTCAAATCTCGTTGGAGGACTCTTCCTCCGCACCAGCCTCTCCACGCCCATCAACATCAACACGTGCACCGACCCATGTGGAGAAGGACGTTGCAGAGGATGAGGTTACAGCTCACGCACTGCAGTGTCTCCGTGCTCTTTTTAAAACACAAAACGGCGACAATGTCAGACAGGCATTGGAGCCCACCTTCTCTTATCTGGACGAATATGGAGTCTGGTGGCCTTCAAGCATCACTGTTGGAATCATCAAGGCCATCATGAACCCAATCATGCCACAGTTCCGTTATATGGTCGTCAACGAGGTTATTGCACGGATTGATAGTGTCGACTCGACCACCCCGGAGATGTCTCTGCGATTGCAGAAAAAAGTCACATTGATCTCTGCATTGGAGGCTATTCTGTATTCACCCTTGACCCTCGTTGGCATGCCCGTCCTCGAGGTTCTGAATTCACTTTTGACGGCCCTCTCGAAATCCCTTTCTGTTTCAACATCGTTGAGCAAAGAGGGTGAATCCAGCCAGTTGCTTGTTCTTGAGACACTCATTCAGGATGGTCTTACCAGGAGTGTGGGTACGAATTCGTCTCTTTTTGAGAAAGCATTTTTTTTTTTTTTTTTTTTTTTTACTCTTTTCGAATACATTATGTGTGTGTAACATGTCTTAAAATAATTTCCTCTTACATGAACATGATTGCTTACTTTATTAATTTTCTTTTTCTATTTTTATGCATTTTAGGTGGTCTTGCAACCCATATCTATTACAGCAACCAAATCCCTCACATCATTTCCCATATCGTCAGCAAATTGTCCCACAAGATCGGCATCGCTCCCCAGCCAGATACCATCGATGGTGTGCCAACTACAGAATACCGCAAGGCTCAGCTCAAATGCCTTACCTCTGTCATCAAGACAAGCAAAGAGCATGGCCGCCACGAGTCAGGTCTTCATGTTGCCGAGATTTCTTCCGAGCTTTTGACACCCTGCCTTGGTCTCTTGCTTGACGAGAATGTGGGCGTCCGAACTGCTTTCGCACAGGCGCTCATCACCTTCTTGGCGACCGAGGATGAGGGCCACAGCCAAGAGTCATTGCTAGCTACTCCGGCTCCGGCAGTCTCTAGCGATTTGTATTTCCGTGCTGCGACTCATCAGACTTTGCATGCTTACGCACGTCTCCCCACAGCCACCCCGACCGATATGGCTGCTATCTATGGAATCCTTAGAGCCTTGTTTGCACACTTTCAGGATGATGAGTTTATGCGAGTTGTGCCTGTTTTGTTCTCACTTCAGGACTGGAGCTTGCAGGAGGATGCCGAAGACGGATCTGGACATGAGCAGGATCCTACTATATTGGTAGCCCGTAAGCGTGCTATTGCAACCGTCATCGTCATTTACTTGCAAAAGGCTGTGAGCAGCTACGGAATGGCCGAGCCCTTGGAGTATCTGGAAAACATCCAAAAATCCCGGGAGGGCGAGTCTCAGTGGTACCCGATCTATTATGAGAACCAAGAGTCCCTGACGAGAACAATTGGTCACCAGTGGGAAGCACCATCGGAGCCTCTTTCCCCTGTGCTGACACATCCTCTCGCACGGGAGCACCTGATCACTTTGCTCACAACTGTCTCGGATCGATTCCGATCCGGAGCAGACAGATTCAGTTTCGCCTATAACCCTGAAACCCAATCCAACCTACTCTCTGCACAGTCGGCCAAAGAAGGCAACAACTCGATCCTCTTTTCATCTATGAACATCGCTGGAAATCAGAGTCTATTGGGACCCAAAGGTGAAGGCCGAATCCGAGTGTCACGCCTTTTGGAGGACTGGGCTTTACCAAAGATTGTAATGCCACCCTCTACACAAGCCAACGGATTGCTCTCAACAGATGAGTCTGCAGAAGGCTCAGTTCAATCAACACAGATCAGTCGACGCACAAGCTTCTTCAAGGACAATTTGAATGAAGAGGCCAATCAGTCGCACAAGACCATTGGAGTTGAGAATCTCAAGCAGGCATTGTCGGCTGCTCATCAGGCGGCAGACGGGGGTGACACCAACAGCTCGGTTGCCGGAAGTGAATCACATGGACCATCACCCGCATTACAACGCTTCTACATGCACTCTGGCCAGCGTTCGAAGCATCATCAGTCGAGCATCAACGGTGGCTCATCTTTATCGATTTCGTCCAACTTGGCAACATCGCGACCAGAACTTGCAGATCTATTGAATTCGATCCAGGTTACGGTACCTACAAAGGACAGCTCGCTCTCACTGGTGATCCCACCTTACTAGATCCATTGATATGTTTCTTTTTTTTTTTTTTTTTTAGCTTCCCCTCCACTCTTCAGTTAGTCGAATAGTACTCATAATTAACTAGTAATATCTAATTTACGCACAAAAGCTCTGTAATGTATTCAGAAAATCAAGAACTAAAAAAAAAAGAGGAAAAATAAAATACAATTGATGTAATTAAAAAAAGATTTAATAAGTCAAGGACGCCAATGAAAGGAAACAAAGAGAATGAAGAAATGAAAGAGAAAAAAGCATGCCTGGGCTGATCATGTTGAGAGCCGATGTAGAAAGCGTCACAATGATCATGCATTAAATAAAGTTCAGAGCCTGCATTCGACTTCATCTCGTTCACATTTGTTCATTTTACTCATTCATTACATCTTTGTTCACTCATTTCATTCTTTGCCCCCTCAATCTGTCCTTACCTTTTATTCTTTTTTTAAAAAAAAATAATAATCACATATTTTATTTTATTTTGCTTTTTTTTATTTTTATTTTTATTCCTGCTTTTATTTTTATTTTTATTTTTAAATTCTTATTTCCATGTCGCGGAAACTATTTGCCAATTTTTCAAAGTATAGGAACGCCGTTGGAAAGGCAGCTAAACATGAGGTATTTATTATTATTATTATTATTATTGTTATTATTATTTTTTTTTTTAAAAAAAAAAAAAAAAAAAAGATCCATTCTTCTACGCAACTTGCTCTTTACACTTATCCCGTATTATATTTTTTTTTGCAAAGGCAACAGTAGAGTCTCAATCCTCTCTGTCAACCATACTTACTTTTTTTTTTTTTTTTTTTTTTTTTTATTTATTTATTTAAAAAATATTACTTCTAAAGGATGCCTATACTGATCTCAAGCTGTCGACCAATGCCTCAACAGACTCGTGTCAATTAGTAAAGATCAGTCAGTCATGGATTGCATTCAAGCAGCAAAGCGGAGGTAATAAATTAAAAATATTTGTTATTTAATTAATCGTCATGGATTAACGTGCGAGATGCTTAAACGACCTTCTTTTTTTAATTTTAATTTTTTATTTTATTTTTTATTTTTTTTCCTTAGTCGGGTCCGTCGGTATCCTCCCTGTGGGACCCGCAGGACGTGTCGGACAAAATGTCTATTCGCTCAATGCCCATGGATCCAATGTCTCCGACTGGGAATTCAGTCCCTTTGATGCCAACTTGTTGATCACTGGAGCCGAGAATGGCGAGGTATGATTGATTTGATCGTTTGTCTTCAGCAGATAATGCAGACTTGTCCTTGGTGTCAGTAATGTATGATATTTATAGCAAGACAACTTCTTATAACCATCCTACTCTTCTCTCTCTTTTTTTTTTTTTTTTTTCTTTTTCTTTTTGTCTTTTGGTTTTTTCTCTATCCAACAGGTCAAAGTGTGGCAAATTTCATCCAATGATAAAGGTTTGGCTACCTCTCAACTCCTACTTACAATCGTGACAGGAACAGGCAAGGCCATCGAAACAATTGCTCATCACCCTACGGCTCAAGGTGTAAGTCAACTCATCTCACATTTTTAATTGAAGGATCGAAATGCTTGGGTTTATGTTAAAATGTATAGATATAGTTCGTACTAATAGTTTTCTGTATTTTCAAATCCAACAACCTATTTTTCTCTAGATCATTGCCACAGCCTCACAGAGTCTGGTCCAAATCTGGAATATCTCTGGCCATGAGCACGGATCAACACTCTCTACCCCGGCCTATGCCTTAACGCATCCCAACAAGGTCTATAGTCTTTCATGGAAAGCAGATGGAATACAATTGGCTACGACATGTAAAGATACACAAATTAGAGTCTTTAACCCCAGAGAAAACGAGTCTCCTATCCAGGTGAGGATAAGTAAACTACATGGTGCTCTGCTACCCCAAGCTCAGCTTAGTTGTATACTATAAAGGAAAATACTTCATTTCCTTCATGTACACTATTACACATAGCTGAAATAGAAGGAGGGCGCTTTGCTTTGCTTTGCTTTGCTTTGAACTATATTAGACCGGCCAAGGCCCTGTAGGAAGCCGTTCATCGCGTATTGTCTGGATCGGAGAGAAGGATCTGCTTTTTACAGTTGGGTTCAATAACATGAGGGAGAGAGAGATAGCTCTCTGGAAAGCGGATGATCTAAGCAAACCATTGGAACTTAAGCATAAGGATTCTTCAAATGGATTCATACTGCCACTGTATGATGAGGATACATCCATCATGTTCCTTCCTTCAAGGGGCGAGACCATGATTCATTGGGTCGAGATTGCAGACTCTGCTCCATATATGACAGAGGGCACTGGATTTACAGTCCCTGCGCCCGTTGCTGGCGCAGGCCTCGTGCCAAAACAAATCTTGAATGTCATGCAGACAGAAGTTGCTCGTATTTTGGTCGTCAATAACAACAGTCTCTGGCCTGTCAGTGTTAACGTTCCTCGAAGAGTATGTTTGGACATCCCTTGTCTTTTTCTTTTTTTTCTCCTTTTTTCCTAAAAGTCCAAAGGGCCAATGTCTGATAATATCCTTTTTATATATATTTATGTGCTCCATATTTTTCAATAGAGTTATCTAGATTTCCATGCGGATCTTTACCCAGAAACAAAATCCACCACACCGGGACTCGAGGCACCAGAGTGGCTGCAGGGCGAGAACAGAACCGTGCCAAGGGTATCGTTAGACCCAGGGATGGCAGGAAAACCAGCATGGGCGCAGCAAGCTGTCAAATCAATCAGCTCAAATCCAACTTCAGCTTCAGCCTCGACTTCAACTTCAACGCAAGCATCATCGGTACCCTCTCGTTCTCCAGCCCCGACGCCGCCTCAAGCTCTACCTACTTCCTCAAGTACATCTTCTCCAAAGCCGACTGTTTCAGCATCACCAACTACCCCGGAACAGTTGCCTGCGGTGGACAATAAGGCTTCTGAACCTACACCTTCCGAAACACCAGCTGTGAGCAAATCTTCATCAGAAGACGTTCCTCAACCCGCCACTTCAACAGCTAATGTCGTTGAATCACCACCAGCATCAGTACCCAAGAGCTCAACTTCACCATCCTCGTCTGCATCTAACACTACTCATGTTGGATCACCTGCTGCAGTTCGACTTGCTACCCATAAAACATCCAAATTCCGCTTCCTAACATTTAAGCCTTATCATATCAGCCAGCATTTCGAGAGTATTTCAGGGCTGAGTATCAGCGCCATTCCTGAATGCAACCTGATTGAGGTAAGAAGGGGAAAGGAGAAGATTTATCAGACTTTTTTTTTTTTTTAGACACAAATGTCATTTTTGGCGTAATAAACATAATCATGCTAAGCATCTACACTCTACTCGATTTAGGTCAACCCCAAGTTTATGGCACTTCCTCTCCAGGCTACAGGAGGACGCGTTGGGATTTTGAAGACTACAGAGCCAGGACGAGTGACCAAGGTCCCATCCCTTGTCTGCTCTTCAGACTTGCTAAGTTTCAAATTCGACCCGTTCAACCATAACTTGCTTGTGACTGCATCAGATGATGCCAAGATCAAGGGCTGGATCATTCCTGAGGAGGGTCTTGATCATGAGAACGATGTGACGAAGCCAGAGTGGGTTCTCGGGTCCCCAACGATGGATAAAATCTCGTTGATCCAATTCCATCCACAGGCAAAGGATGTACTCCTCTCAGCTTCCATGGATCGCAATGATCCTACTTTGAGATTATGGGATCTGAAAGCTCAAAAGGAGGTGGTGACTATCAAAGGTCATAAGGATGTGGTATGATTCCAAGATAACATCCTAATAAAAAAAAATGCCACTTTGCTGTTTTTTTTTTTTTTTTTTTTTTTTTTTTTTTTAAAGGACTGTACTAAAGTTTGACCTTTTCATTCATTAGATCTTTAGCTGTGCATTTAATCACCAAGGGACCAAGATTGTGTCGGTGTGCAGGGACAAGAAGATCCGTATATGGGATGCATTATCGGGACAATTGCTGCAAGAAGGTCCTGGTCATGATAGTCTTCGAGCCTGCAGAGTTCTTTGGCTTGGAGAGTCTGATTTAGTGGCGAGTGTTGGCTTTGGCAGGTATGGTCTTCTTTCTCTCTCTCTCTTTTTTTTTTTTTTTTTTTCTCTCTCTCTGTCCATTATCCAGCAATTGACATTCTCTAGCCACCAATCCATTCATGAATAGGGGTAGCCAACGTGAAATCCTGTTGTATGATTCTAATGACCTTGCAAGCGGACCAGTCGATAAGAAGGCGATGGACAACTCTCCAGGGGTCTTGGTCCCACATTATGATCCAGATACCTCTCTTCTTGGAATATCCGCTCGCGGCGATCGAGTCATGAAGCACTTTGAGATCCTTGTCGGTATTAAGAAGGAAGATGCCCCGAACAAGAGCTTGTTTGTAGAGGTAGCCAGTCTTGAACAGGGGACATTGCAACAAGATGTAGCTTACTTGCCCAAGAAGTATTGTGACGTCCGAGAGTTGGAACTTGCCAAGATGTATCGTCTGACCTATAATAGCGTGGAGGTCATCCGTGTGTCCGTTCCAAGGAATAAGAAGGAATACTTCCAGGATGACTTGTTCCCAGACACGGATGATGTTGAGAGTGCAAGCATGGAAGCGAAAGACTTCTTTGATGGCGCAGGCTCTGGTATTCAGCGAAAGAAGATATCTTTGTGCCCATCTGATATGGAAACATGTAAGCCGGAAAAAAAAAAAAAAAAAAAACCCCCTTTTTATTATTGTTGCTATTGCTATTGCTGCTGCTGCTGCTGCTGCTGCTGCTGCTGTTGAGGAATAGGAAGGACTGCAGTTTTGTTAATTTACCTATTTTGATTCTTCTTTTATCATAAAATACCATTTAGTATCACATCACATTGCGGCAACACCAGCAACTCCTCAGACAGGTGGAAATTCACTAGACAAGTTTTTGCAGGGTAAACAACAAGCTGCTGAGGATGATAGGAAGAAGAAGGCAATGGAGAGGATGTTTGAGACAGCCAAGGAATCAAAGGCGGATCGAGATACGTTGGTCCCTGATACGGGTATCGTGGCAGAGGAAGAATGGGATGATTGAATAAAAAATTTGCTTGAAAATAAAAATAAAATTAAGAAAAAAAATAAATAAATAAATAAAAAAAAATGAGGAGAGTTAGCTATAGTATCATACCTAGTGCACCTATCAAGCGTTGTTATTACATCGTTAAGGTATACCTCATTCATGCTTATCAGCTGACACCGGCTCTACCGAGATAATCTAATGAATCTTGTCTGTAAGTTGTTAATGCTTTTTTGAAAAACTATCGATTACATGAATGGATCCATCGTTGTTTTTTCTCTTCAAGTACAAGGAGGGCTTGATTGAGAGGCACCGTTACGTGATGAAGTAATACAGACATGAACTTCGCTTGACACTTTGTCTCCATATTGGCGCCCAATATGAAGCATTGATCGAGGATAAACTGGCCGCTTGCACCTTTTTCTTATTTATCTCTTCTCAATCTACTTTTTATTTTATTATTTTCTTATTCGTGTTGAAGAAAATCCAATGGATTCCATCGACACAAAGTTGCATTAAGCAGTGTTTAATATAGAGCAATAAGTTAAAAGTAACAGATATCTCGCCTCGTGTGCGGCTGACAGACACAAGTGTGGCGATCTAATGGCCTTCGTTGAACTCTAGTTTTGTAAGTGTAAGTACTCAACAAAATATGTCAAAGATAATAATGAAATGTTTACAATTTAGTTAAATGGAATGGAAGGTTATCTCCAATAGAAACAACACAACATTGGATGTAGTGTGAACAGTTTCCACAAGTAGAGAAAGCAAATTCCTCACCAAGATGAAAAAATAAATATAAAAAAAAAAAAATTATTGAATATTATGAAGTTGGGTTGAACACAAGCAAACACCTCCAAGACATCAAAAAAGCCCGTACGCATACTGCAAGTGCTTTCTTATTTTCTACGATGGCTAATTACTAAACACCCTTTTGATTTTATTCTTTATTCTAGAAATGCCACCCTGCTTATTTACTTCTTTAGCAGCGAGGTCTACACGAAATAACATGCGCAAATCTACATTCACTGCACATGCTGTATTTGAATCGGTAGTCACTGATCGATTGACTTGCTCCTGTCATTGTTGTCAGCAGCGTTCCTCCTCTCAAAGCTTCTGTCTCCAAAGATATCTCTACTGATGAGACCTGATGATCATCAACTTGGCTGGGGGCTGCTTTGGAATTGTGTCCCATTGGTGATGCTGCCAGAATCTGTTTGGATGCCTCATATATGACCAACGGATGGGATCGCTCTTTTATTGCTCCTTGTTGCATCAGAAGCTTCCTGTTGACTGCGCTCAATCCAACTACACCTTGAATATACATGTTGCTAGCATTGAGAAATGTTTGCTTGGTGCTCCATTTCAGCCGACACTGATATTGATCGCCTTCCTTCACAATCTGCCACATCCGAACAGAGGCATCCTCAGATCCGGTGACCAGAAAGTAGCCTTCTTCAGATGTATTCCATACAAGCGTAGCAACACGTCTAACTTCCGATGGGATTACTAACAAGCACTCGCCTGTCTCTGCATCCCACACTCGCACTGTCCTATCGTCACTGCTTGAGGCAATGTGCTTCCCATCAGCCGAATAGGCCATCTCTCTGATCCTCTTGGTATGCCCTTCAAGAGTATACAAAACAACTCCCGTTTCTATATCCACCACATCGATTTGTTCATTCTCACAGGCACAAGCCATCCGTTGGCTACATGGTGAAGATAGCCCTATACCTCTATAATATTCAGATGTTGTATAACAAAGCTCACCCATTTCTGCGTTCCGTACAAGCAGCTCACTAAGGAAATGGCTGGGTTTAACCACTATTTTTCGACCGTCAGGCGTGTATTTGATAGAATAGCCATCCCTTTTTCCATCCTTCACTTCATAATGAAGGCCACCTGAATGAGCTATCCAGACTCTAAGGGTTCCCCATTCATCATATGAAGCAAGATGGTGGCCATCAGGTGAGAACACTACACGCTCTACAGCTTCACTGTGGCCCTGTAGAGTGTGGATGAGCTCTCCTGTTTGTGTGTTCCATATAGTCACACCTCCATTGCGATGACCAAAGGCAATTCGATGGTCAATAGGTGAGAAATCAAGGGTATAAACCTCATTGTATTGTCTGTCCTGCAGCTCCAAGGTATGGGCAACTTGGCCTGTTCGAGCATCCCAAAGGTAGACACGTGAAGAATGATGACAAGAAGCAAGCAACCGACCATCAGGTGAATACTTGATATCTTCTATGTATCCATTGGGAATTTGTAAAACATGGATGGACTGTCCTGTCCTTGCATCCCATATGCGCACTGTTTCATCACGACTACAGGAAGCTATTTGCTGTCCATCCGGTGAGCTCCTGACGTCATAGATCGACGCTGAATGGCCATGCGAATCATGATTAGATTGCTGTGACTGAGTATCCCAGAGGCGTAGGTGTAAAACAATTCTAAGACATCAGCCGTGATCGCCTTCTCTTCCTGCTCCGAGAATACAATATGTTTCTTGTTGATGTGGACTATGCCAGACAGCAAACTATGCCAGTAACGATATGAATAAAAGAAAAGAAAAGAACGTGTTATTATCATGATTGAAAAATGCTCGTCAAGAAAATAATAAGAAAATTGCAGCGTGGAAAACATACGCGATCTCATCTACATGCGTGTGGTCTAAGAGTGTTTATTTATTTCCTCAAATAATAGTGATTTGCCACTGCAAACCATTTTTTCCATTGACCCTTCATAGCCACTTTCTCGTACCATTCCCACGCCTTCTTTCATCGCCTTTGCCACTCCTTCCTCCTTATCCTTAAACCGTTTATTGGACAAATTTGTCCAATAACCTTATTTTTTTTCTACTTTACTTGTTTTTCTCGCTTTTTCATTAAGCCACCTCCCCCCAACACCCGGGTAAAAGTGAAAGAGCGCAAAAAATTACATAGACCGGTGTACTCAGATCAACTCGCAAATTAAGTGAATTCCAAACTTCATTTACCAATGAATGCTCCATCACAAATGACATTGAGTGTGGCCCGTGCTTATGAGGAAATGGAGGACAATGTCTTCGACATTACTTTGTCTTTTCCACGCCGCTGCAGAATACAAAACGAAGATATTGAAGAAGAGGAAGAAGACTTGGAGGATACCCCGACGCTCCAAGAAAAGACCTTAATATTCTAAAGGTCGTTGATGATTACAATTACCACATGGGAGAGGTCGATATTGCAGATCAACTGAGGTCCTATTATAACACCCAACAACCCTCACGACGCAACTGGCTGCCCCTCTTTTTCTGGTTGTTGGACACCTCAATCGTCAACTCCTATATTATTAGCCTAAAAACAGGCTCCACTCGCACACACTGGGAGTTCCGACGCAAGCTTGTCTAGGGTATCATCAATTCTGTTCATGAGAACACCAAAACTCGAAGCTCAAGTGTCAAGAAGACACAGCGTCAAAGAGTAACTAAACACTTCAAGTTACCTGAGTGCCGCTTTGAGAGTGATGGTCATTGGCAGGAATTGAGAGATGAAGAGCGTGCAATATGTGTATGGTGCTCCTGGGTCGCACGCCAAGAAGCAAAAGATAGTGGAGCCCCATCGCACGGGACGAACAAAACCCAAACATGGTGTGAAAAGTGCAACGTCCCTCTTTGTTTTAACAGCAATCGAAACTGATTTAAAGCCTTTCACACTCAAAAATAAAGTTCAACTTAAAAATTTTTCATGTTTTTACATAGGTTTAGTAGTCCAAAATAATTGGACAAATTTGTCCTACAAACCTTACGGTTTAAGGGATACCCTATTCTCTTTGTTTTTAGTATCAACGCTTTCTTCTTTTCTTCCCTCATCATCTCTCTTTCTGTTTTCTACCTATTCAATGCTTCGCAATATGCCAGACAATCTCTTCACTCTGTTTTGCCTTGTTGATGGGGAGTCAATCTCCAACGCGTTTTCTGTCGAGATTGAGCCTTCGATGCCCTCAAGAATGCCCTCAAGGCCAAGAAGGCCAACCGATTCCAAGATGTTGATGCTGATGAGCTCACCGTTTGGGGCGTTTCTCACCCTGTAATAGCGGCCAACAAGCATATTCCCGTTCTCTTAAGCGCGATTGATGCCCCAACAGAGCTTGATCCCACCGACGACATTTCTGATGTCTTTGATGAGAAGCCGCCCAAGAAAACAATCCACATCATTGTCCAGCGCCCTCCTCCACAAGGTAATGAGACGCGTCTTTTTCTTCGCGTTTGTTGATTGATCTTCGCCTGCATGAGCTTATTCAGATTAACTTTATTTTCTGTCTCTCTCTCCCCCTTATTTTGCTTTTAGTGGCGCAGGCACCAGGACCTTCTCGCTCATTAACTCCTGTTCCTGGCTACTCATCGGATGTCTCCCGTCCCAGTACACCGCTGTCTGGAATGCATCCATTTCTGTCCATTTGTGTCTGTACTTTTTTTTTTTTTTTTAAAAAACGTCCTAACATTGCCCTCCTCTCATGCACCACAGGTGAACTCCATGCTGACATCAAAACAATCACGGACAAGTTCTTTGCACCAGGATCGGATGTAGTCAAGTTCCTCGATGCGTTTGTTAAGGGCGAAGGACAGCTTCCAACCACAAACGGAACTATTCAAGGGCTGCCTAGAGCATGGCGTCGCGGTCTTGGAAAAGCCTCTCCTGAACGTCCGAGCTTACTCTTCATGGACTTGCCTGATCCTTCCATACTGATTCGACATCAAGGAATCTTACGGCTGGATCCATTCTCGAGCTTGTCAAAGAGAATAACCGATACAATATTCCTATCTTTGGGGTCTCTGGTAAGCAACATGGTAAATGGAGCTATTAGATATCAGCATAGGTCTCTGAAGCATGACATTAATTGTTCCCAACAACCTCTATTCCGTAGGCTGTGGTAAGACTCGCGCTGTGATCGAGCTCCTTTCTCAGCATTGGGGGTTCTACTTCAATGCTGATGACGACTGGGGCAGCGGCGATATGATGACACTTTTCAACACTGTGCGCAATCGTCTGAAGGAAGTCGAGGCAAGCTCTGCTATGGTGGATCTTGAGCTTAATAACCTCTTTGCGCGGAAGACGACACTCTTATTATTTCTATCTCGCCTTCTCATCTTCAAATACTGTATTCGGGCTCCTGGCAGCAGTGAAACATTCAACAGTGCACGGTGGGCTCTGCTGCAAGTATGTCCACATGTTTTGTTCAAGGACATGTTTAATGAGCTTTACATCAAAGTTGTTCAACTTCGAAATCACAGCATTCTCGACCTCTCTGATTATGTCCGCAATGTATATGAGGACACAAAGGACCGACTTATTCAGCGCGGATGTCTACCGAAGATCAAGGATGGTACCAGGCTTCTCGTCATCAACGATGAGGCACAGTTCCTTGGTGATCAGTTCATTGGTTCTTTCCAGTCAATGTCCTCCGAGGTTTCTCCGCGTCCAGTTCTCTCCCCAATTCTGCACGCCTTCCGAGACATTGGCCATGAGCAGCTCACGCTTGTTACATGTGGGACTGGACTCAGCATTGCAACACTTTTCTGGGTTCAGAGCTCTGGTTCTGGACTGAAGGACAACTCCACCGCTTTTGATTACATGGAGTTTCCTGGATGGAAATGCAAGGAGTCGATCAAGTCGTACATTTCGCGGGCGGAAAAGTGTCTGCCAGACGAAAAATCAAGGCTGGCTTTATCTGAATACCTTCCTCAGGACGCGGTGGACATGTTGTTCGAAAAGTTTGCAGGCCGATTTCGTCCAGCCATAACAGCAATTGGTATGTTAACGTGAGATGGCCACGAAGAAAGAAGATTTGATAAGATGATCTCGAGTTGATGCACAAATGCTTACAACTTTTGGCTTTAATGTTTCTTCCTTTATAGAGAGAATTATTGAATGCAATGACCCTGGTTCATGGAAGATGACTATCCAGGATGCAGAGGGCAGACTGGTGTCATGGGCGAATCGACACATCAAAGGCAACATTTGTTACGAGATCTCGCGCCTTTCAGACAAGTACAACAGATACAAGGATAAGCTCGTGGAGTCTATCGACAGCATGCTTGGACTCCTAATGTACCAGCGTTGCATGTTTGGAAATCATGACCTTATCCTCAAAGAGGTAGACCCTTCTTTGGTCGAACATGCGTTTGGCCGGATCAAGATTATTCGAGGTCGGGCCGTTACCGTTATTGACGAGCCCTTCGTTTCCAAGGCTGTTGAGAATTATTTCGCAGCCATTGATCCCTACTTTGCAAGAGAGGTTCAAAACGTATGATCAAGGCGACACCTATTGAGCAAGGATGTGTGTTTGAGCGGTTTATGATGAAGGTTTTCAGTGAGACGTTCAACAGAGGACCTCTAGCAGAGTGGCCGCATAGCCCCAAAATTTCTAAGATGTGTCCGGCTCTTGTCGGCAACGTGGAGATTGTTGGCTGGAAAGAGCCTGGACTCGAGCAAGGTACGACACATGCGATGATGTCGATGGGGGAGTTTATGGACGCTCATGTCAACAACAATTCAAAACGCAACAGCGTGCCTGTTGCGCCATTTTTCTTCCCCAAGCCGAAGCCATCGGGACCAGACCTCGTTTTTTTCATCCGTGTTGACAATGAAAGAATTTTTCCAGTCTTTGTCCAGGTGAGTACTTCAAGGCAAAATCTTTTGGTATTTGAACAAATCTCTTTCGCACATTCTTCTTATCTCAACCGTCTTCATCTTTATTGTTTTAGATGAAGCTGCATCAGGGGTCGTCGAATTTCTCAGAGGCTGATTGGAACGATGCACTCAGTACGGTCTCGGCTCCCAAGATTGAATGTCACGCTGAGAACTTTCGCGAGTACTGCCCTGAAAATGTCTACATCAACATGATCATTGCTTATCCTACAAAGTGGACAGACAAACTGCCAGCATCCTCAGAGCTTCCAAAGGATGCTAGCGGTGTGCAACAAGTGGTGATCAATATTAGCGATGACAACTTTGGTAACGTCTTCCCCAAGGAGCATGTAGAGTTTATTGATCGACTCAAGAATGCATGAAAACGTTCGGCTGATGACAGCGACAGCAATGGTGAAGGTGAGTGCTCCAAGAAGCTGAGGAGTTAAAGACTCTCTTTCTGTAGTGGACTTGAATAAAGGTGTTTGTACTAGGCTTCAATAGGGAAAGCTGTTTCTATTCATGCAAAGAAAGCGAATGGTTAAATTCCTTTCCGTCATCTTTTTGTCTCTACACTTCTCTCCTCGAGGCGAAAGGTTTGCAAAGCAAGTAATACAATAAAATATATTAATGAAGCATGCCTTCCAATATTCTTTCTACTTGTGCTATAACAACGGTCTGATTGATTTTTCTTAGCTGCTTGTTCGCTTTATCTGCGAGGCCCCTCAATTCTCGGTCGACTTTGACACTCACTGGCCGGGTTTCCTTCTCTTCCATGACGTCGACAAGGCGCTGCAAATTATTGCGAATGCCACGATCGCTTTCTGTATCATCGCTATCGTCACCCTTATCTCGCCTAACCATCGCAAGACGCTCTTCAACCTCAGATCTCAAGAGCTCTCCACAATTATTGAACAATTTCTTGAAGACAAATGCTGCAACTTTAAGCCCTGACCATCCATGCGTCGACGCCTTGAATGTCCAAAGGTCCGCCAAGGTCACTGGTTTGGCGTTAAACATAAGAAAGCGCGGGTGGACTGCTGCATGTTTGCCATATGTGATAATGTCGTCAAAGTTGGTCCGTGTCTGGCGTACAACGTTGTTGCGCATGTCCTTTCCAGCACCCTTCTTGAACCACAAGCGTGAGTTGCAATGAGAACGAAAGAAGGAATTGTGTGGGCCTACAATTACCTTTCCAGTCGTAAGCACCACTGCTAACGTCGAGAGAGCGTTCCAAAGCACGCTCCCTATCATCAGTTGATTAGTGTCACCAAACTTCTGATTGACGATCTTGAATGGCTTAGTATCCGGAAATGCGACGTCTGTGCACCATATAGACACATATAGCGTATACGATGATTTAGAATACTACTCACGTGGCATAGACGATATCTTATACGTGTAGTCCTAATACATCGATTAGTCGCTTCTTGCCTCGCTCGAGCCACTGCTCAACAAACTGATCGTACAGTGTGACACGTTTGATCTTGGTGTTGGTGCTTCCTTGATCTGGAACTACTATTCGTGGGAGTACTTCTAGTGACATCGATAGCATGAATGGGTTCTTTACGAGGTCTTGTAGACTAGGGACCTGGCTGAATGCACGCCGGTAGTCACCCACATGCCACAGTGGATCCATGGCATCGACATATTGCTTGATATAGTCATCGATCTGAGCCTCAGAGAATGGCATGATCACAGCCTCTTCAAACAATCCAGCATCTGCTTGATGATTGCGGTCCATAGGTTGGAACCGATCTCGATAGTCCAATCCAAGGTACTCGCTGCGGCAGCTGATCACCATCTGAGCCATCCACTCTCCAGACTTATTCAGTTGGTTGGAGACATACAGATTGGTGGTCTGCATGCCCTCATCATATCCATCACAAATCAAAACAAATGACCGACTCTTCTTCAGCTCTTTGATTTCGGGCTCCGTGAAATCGTAGTGTCGCAGTTGCTTTGCAACTAGATCCTTCTCTGGCTTGTCGATGGCTGGGAGATTGATAAACAGCGGAATCCGACCATATCTATTTTGATATGTCTCCCAGAGTGTACGCTCCAGAGTGCGATTGAATGTGGACTTGCCTGCTCCTGAATCTCCTTGGACAAGTAGCACTTTCTGATCGCTATCCAGGAACTCTTTTACCTTGTCCATCAGCAAGAATAGCTTGTCATCGCTTGCTTGAGGACTTGCTTTAGCATGCTGTTTGATGTAGAACCCTTGGTTGTTTCCAATCTCCATCCGCTGTCTCTTTAGTCGCCGTAGACTGTCCTCAACACCAGGTCTATTCTGTGCAAGGTCAAGCAAATGTGAAGATGTAGATGGAGAGTGTGTGATGATGAAATGATGCTGGGTTATTGGCCCTTGTAGACATTTCCTATATAGCTCTTGTCTCTTGAGGTCTCCATATTTCTCTAGTTCATTCAAGAGAGTGTCTGCAGCTGGAAAGAGAAGGATAGGGATATGTGTATGGAGTGAGTAGATAAATCACCATTTACTGAGCACTGCCAACATCCAAACATATCCACAGAAAAAGAGGGAGCAATATGTACCTTTTAGACCATCTGGTGATAATGAGGATAGTTCCCTAAGGATACTTATGATCCACTGCTTGATATGTGCATGGTTATCCCACTCTTGGTCACTCTTGTATATCTCTCCTAGGAGTGTGATGGCATCCTGTCGAGTATCCATGGTCCACTGTGTATCAGCTGCAATCTGTCCTAGTCTCTGACATAGTCCCCATTGGAATGCTGCATCATTTCGACAGGATGCTTCACACACAAGAGTCTTGAACTGGGTGAACTCGCCTCTCTGGAGCAGTGCATCAGCTCCACGCAGTGCTGGATACCATGCTGACTTGTGACTAAAGCTAAGTCCTCCTTCCATACACTGTTTGAATGTCGATCCACTCTCACAGAGTGAGTTGTATTTTCATATATTCCTAAGCTCATGTAAATAGCTTCTGTCACAGAAGGAAGCTTTTTCTGGATACTGCTTATCTCATCCATGAAGGCACTCAGATCTAAGTCTTTGGTTGCACTCACTACTCCAAACACTCCTCGGATCACTGCTGATGTCCGTCGAAGCATGGCTTGCATTGTTGATTCATCATTTGGAATATACTGCAAGGCTTGGAAGGCATAAGCTGCTTGGTAGAATAGTTGAGGATCTGAACTGTCTTTTAGTCCTTGGAGGAATGCAGCAAGTGGTTCATGGAGTTGTTCTTGCTTCAGACCTTTGACTTGGTTGTTGACCATGGCATCGAGGACATGTGAAACCGTAACAGACAGGCAATAGAGATGGTCTCCAGATTGACTATGCGTGCCTCGTAAGCGATAATTGAGGGTGTTGAGGATTGTGACAAGGTCATCGGAGTCAAGGTGTCCAGGAGGAGCACACTGCATCAGTTGAGCCAATCCTTGTAACAGATGAGTATCCAGCATAATGTTCTGGCTGATTCCATTGATCAAAGCCATGAGTAGTGTTCTGAATTGTGCTTGATCAAGGACTGGGGAGAGAGCCACAACTTCAGCTACAGATGCCTCGGCTTTGATGTCATCGCTGATGAACAACTCAATCACATCTGAAGCCAGTTTACACAGTCGTTCATGTTCATCTTGATCGTTCAATATGGCCTGTCGCCACTCCTTCTCGTGATCATTGAGACCATTTGTTTGGATAGGAGTAAGTGATAACAGAGATAGACAATATACAAGCTGGTGGATGTCATTCAGCTGAGTACCAGCATCTGGTAAGCTGTACTTGATGGCTGTTGGAGGCTCATTGTGATTGAATATGTCCTTTGAAATAGCTGCAATGGTCTGTGCTGGTGCTGTTTTCACCATTCTGTTTGATATGCTGCTATTGGTTCCACTACTTTCTTGTTTGGTGCCGTTGTTGCTATTACCACCCTTGTTATTGTCACTAGCATTCTTGCCATGGTTACTGCTTTCTTGGATGTATCCCCATTTCTCAGCTTTCTTGCTGCGCCCTTGAGCAACATCCAAATGACCTAGCTGTTCAAATAAGCGTGCAAGCTCATGGTAGGCTGAGGCAATACCTTGGCGCAATTCCATATCTTCACCCGAAGCTGCAGAGGTTGAAGGCATTGAGGCAAGGGACCTCCTTGCAGACTTCTGGACTCGAGACAATACAGAATCAGCATCGAGACACAGCTCCATCACTATGTCGTTATCGTCGTCTATAATGTGAGTACCCTGCATGTAGAAATCGAAGAGTCTCAGAGCCTGCGCTGGCGTGAGTACACTTCGTGAAGGAGTATTCATGGAGTCAAACATGGTTTATCGGTTCTTTTTCTCCTCTGGGTTGTAGTCTATTAACTTTGGATATAGAAAATGGGGTTTAATTCACAATACTTTTTGTTGGTATGTGAATCAATGTTTTTTGTAGGTTCCAGAGGTGAATGTGTGTCCCTTACTCCAAAGATTCGACCATGGGTAAAAAAAAAGTGACATTGTAAGGAAGAGGAAAGGGGAAAAAAGAAGAAAAGTAAGCATGGATGCATACATGTACAGTACATTCAGGATCGATATGCTCTGTTCCCCCCTTTAAGAGATATCCTTAACAACTCTTCCAGCGTCTCTCTGACGCTCGGAACTTTTTATTTGTCATTATCGTTTCATACCGTTGCTTCACTGCAGGTTCAAACACCTTTTGGATCCTTTTTTACTTTTACATCTTATGCACTATAACCAGTAAAAAGAGTGTGTGCATGTTATATTTTTTTTATTTATTCTTTTTTTTTTTCCCTTCAGCAGTCTGCTCGCTTGTAACTCTTTTCGAGAAGGGGATGAAGGGCTTCTAGAAAGAGAATAATCTATATGCATGATTATGGATGGGTTGCCAGGACAATAGACTGAAATGAGATCAATAATGTCTAGGAAGAGTACATACACAAACCTTGCACTTGGTCAATGAAATATTACTCTGTTAACATTGTCGGAACTAGGTTTTTTCTACAGATTAATTAACTATATTACTATAGTGTAGTTTGACCGCTCATCAACTCGAGCTACGTTGACGTGTCCTCTTTGACTGAGTCATTCACCATTTAGGCTTTTTTTTAATTCGATAGTTCTAAAACTACCACAAGTATAGGGTATACCGATATTAGCAATTGTTAAAGCATGAAAGGTTTATTAACTAACTGCTTTTTTTTTTTTTTTTTTTTTTTTTTTTTACAGCTTGAAAACTAATACTCGGAAAAGGCCTGTAAGATGTGTTTGTAGTTGTAGAATCTTTTTTTACTAATGTTTTTTACTAAACTCTTGAACCAATAGAGCAGTGAGAATTTCAACCTACTAGTTTCGTTGGCAAAGTAAGAAGGGGGGCGAGGGGGGGTAGAAATGGGATAGGAATAAACCTGAGCTGACGGTCTAGTGGTAAATAGCTTATTAGCATTAGACGGATTTTTTTTTTTTTATTTTTTATTTTTATTTTTTTTTAGCTGTCATGGCCATAAGCTAAGGCATACATATTCTACTGAGCCACCTTTCATTTAGACAGCAGACAATACCACTCAGAAGTAACAGGCGGATTGTCTGCTTTACAAGTATTTCGTTCAGATCATTGTTTGTGGCGTATGAGGGTTAGGTTTGGGGATACATGCAAAAGCCTAGTGAAGGCCCTGTACTTGAGCCCTTGCAGAGTTGTTGTTACGCCACGTTCCTCTTATCGAGTGGGAAAGATCAAAAAGGATGGGACAAGGAAGCTGGGGCCAATTGAATGAATCCGTTCTATAAACTGTTATAATATGCTGGACCTGAGGTAACACTGAATTGCCCAGCATGCTGAGACAGGGACAGGCTATGAACCAGATACACAGATACTGAGCCGATATTTGAATAGCAAATGTACTGTACATGTATACTATATTCATTACGATCAAACCAACGGTTTCAGTATTGGAAGGTAAATGGCGTATCAAAAAAGGTGGGCTGTTAGGCTCAACTCTAAAACAGTCCTTCAGTAATCCATGTACACATGGTAAATGCCCTCGCCCTCGCCCCCATCACCATCCCATCAGTCTATATACATGTATATTCTTTTTCTTTCCTTTTTCTTTTTTTTTTTTCCTTTTTCTTTTTTTTCCCTTTAATAAATAGTAGGACCCCATCTTGATAGGCGCCATCTTGATAGGATAATTGATGATATAGATATAGTTATTGTCTTGCACAGTAAAGTCTATGATAAATGATCTTCTTTGACTGATTAAATAAGGAGACTTTTTTTTTTTTTTTGCTATTGAAGATTGGACAATTCTCAGCATTGTGTTTTCTTCTCAATTGAGAGCCCATTACACGTTGCACGAGGGGCAAGTGTTGCAAATGATTTAGGGCCATTTGAACAGCGCCACGCCATGCATCCCGTTAATCATTTCCAAACATCAAACTGTGGAACCAACCATTCCATGCATTGAAAAGGTTCACAAAAAAGAAAGAGTAGGACTGCGGAGCAAAAAAGATGTTGTGATATATACTTTATGAGCCAGGTTGGATCCTTGAAATATGGAATAATGTCAAAAAAAAAAAAAAGAAAGGAAAAAAGGGAAGGAATGTATACGGGATATAATATGCACAGACATAGCCTATTGTGCTTTTAGCGGCTTTGTCAAATAGCAGTTTGGTCCATCTTCTTTGCAATGCGAGGCGAAAGTTTTAGACCCACTAGACTATCCCTTTTATGTTCTCGTTACTCATTACTGCACATGGTGGATGTATTTTAATTTTTTTTTTTTTTTTTTTTCTTTGTTTCGTAAGGCTAAAAATAGTCCCAAATTTGGACAAGACTCAAATTAAAATGTCCCAAAAGCCAAAGCAATAGGCGAGTTTACTACAGCCCTCATCTTACCGGAACCCTATTCTCAATGGGAGATCAAATCAAACCATACAAGCACAAACGCAGGCACAGGGTTTTTTTCTTCTTTTTCTTTTTTCTTTCTTTCTTTCTTTCTTGTTGTCTTTTAACTCATCCTTCCTTCCTTTCTCTTCGTCCCATCCTCATCCTCACTCTCACCCCTCCCCACCTTTCTCCTCCCCCCATCATATAATGAAAAAATGACGGCCCAATTCAGTTTCAACAACAGCTGGTCCACCTCTATGACCCGTACCTCTCGCAAGAAACTCTGGGCAATCTTTTGTGCACTCTGTGTCTTCTTCAGCTTATCTCTTTTCCATCTCCACAGTCCATTCTTCAGACAAAGTTCGTCAACAGCCGACAGCGTCTCTAACAAATGCACGGTCCCAGATGAACAACTTGCGGCCAAAAAGAAACTTGTTGGCAAGAATTGGATCGTAGTAACCACCATTAACCCACCAACAGATGCCATGAATCTTTTATGCAATCTCAAGGAGTGGAACGTGAGTAAAAAAAAAAAAAAAAAAAAAAAAAAAAAAAGAAAGAAAGAAAGAAAAAGAGGGCTGATGAGACGTTGCTTATGCATATTAAATAAAAGAGAGACAGGGGTCTTTTTTTTTTTTGATTTTCTTACAAAACACTAAAATACCCAAAAACCACTGTCATTTGTTGTGTAGGTGGTCGTTGTGGCAGATACGAAATCACCCAAAGAATGGGAATGCGGTTCCTGTGTGTACCTGACAGTCGAAGACCAACAATGTCTAAAATTCGGTATTACAGAGGTGATTCCCTACAGAGCATACACTCGCAAGAACATTGGCTATCTCTGGGCTATTCAACAAGGTGCCACTACAATTTTTGATACTGATGGTAAGGAGAACAATAACAATGATAATAACAAAAATAATGCACTTTGAGAGGTACAACAACGCACATTGACTGAGTTGTAAAAAAAATAAAATAAATAAATTAAGATTTAAACCTCTAAAATACATTCTTATTTATTCTTATCATCCTAGACGACAATCTTCCAAATACCAACATCACATTCGAATCACCCACTGAGAGTGTCATCACCTATCGCACGGACAAACCTGAAGAGAGAAGCGTCAATGTCTATTCACATTTCGGCAGACCCGATGTTTGGCCACGGGGCTTCCCTTTGAATGAAATTGACATTGAACGACCTGTATCATATCTTCCATCCTATGCTTCCCTCCCTGAGAAGGAGAGGAAATTGGTGGGACCCCCTGTGATGATTCAACAAGGCTTGGCTGATTTGGACCCTGATGTTGATGCCATCTTCCGTTTGACTCAAGGACAGGAGTTGAAGAAGATCAAGTTCTGTAAAAAATCACCCTCCATTCGGTTGTCCCCAGGATCGTTCTGTCCCTTTAATTCCCAGGTAAAAAAAAAAAAAAAAAAAAAAAAAAAATCCGGCACAAGCACTGCAATTCACTATCATAATCATAATCAAACAATCAGATAATCAAACAATTACAATCAAACAATCGTCGTTAAAACGTTCATCTTTCTTTCTATTTAGAACACTTTGTTCAGTTACGATGCATTCTGGGGATTGTTACTGCCAATCACAGGTATGAGAAAGAAGCATTCATAAAAGACTAATTTTTTTTTTTTTTTTTTTTTTTTTTATTCTTTTTACGGTACACAATATAATATGCTCATTGATTAAGGATGTCTTTTTTTTATCTTTTTCTTTTTTGATTCCAGTCTCCTTCCGAGTTTGTGATATCTGGCGCGGCTATTGGGTCCAACGGTTACTTTGGGACATTAATGGCTCCTTGGGCTTCACCAAGCCCACGGTTGATCAGATTCGAAACGCTCACAACTATCTGGCTGATTATGAGGACGAACTCCAACTCTATTCAGAGGCCTCAAAGCTCGTCGAATTCCTCGCCAACTGGTCATCTCCCTCCACCAACCTCGGAACTCGTATTGTTGACCTCATGAAAGCCATGGCAAAGGAGAAATTCATTGGAGAGGGAGATGTGGATCTTTCAGAACGATGGGTCAGAGATCTTCAAAACGTAGGATATAACTTCCCGGATGTGACCCTTTACAACCGTCAGGCTGTCCGGAATTCTATCACTGCCATCCAAAAGCCCATTGTTTCAACCGATTCTCATCGACTTTCTTTTGAGGCCCTTAATCAATGTAAAGCAGACACAACAGATCCGTCCATGGCCAAGATTCAAATCGTCAAGGACAAACCGCGAACAGTGGATATTTTCAATGACGTACTTCTGGTCGTCAACTTTAACTGGCCGCTCTACGATGCAATTGAGCCGTATCTCTCGATCTACAAGCCTCACTTCCCTAATATTGTCATGTATGGTCCAGACGTCCCTGAACATCTCCAAGGAGTCGTCAGGTCTGTTTCACATAATGAAGGAAACATTGGATATAAATCTCTGGTGATGGCGATGGAGGAATTCCCCAATTACTCGGGCTATCTTTATACAAACGATGATACCCTTCTAAACGTCCATCAGCTTGCCACATATGATCTGGACAAAGTATGGAAGCATGTCCCCATCTTGTCAGAAGATCTTCGTGACCGATCCAAACCACCACCATACTCCTGGCACTGGGAGAGGCCAGGAACAACCGACATGTGGAATGATCCTACCTCTTTTACGGATATTCAGAGAGAGCGGATAGCTAAGTTCACTGGAATCCCTGGACCAGCCGATATCAGAGCCTTCTGTGATGCAGTCTATGTTCCTGGAAGGATTTCCTTGGAGGTCAAGGATGTCCTTACGCGCTTCCTTAAGCATGATGTCTTTTTGGAGCTTGGAGTAGGGTTGGCGCTCATTGCTGTAGAGCCAACAGAGAATTGGGTGGACTGGAAGGAGTCTTATCTGTGGTATGGAGGTGAGCGAGAGCTATGGCGTGATTACATGCAGCCTGGCGTGGGTATTGTACACCCTGTCAAGCTCTTGAAAGATCGAAAGGCTCGTGACGATATCATCACTTGGATGGAATCTGTTGAAGTAGTGTAAAAAAAAAAAAAAAAAAAAAAAAACTCTTTCGAATAAGGGGCAGAAGAATATCAGTGCCTTCTTCCCCAAGCACCTTTTAATCATTGACATTGTAAATGTTTTCTGAACCATATATTACTTATACACATATACACTATATACTTTTATAAAATCTTGTTTTCCTCATAGAATCAATTAAGCACTCTTACACCATTAATAAAAAGAAAAAAAATAAGAAAGTAAAAAATAGAGAAAAAAATACTAATAAAAAAAAAAAAAAACAAAAGCAATAATGTTTTATTACCTATCTTTTTTTTTTTTTTTTTTTTTTTATATATAAATAATCTATCTATTCGGCATGGAGGACACGAAGAGTGTTTGTGTTGCCAAGACCTCCCTTCCAACCTTGGATCATGACTATCACGTCACCCTTCTTTAGAAGGCCGTCCTCTATAGCCTTCCTCATGCCGTACTTGAGACGAGCATCTGTCATTGAAAGAAAAAGGTATGAGAATTCCAAGACTTGTGAGAACCGCTTATTGACTTTTGAAATAAAAAAATAAAAAAATAAAAAAAATAAAAAATAAAAAATAAAAAACTTACCGACATCCTCCTGCCAATCAGCACCTCGTTTGATTTCATAAAAGTATGGGTAGCAGCCTCGGTGAAGATGAACCTGTCTGGCGGTGGATGCATAGCGTGTCAAGACAATGATCGGGCACTTTGGCCTGTATTTGCTTACCAATCGGGCGGTCGTACCACTCGTTGTCAAGACAATAATGGCTCCTGCTGCTTGTTCCTGTGCTGCAGACACTGCAGATGAAGCCACAGTCTCGGTCGTCTCAGTAGGACGGGGGGTCAAGTCTCGGATCTCATTGAACAAGGGAGGATAGCAGATAGCGGACTCTGCTAAGAGACATGTTTCATGCATCGTACGGACAGCTTCAAGAGGATAGGATCCTTTGGCAGTCTCTCCTGATAACATTACACAATCCGCTCCATCTAAAATCGCATTTGCAACGTCAGACACTTCTGCACGAGTAGGTCTAGGATTGTACTTTTTTTTTTTTTTTTTTTTTTTTAAAAAAAAAAAGAAAAAGAAAAAGTCAGGCCAAGGATTTTTTTTAAAAAAAAAACTTGAAGCAGGCCTTTAACATTCTTGTATTAAACAACTTACGGTCATGGATTCAAGCATCTGTGTGGCACAGATGACAGGCTTGCCTGCAATGCTACACTTTGCAATCATCATCTTCTGGGCCAAAAAGACAGTCGAGCAAGGAATCTCAATACCCAAGTCACCACGGGCCACCATCACTCCATCAGTCTCTGCCAAAATGCTATCAAAGTTTTGGACGCCCTTTTTTTTTTTTTAAAGAGTCCATTGCGTTATTAATCATGTCCTTCCTACTCCTCCTCATCTTCATCATCAATGCCTTCTTCTTCTTCTTCTTTCTTTAATTTTACCTGATGGTTCTCAATCTTCGAGATGATCTTGATATGTTTTCCAGCATCACCAAGGACACGACGAATCTCTCGTACATCCTCACCACTTCGAATAAACGAAGCAAAGATCATGTCCACATCATGCTCAATACCGAACTGTAAATCCTTTTTATCCTTTTCTGAAAGGGCAGGCAAGTCCACATTGGTCTTGGGCAGGTTCACTCCCTTTCTGGAGGAAAGTTTCCCATTGTTTAAAGCCACGACCTTGATATCGGTCTCTGATAAGATCTCGAGGACCTTGAAGGACATGACTCCATCATCAATAAAGATCACCTTCCCGGGTGACATCACCTTGGGAAGGTTCTTGTAATCGATATAGAGGACCTGGTCGTTACCGGATTCTGCATATTCATCCTTTGTGCTGAAAATCATTTCATGCCCTGCCACAAACGGTACATCGCTTCCATCACCACCCATCACACCCGTACGGATCTCGGGTCCCTTGGTATCAAGAGCAATAGCGACTGGTTTGCCTGGAGTTTCGGCACAGCTCTTGCGGGTATTATCGATGACTGACTTGTGGTACTCGTATGAACCATGACTGAAGTTCTTGAAGGAGGGGAGCGGAAGATTCCAATCCAACGTTTAAAAAAAAGTAAATTATATGCATAGACCACATGTAGACATTCAAACCTCAAAAGCAAAAAGAAAACCTAATTGATGATTAAAAAAAAAAAAAAAAAAAAAAAGAGGGTCCATACCATGCGCACGATGTTCATGCCCTCCTTTCGCAATGCTGTGATCATTTCGACCGAGTTTGTCTTTGGGCCTAGGGGAATAAGATAAAAAAAAGAAAGCAAAAAATAAAAGTATTTGTCAACAAGGATGGTTCTTTTCTTTTTCTTTTTCTTTTTTCTTTTATTTTTTGTCTAATTGATAACATCTTTTTAAATAATGCGATGTCAGCAATCAAATAACGGAATTGTAAGAAAGAATAAAAGTACCGATGGTGCAGATGATAGAGGACCGACGAACGCCCGTGGGTTCTGTGTCAATTGACAACCCTGAAACCCACTCCAGGTTGTTCTTGATTGCTTCGTCGCTGAAGTAGACCATGGTTGTTGAACAAAAAGAAAAAAAAAAGAAACCTCAAATATGTGAATAAGAAACCAAAGGAGAAAGAGACCAAGTGGAGGAAAAGGAAGAACGAATGAAGAAAAGGAATGAAGCGAATGCCGAAAGAAAAGAAAAAAAAAAAAAAAAAGAATAGATAAGAAATACAAGAGATTCTTTTTTTTTTTTTTTCCCACAGAAGAGCACTGATCATTTTTTTCTTTTTTGCTTATCATGTTCAGCCCTCAGTTTCAAAGATGCTAAAAAGATCTTTGATTTCAGTATCAAGACTCGGACTAAGACTAAGGACTGAGGACTAAGGACTAAAGGAGAAAATTCCCCGCATGCGGGAAAAAAGATTTTTTATTCCCCCTCTTCCTCCACATTCCTCTCTCTCCTCCCGACAAATACATAGCGTAAACTACATTTGCTCAAGACGCGTCTAGTATGTCTCCTCTGCAAGTAGTTCCTGTACAAGACCATCCACAAACAATTGGTCTGTACACTTCATCTCTACCTCAACCGTCCTTGATCCCTCTTCTGCTCCTGCTTCTCCTTCCTCTCCCACCTTCTCTCCACCCTCCTTCCGGACCTTGATCAACCCCGCAACCTGGTACCCTTGCCAACTCCGTCCGAAAAAGCTGGCAGCTCCATCTACTACCTCAACCACATGTGTATGTGTCACATCCCTCGTGATCTTCTCTACCGCATCCCAGAACTGTGAATCTTGACCATTCGTGCTCTGTGCTAATTGTACTGTCGCTGATCCTGTTGCCGAGAATGACTCCAGTTGCTCCGTCAATACCTTTGAAAACTCTGCTCCAGTCAATCTAGGGATTGCCAACATAAAAGTCGATGGAGGCACATCAAAGCTAAATTCAATCGACTCTCCATGTCCATTGACCTCATAGAACAGTGTACCCATCACTTTGAGCTCATAGCGGATGCGGCCCAACACCACTAGTTCGAGTGACAGCTCTGCTTTGCTCTGGGGATCAACCAAAGACGAAATCATAACACTCTCTTGATCCGCATACGTTCCTCCAAGACGTACATCAAACGAATCCGCAAACACTACACGCGCTGATGTTATAGATTCTGTCAAGTTGCGGTTATGCATCTGAAAGTGAACAGAGATCATCGGGTCAGACGTAGTGTCGCTTCCTGGTGCAGTCGGTGACTCTAAACTTGTTTGCGAGAGCGCAATACCGTATGTCTACAGTTAAGGGAAAAAAAAAAAAAAAAAAAAAAATGTATGGCCATTAGAACAAATAAAAGTACTCCTTATTTATAAAATTCTGCAACGACTTGTTGCTTTGAGAACTTACTAAAGCAATGTTGTCATTCAAAACCAACTCCAAACCGGAGCGCTCTGGGAACGAAACAATTGCGGGTTCCTTTGTCGACTTCTTTGCAGTACCGCTTTTCTTGGTCTTCGTTTCGCTCGATTTGCTGCCCTCTTTTGCTTTTGTTTTCTCCTTTTCCTTCTCTTTCTTGGGCTTGTTTTTCGTCGGCGTTGATACAACCTCCGGAACCACATTAGGAATTTGAGCTTTCGTTTTGACACGTTCAGGTTCCGGTGATATGCGCTGAATGGCTGGCGTTTCCAATTCTATCAATTGCTGCTCTCCCTGTTCCTTCGATTTCTTCGTGCCCTTCTTCTTCTTCTTCATAGTCTCTTTATCTTCCGCCGCCTTGGGCTCCTTCTTGGATGATTTGGATTTCTTGGCTTCCTTCTTGTCCTTCTTGTCCTTCTTCATTTGCAAAGCCTCCATACGACGCCGCTGTGCGAGTTCATCTTCCATTCGTCGAACCTCTTCCGGCTTCATATATGGTTTTGCCCGAGGTAAATCCTCATCTTCACCCACAGGAATGGAGAGATCTACTGAATGAAGTGCAGATTGGTCATAATCCAGAATACCCTTTTGACCTCCATGAAGCCTAGTCGCAGCCTTGTCCGCGTCATCTTCACTCGCAGAAAGCATTGCATCCTCCGGCATTTCCTCCGTTGCAAACTCCACTGGCTGAGGAGGTGGAGAAGGTGATCTCTCCCTTCGCTTGGATTTCTTCTTGGATTTTTTGCCAAGAACAATCGGCTTCTCAAACCCTGCCATGCTAAGTTGAACTATAGGGATCGAATCAACATCCAAATCATCCTGAGCTTTCTGTTGACTTCTTGAAGAATCATCACTGCCACCAATATAATATGGATCATGCTTCAGCCGTTCTCTTCTTTCAGCCTTGCGCTATTGAGCGATTGATACGATTTTTTTTTTTTTTTTTTTTTTTTCCATTAATTAATAATTAAGATTCAACATCTTCACGCTCCATTATCTTGATTTTTTTTTTTTTCTCCCTCGTCTTAGAACTCTCTTTACCTTAGCTCTGGCTTCAGCACTTTCCTTGGAGTCCTCCTGATCCTGGTTCTTCTTACCCTTCTTCTTTCTGTTACCAGGAGTCGCTCCTTGGCCACTCCATCCATATCCGTACGAAGAACTGGCTTCATTCAAGAAATCATCGTCTGAGGATTCTGATACAGGTTCTGGAGCAGGTTCATGGATCCAGGCTTCCAAATCAAGTCCTTCAGGGACAGGAACCTTCCTTTGAGCTTTAGGTGCAACAGGGTTGAGCTCAAGATTAAAGAAAAGAGGATAGAGTGAGCCAAGGATAGCGGGGGGTTTGGGCATTGTCGGTGCAAAAGAAACTGAATTCTCAACCTTGAGTGGTGTTCGCGGCGCATGTTCAGAGATGATTTCCAAAATCACAGACACGTTGGAGGCCTATTCAACATTCAAGGAAAGTAAATAAATAACCATGAGATCTGCTATTATTGACTATAATAATAATTAAATAAATAAATAAATAAAAAGACGATCACTTACTCTCTCTTGAACCTCCAGATCAGGACTACGACTGAACATGTCTTTAACAGCCTTGCGAAGCGAGTCGATAGTTTCGATTAATTGTTGTCGGGCTTCCTCATTCCATGAGTATTGAAGGCTATTCATCCAGTAACCAAAGATCTTCAGTATACTCTGTAGATAGGTCGCTTGAATAGGTGGTTCAAGCTTACAAGTCGACTTTTGAGTCAAGAGCTCCAATGCTGTCTCTGGAGAATCAAGCAGAGCGCAATACTCGCCCGTCAACCATGCTGCAGCCAACAAGACCATTGAATTTGAGCTTTCAACGTTATCAGGCTCTGTTAGCCTGGTATCCGCAAGCAAGCGCATCTATATTTGAAGAAAAAAAAAAAAAAAGGTCAAATAGTGTACATTTGCTAGGAATTTTTTTTTCTCCTATGCTTGAAATTTCATCAAGTAGCCTTAAGAAAAAAGGAAAACGAAGTGTATACGAACCATTAATCGCACAGTATACGGCCGCACGCTCTTGACACGAACTCCGACATCCATGAACTGTTGCATCAACAAATTACCAACATTCACTCCAGCAACATTGGTCAAATCCGAGAGCACTGCCAGATACCATTCAAAGTTGCTCACGTTCGCATACGAGTTTTGAGAACAGATAAGCACGATCCTGCGTACGATATCAGCACGATAGGAAGGATCCATCAATGCACTCATAGCACTGCCATTGTTATTAGCATTGTTGATGGCAGAGATCTCCTGGCTGTGATCATTCGCTGGGAGCAAGTGATTAATCAGACGTTTGACAATCTCGGTCAAATTTTTCTTGTTGGCCATTCCCACAATCAAATCCAATGTCCTCATGCGGATAGAAATATCTGGGTCATCAATGCATTTCAAAATAATATCCTTGTGTTCTCCAACAAGATGAGGGTGTGTAGGGAGGATCTTGGTCAATGCCAATAGTCCGATATATTTCACTATTAATAATTAATAATTGATTGATAAAATTAGGGATAAATTAAAAAATCATCCTGAGATTGAAAATAAAAATAACTATAAAAATATAAATAAAAATAAAAATAAACGCTTACAATTTTGATCCGGATCCTCTAGGAACGTTCGTAACTTGCTGACACAGGTGGCCGCCAAGGTATTGGCGCTTTCAACATTACTTCCAGATCCGCTTGTGACTAACATACCACCTGCAATGACTGTATGAATGCACTCGTATAATAAGGACATGGCGGGTGTTGTCTGAATAAGAGTCGTAATGGGTGGTAAAAGCTTTTTTGTCAAACGAGGTTCATAGGGTGTCAATGCTGCAAACTAAGTTCCACGCGGATATTTTGAAAAATGTATTAATTAGCATTTCGATATTACATTGCAAGGAATCATCTTTATGTGAAATTCACATATCAATAAAGTAATTAAAAAAAAAAAATTAAAAAAAAAAAATAAAGATATTACGTACTAGTTTGATGATCTTGATAAGCATCCAATTGTTTGAGGATGTCGTTAGTAGCTTGAAGAGCTGTGGAGCCAGCGAAAGATAATTCTTGGGATTGCGACGCGCCAGTTCACATATTACGTTGACAGCAGCAGATACGACAGCTGAAAGATGCGCATGTATATATAACACATGTGTTAGTCAGTATTCATCTATAGAGCCAATGAGAATAATCCCATTTGAAGAACCGCACTTTGCCTTTCACTTACATGGATCAGGGTCATCCAAACGATCCTTCATACGCGAGAAACTCAAGCGCAAACCTTCTGGATATTTCAAAAAGACTTTGTAAAGTACTAGCAAGACTTTTTTACGGATGATCGGGCGAGAATGGTTGAGCATAGAGACAAGGTCCGCACAAAGGTCGCGTGCCAAGTCTGGGGTAAGGATATGTGATAATCCATTGATAGCCACTCCTACTTCGCATGGGTTAGAGGAAGCAAGATCCTACGGAATGATAAAGACATACAAAAAGAATGACGCTATAGTTTGCGGTTTGGTATTCCCGAAAAGTGCATATTGCTGCTCAGAGCTGAGGCGGAGTAATGATAAAACAAGGATTTTTTATTTTTGCGCGACTTACCTTTTTGATGAGATTGGTCGTAAGCATGAGCACATCTGTTTCCTGGGTAAATGATTGAACCGCTCCAAGATATCCTATGCTCTTGTATAGGAACTTTGGTGATGACATGACCTCAACCACATGAAAGGATGCCCAAGACATGTCGTATCCCATCATTTGAAGCTGTGAATAAAGAATAGTCGTTTAAACAAAAACATGTTATTTGCTGATGAACAAGTGCGCAAAGAGATAGATGATAATGAAATGATGCAGCTTTTTTTTTTTTTTTTTTTTTTTTTTTTTCTTCCTAGTGCCCAAGTCTTTACATAGGTAAGTTTGGCAATGGCTTGCGCCTTGAGGTCTGGGTCATTGCGTCGTAACTCGAGTCGAATGTCAGCAATCTCCTTTGCAATATAAGCCTGTTCGTTTTTCTTGTTCTGGCGAATTCCTCGAATGAGGTCTGTCAGCGTATGAGCGAACAATCCGTTGATGTTCATGGCGAGAATTTTGGTGTGACGTATCCGACTAGAGCGCCTGCATAAAAAAGTCCCAATGATCCTGCTAGAGTACTTGAACTGGGAATTGAGGGTTTGCCTTGATGGAGGAAACAGAGCCTCGTAATTCAGTTTCATGCAGCGCAAAAAGGTGAGCACGTGCCAGTAGTCTATGATAATGCAGGTGCAATTGAAAATAAAAAATGAAAATGAATCTCAGACAAACCATGTCAAAGCCCTGTTTATTGAGGATATTGAACCCTTTTTGGGAGTAGGAATTCCAGCATACAGGGGTGCAAGCTTTCGAGACTGAACTCCGGCACCCACGATCAACCCCGATATTCCGGTGCCTTGTGCTTGTGGTACGAACCCTATCTACGCCTCATGACTTCAGCTTCAAGCCCTTTCAGAGGCAGCTCGACAAAGGTTTCCACACTTTGCGCCTCTTCCCTAGAGCCTTCTTCCTTTTCCTGGATCTAGACAATGGTCCATACATGTCGATAGCTTTCTAGCACAATCTCGATCAAAACTTGCATTGTATAGAACACCGGGAGGGAAAAGGGATCAACACTCCTCAACACGTATAAAAAGGACCACGAAAAGTCTTCGATTTCCTCATCAACAAATCCTACAATCCACTTGAACTTGCACCAACAAGCAAAAAAAAAAAAACAATAACAACAATCCTTTACCAATCAATCCTCTATAACAATCATCTCATCATGCCTTCCATTCAAGTTTTGACCCTTGCCTTGCTCGGACTCGCTGCTTCTGCCCATGCTCTCTGCAAGCCTGCTGTCGGTATCCGCGCGATGACCAACAACAACTGCCACCCGGTCTTCTGTACTCCTCAAGGAAACTGCAGCTACCAGCCCTGCCACTTTATTACAATCTACCACAACGACGGATCGTCGACTGGAGGATTCGAGATTGGAGGCCCTGTCCAGTTCAGTGAAGGCAAGAGGGACCAGATCTATGAGTGGGGTTTCTTTGGAAGCAAGGATGCAAAGGGCATGAGTGTCTACGCTAACGGCTGCGGTGGCAGTGGAGGCAACGGTGGTTTGGGAGGAATGGGCTGTGATGGCAATGCTGTCAAGAGAACCAACCGTTCATTGCCTGGAGTCAGCAGAGTGTACTATGACTGTGGAAAGGTCCCAGCTGTCCCCAAGTAGAGCATTAGCATTAATTATTTTATTTTTTTACATTAATACCAATATTGGAAATAGAAAGTTTTATTAAATACCACAACTCCCTTTGTCTAAAAGAAGGCTTATTAACATTGAGATCCGGATATCTACGTCTGCTTTAAATGTATTACCTATTTAATCTACCTTTTTCATTATTTCCAATCATTATCATGGTCACCCGATCATCCTTTTTTTTAAAAAAAAAAAGCGTGGAAACACGGGGAGGCGAAGATAATTCTGCCACAGACACGCATTCCTATTGGCTCGAGCTTAAACTAGTTGCTTGGTAGGTTGATGTTAGTTGAGAACGAGTTGGCTAAATGATAAAACACCCGTTACTATTTGAACCCTTGTTTAAAGCAATGTACTATACAATATTCATATAGCCCATCGTCTTTGGATTGCACATATTTCGTTATAACACTTTTTTTTTTTTTTTTTTTTTTTTCCCACGTAGGATGCACAACAGATTGTGGAGGCAAAAAGAAAAGATGAGGATCTGTGCATGGCTTGTACGATGTTCATGTAAACTGTACACATGCACAGGCAAGCAGCATGAGAAAAAGCAGGAATGACGAATGAGGGTAAAAAAAACAAAGTAAGCCCTGTAACAAGATTGAACACAAGAAGAAAGTCCAACTGAACATGTAACATGTACATGTACATGCTAGTCTCATAAAGAAAAGCCCAAGGAATACGTGTAACACACAATACAAATTTATGGCAAAAAGCAACTTTTGGGTAATGTCTGTGCCGACATACACAGCGCGGGGGGGAGCATTCACCCGTTTTTTTTTTTTATTGATTAGAAACCCCACTTTTTTCTTTTCTCTTTCTTCTCTTTCCTCTTTCTCTTTCTAGTCTGTTCTTCTTCTTCCTTTCTTCTTTATCCATCAGTCTTCATCCAAACTCCTTTTCTTTACCCTAGTTTTTACATTACAGTCAAAGCAACATGACCAACGCCAACAAGATCAACGGTTCGTAACAACATAACTAACCTCGTCAATCAACTATTCTTTTATATTCTTTGTCTTGTTCCTATATTGATATAACGCTTATTCTGACCCGGTTTCTACTTGTATCATTATGTTATTATTATCGCGAATGATCCTACAATAGGAGGAACCGTCGTCGAGATGCAGGTATATTAAGCCGACCCTTATTTTTTAATTCTTTCTTTCCTGATATCTTTGCGCTTTCTTTAAATCTATTCCAGTCAAAGTCAAAGTCAAAGTCGAAGGAAAAGAAGAAAAAAAAAAAAAGAATTCTGTTACTCATTACACTTTGTTCATGACTCTCATTCTGCATTGCAATGATTCCATTGTCTTTTAGGGTGATGAGATGACTCGCATCATCTGGGACGGCATTCGTGACAAGGTATGTTTATCCCGAAAAAGAAAAAGAAAAAAATCGCGACTTAATTGCCTAATTGTTTCGTGCAAGTGTCTTTTAAAATGATTCTAATACACATTTATATGATTGCTTGGATAGTTGATTCTCCCATATGTTGACCTTGACATCAAGTTCTTTGATCTTGGCATGGAGTACCGTGATCAGACTGACGATCAAGGTGAGTCTCTTTCTCTCTCCCTCTCTCTTTTTCTCTCTCTCAATTCTTGACTATTTCACTTTATTGATTTTACTGATCCGAGGAAGTGTATTTATAAAACTTGAGATGGTCGTATTCTTCAATTTTTTTTATTTGCTGGAACCGACGTTCGCTTTGATCAACAAACAAAAAAAAAAAAAAAAAAAAAAAAAAAGAGGACAGACAACAACAGCAACAATGGTTTAATATGATACTATGAAGAGAGCAGTAGCCAAAGAAAGGAAAAAAAAAAATGATCTGACAATGTGCGATGGGTCAGTCGGCTCCTAAAGTGATAATTATTTTCAAATGTCTAAATATAAAACATGAATTATATACGAATACTTTTAATGATGGGAAGAGCGGGGGATGTGGGGGCTGATGAGACTCTGAAGGAAATGGCACCATCAGATAACGATCGATATGGGACATGTTCGACTTTATTATTATATCTGACACAACATCTATAACATTCAAATAACGATGATTTCGTGGGGGAGAAGAGTAGAATGAAAGTGAACCCCGACAGAAGTGTCGTGATTTGTGACTTGCAATTTTATTTAATCGTGGGGAATAATTTACTTTTTTTCTCACATTATAATTGCACACAAACCAATCCATTTGATTATGACGTACTAACCTAATTGCTCTTATTTTTACTTTTTAAAAGTCACCATTGATGCCGCTGAGGCTATCAAAAAGTACAAGGTCGGCATCAAGTGCGCCACTATCACCCCAGATGAGGCCCGTGTTGAGGAGTTCAAGCTCAAGAAGATGTGGAAATCACCCAACGTAAGCATTTATACACACCTTTTTTTTTTTTTTTTTTTTTTTTTTTTTTTAAATTCAATATTTGACAGAGACTAGTCAGGAAGAAAAACACGAGGAATCATTTCCTAATCAACAATTGTTATTATTGTTTTCTTTTCTTTTTCTGCTGGTTAATCTCCAGGGTACCATCCGCAATATCTTGGGAGGCACTGTTTTCCGTGAGCCCATTCTTTGCAAGAACATCCCTCGCTTGGTCCCTGGCTGGACAAAGCCCATCATCTTGGGACGTCATGCCTTCGGTGATCAGTACAAGGCCACAGACATCGTTGTCGATGGCCCCGGTCGCTTGGAGTTGGTCTTCACCCCCGCAGATGGCTCGGAGAAGAAGAACTTGGTCGTCTATGACTTTGAGGGACCCGGTGTTGCCATGGGAATGTACAACCATGATGAGGTAAAGTATCTCTTCCATCCAAATTCTTTCACCTCTTCGAATTGATCCGTTAAAGAAAGATAATTTAATGACCCTTGGGACATTCCCTCTTTTTATTACCATTATCATTCCCCTAATTAGTCCATCATCGGATTCGCTCACTCATGCTTCAAGGTCGCTATTGAAAAGTCATACCCCTTGTACATGTCGACCAAGAACACAATCTTGAAGAAGTACGATGGTCGCTTCAAGGATATCTTCCAAGAGATCTACGAGCGTGATTACAAGGAGCAGTTCGAGGCCAAGAAGATTTGGTATGAGCATCGTTTGATCGATGATATGGTCGCTCAGATGTTAAAGTCCTCTGGAGGCTTCGTCTGGGCCTGCAAAAACTATGATGGTGATGTCCAATCTGATATCGTTGCTCAGGGCTATGGTTCCCTTGGTCTGATGACCTCAGTCCTCTTGACCCCCGATGGTCAGTGCTGTGAGGCCGAGGCCGCTCACGGAACTGTTACCCGTCATTACCGTGAGCACCAAAAGGGTCGGGAGACCTCCACAAACCCCATTGCCTCCATCTTTGCCTGGACCCGTGGTCTGGAGTTCCGTGCCAAGATCGATAACAACGAGGCCTTGAAGGAGTTTGCTCATCAGTTGGAGGCTGTCTGCATCGAGACCATCGAGGCTGGTGACATGACCAAGGACTTGGCCCTGATCATCCATGGCAAGGACATGAAGCGTGAGCACTACTTGAATACTTTTGAATTCTTGGATCGTTTGGCTGAAAACTTGCAAAAGAAGCGTAGCGCTTAAAAGAAAAAAAAGGAAAAAAAAAAAAGAAAAAAAAAAGTAAGAAAGGAAAAAAAAAAAAAAAAGATCTGTCTCTTTACATTCTTTGACAGTTTTTTTTGCTTTTTTCTTTAATTCTTTTTTATTTTTTATTCTTTTTTTTTTTTTTTTTTATTATCCCCTTTCCTCATTCATTCCCTCATTTGTATTATCTTCAATAATAATAAAAAGCCAAAAAAAAAAAAAAAAAAAAAAAAAAAAGTGAAGTGAACCTAAAAGTACATCGTTTTTTTATAAATAGCATAAAAAAGCAAAGAAGACGTGTCTAATCTAATGTAAAAAAAAAACTGTTACAATCTTGATGAATTAGTCAAAAAGATAAATAAATAAATAAAAAAAAAAAAAAAGGTGAGGGATGGAGTAAAGAAGTATGGATATTAATTAATATGCTAGTCGGATTCAGTGAAGAGACCTATGAGGGAGGGGCCAGTGGTTTAGGAACAAATCCAGTATGAGCCTTGAATCCCAGTGGTGGTCCAGCCTCACAGAGTTTGTTCACATGTTTTGGAATGCCCATGGCACGCAGTTCATCCGGTAGCTCAACAAACTGCATCACCAACCCTGTGGTGACATGCCACTCAATGTGACAGTGTAAAGACCATACGCCGGGGTTGTCGGCCCTGAACCGGATGACGGTGAATCCATTTTTGGGTACAGTAGCTGTGTCTCTCCTGAGTGGATTGATGGCATTGATGGGTGTCTTCCCTTCCTCATAAAATCCCACTCCTTGAGCGATCACCTGGAATGTATGTCCATGAAGATGAAACGGATGCTCACCACCAAGCGAATTATCCAAGATGATTTGCACAACTGCTCCTCTTCGTTCAATCTTCATCACATGTTGATTGACCTCATAGACTACGCCCGGATCCAGATTCTGGTTAATGGTTGGATTCCATGCATTTCCTGAATAGGTAATATCGTTCATATAACCCCGAACAATATTATCTGTTGCATTCTTTTTGAATGAGATTCGGACCAAAAAACTGTTTGTGATGGGCTCCAGAATCGGCTCAGGCTTCAGAGGATGAAGATTATTCAAATCCAAATCTTGACAAGCCTCCGAAAATGCCGGATTGACAACGGGTTCCTGTCCTTCTCCAAGATTAGGTGGTGGGTTGAATCGACCAACAGAAGTGGGTTCCGCAGTGCCAGCTCCTTGATATCGAATTTCGCCCAAGATGATTGGATCAAGATTGGTGGAAGTCTTGGGTAAACAATCTATGCCCATCTCTGCACGCATCCAATAGTTTTGGACATCTTGGTTGGCAGTAACAATGACTGAGTAGCGCTGACCTGTGTTGATCGGTAAACTGTCTACTGTAATTGGATTTAAATCCGTACCATCTGCCTCAATAACCTGGAGTGTGTGGTTGTCAATTGAGAATAAGTATGGTGCAGCAGCGCTATAAAGAGAAAAGAAAAGAAAAGAAAGAAAGAAAGAAAAAGATTAGCCAATGATGAGAGCTGCGGAAGATGAACAAAAGTGGGCAATAAACACTTTTCTTTTTTTTTTAAAAAAAAAAAAAAAAAAAAAAAAAAAAAAAAGCAAAAGGACATACCCTGCATTAATGATGCGGAGTCGGTATCGTCTATTGGGTACAAAGTGAATGACTGTGCGCTCTCCCTTGGTACAAGGAAGATCAGAAGGCTGAATATTGGCACAATTGAAGGTATGTTTCCCATTGATGAGGCCATTATTTGGCACGGGTTCCTGACCATGACTCTCTGGCGAAAGATACTGTGTCAGCAATGCACCCGTAGGTTGGTGATACCAGTCTGAAAGAATGACTGTTCGTTCTTCATCGTATGCATTCAAGAACGGGTTTGTCTCGGGTGGGTCTCGGATAATGAGGGCACCAATCAGTCCGTCAATATATTGGTTTTCAAAATGGGCGTGCCACCAATGTCTATTATTGGACGTTGTAGCATACGCCCATTCAAACAAAAGTGGGAATAAAAAATAAAAATTTTTTAGTTCCGTGTGAGAAAGAGCAGTAAGCAAATGAAAAGAGAGATGCTTTTGTTTTGCTTTTGACAGATTTGTCAATCCCGTTCAAAGGTACATTAAAGGAAAAAGAAGAGAAAAAGATATATAGCAAAGACAAAGAGTTATAGAGATTCTTTTATCCTCTCATCTAATCTCTCAAACTGTATAAAGCAAAAGAGAGGAGAGAGAAAGATGAAGATTGAGATCTGTCCATTTGTTCAATAAGAAAATTAAAGAAAATAAAATAAAAATAAAAAAAATAAAAAAAAAATAAAAAAAAAAAAAGTGATATGGACATACGTTCCAACAACATTGTCTGTGCCAAAAGCATAAGTGAAATTGGTACCAGGGGGGATGGGACACTGGTTCATACCGGGCACACCGTCGTACCAAGGGTCACCGCGCATGGTCAGACCATGCCAATGGAATGAAGTCGGGACATCCATCGCATTCTCAACTACCACAGTCACATAGTCGCCTCGGTTGACCTCGATTTTAGGCCCTGGGAACTTGTCGTTAACGAGGATGACGGGACGAGTGACACCGTCCGGAGCAAATGTGGTAGTAGTGACCTTCCAGAAAAAGATACGGTTGCGGGGTGTTGAGGTGAAAGCAGGAGGTGCTGCATGGACTAGAGTCATCAAGTTGACAAGGAAGAGTAGCAACCATGCACAGGACATTCTTTTCCTTGTGCGCCTGGTATCATTATTATTCCTAGGCTTCATTATGATGCAAGTGGAGATGCTATATAAATATGGTATGTGGGTATTTGTCTATGTGTGTGTGTGTGATGAAAGGAAGGGAGGAAAGGAAAGGGTCAATAACGATTCGATTCAATCTGAATCCATTGATAATCAGTCCAGAGAAGCGATGAAGTGGGGTTGTTGGGCTGGTTTGGAAAGGAATGGCTGATTCATTTTAGTGTGGCAGGAACCAAAAAAAGAGCATTTGTGGCTTATAAACTCCGCCCCCCTCGCTGAGTCACGTGGATATAGGTAGAAGCAACAATGCTACGACAATTAGGAATAAGACTAAGGGTTAGTTACATTATAAATAGACTAAAAAGTATACAGAGAATACGTCGTACTTCGGCATATTACTCCTATTAGTTGGTAATCTATTAAAGATGGAATCAAGGAGTATGGAGTGCCATCGTTATGGACTCTTCAGATGTGCACGTGAGTTATAGTACCAAAAGGAAGTTGCCGCCAATTCTGAAACCAAATCTGTCTTGCTGTCTTGGACAAACAAAGTTGAATCTCGGGAAAGAAGGGGATGTGCGGTCCGTGCAAGCCTACTTCATTGACAATGAACAAAGTTTTTACTGGTGCCGTCTTGTCCAGAAACGCGTGTTTATAATATTTACTGGCTTTTGAAAAATATCCACATGGAAGTCATGGAAGGAAGCTTGATGCATAAACAAACGACATAGGCAAAACGCCCAAGTCAGTTAGGGTCTCTCATGTGTGCAAGTCAAAATGGATTGGTCGCATTCTGCTGTTTGTAGCACATGAATAGATAGACATTTTTAAAACATGGCTGTTAAACTACACAATAAATATAAAAAAAATAGCTAGCTAATATACTTGTTCATGTACTTTGTAATAACGATTTCAGCCTGTAGAGCTTACTGCAGTATATGAGTAGTCAGATAGGTTTTTATCATGCACAATGTATTGAAAAAAGCCAAAAGACGATTAGATTATGCTTTGCTTTAGATCGGCTAAACAGCTGTGCAAAAGCATCCCGTTCGCTTCTCTATCTCTGATACACCGTTTTTTTTTTTTTTTTTTTTTTTTTTTTGCATTCAGTTTTATTTTGTTTGGTTACTTTGTCTGCATGGCATGGGTAGACCCAAAGGGCTTTTGGCCACATGTAAACAAACAACTAATAGCAACACATAGCCTGCGAGATGATTACAAAGGCTAGAATCTCTATGATTGCTTTCTTTCATCTGCATTTTTTTTTTCTCTCTTTTTATTCCACTTATTGATATGAACAGCTTTTGTTTATCGTTCTAGTCTCGGCTTTTATTTTTTGATTGTTTAAACCTTGGCCTCTGTCTCTTGTTCTTAACGCACTCCAATAAACAAAGAGTTTGTAACAGCAGCATAATATATGCGTATCCAAGTGATATACACGTCTTTTTTTTATTTATTTTTGTAAACATCGCATAGGACAACAATATAAAGAATGGATCCATCCAACATCACTCTTTCATTTCTCACTTTTTCCTTCCTTCCTTCTTTTGTTTGATGCTATAACTCTTCTTGCTCGTCGAACATTCATTTAGTACCAATATCACTATTACTTGGTCCCATATCCTTTATCCATTACCGCCTTTTCCCCCTTTTTTTTGTGTCATAAACAAAACAATAAAGCAAATTAAAATAAAAGCAAATGAATACATCAGATCCTGCTACCCCTATGCCTGCCCCAGCCGCTATCGGCTCAGAGTTCAATGCCGGTGATATCGCATGGACATTGACTTCAACAGCTCTAGTCTGGCTCATGATCCCTGGCATTGGTTACTTCTACTCGGGCATGGCTCGATCCAAGAATGCACTCTCGTTGATCATGCTGTCTTGCTGCTCTGTCGCAGTAGTTTCATTTCAGGTTTGTTCATTAAATCGAAAAAAATAAAGAAATAAAAAATAAAAAAGACTCCTTATTCCTAAAAGCATTTTTTTTTTTTTTTCTCCGTAATCATCTATTTCATCGTTTAGTGGTTCTTATTTGGCTATTCACTTGCATTCAGTAAATCTGGCTCCAAGTTCATTGGGAATTTCGAGAATGCATTTTTCCGTGGTGTACTCGGTGCGCCTTCAGTCGGTAGTGCCAAGATCCCAGACCTGGTCTTCATGATCTTCCAATCCATGTTCGCAGCTCTTACACCAGCCCTGGCCATTGGAGCTGCTGCAGAACGCGGACGAATTGTTCCGACCCTTGTCTTCATCTTTCTTTGGACTACATTTGTCTATGATTTTATCGCATGCTGGACCTGGTCAAGTAACGGATGGTCATTTGTGATGGGAGGCCTTGATTTCGCAGGTGGCACTCCCGTTCACATATCTTCCGGTGCAGCCGCATTGGCCTATGCGTTCGTCTTGGGCAGGCGTATAGGAGATCGGAAAGATTTTAGGCCCCATAGTATGAGCAATGTGGTCATTGGAACGTGCTTCATTTGGTTTGGTTGGTTCGGTTTCAACGGCGGCTCCGCATTGTCTGCTAATTTGAGGGCTGCTATGGCCTGTGTCGTGACCAACCTGTCTGCCTCTACTGCGGGTTTGACTTGGGTCCTTATGGACTATCATCATGATCGCAAGCTATCCGTCTTGGGATTCTGCTCTGGTGCTGTTGCGGGCTTAGTTTCGATCACACCCGCCTCAGGATACGTCTCTCCAGGCTCAAGTGTCGCTATTGGGTTCCTGGGCGCTGTGGCCTGCAACCTGGCAGTCCGTTTGAAGCATTACCTCAAGTACGACGATGCGTTCGATGTTTTTGCGGTCCATGGAGTTGGTGGTATTGTTGGGAATATTTTGACTGGAGTCTTTGCACAGGCCTCGATCGCAGCATTAGATGGCGTGACTGTGATCAATGGTGGATGGTTGGATCAGAATTGGATCCAAGTTGCCTACCAGCTCGTGGACTCTGCTGCAGGCTTGGGTTGGTCCTTTTGTGTGACCTATTTGATCTTAATTATCATGAACAAGGTCCCTGGCCTGAACCTGAGAGCGCACTCTGATCATGAACACAGAGGTCTGGACTTGGCCGAGCTAGGTGAAGCATGTTATGATCATTTGAACGAAAAGGCAGTCAACCCCAATGTTGAAGTGGGCAATGCTCAGGGCGGTGTCCTTACTTCTGAGGGCCTTGGACAGGAGATTAAAGCCGAAAGTTCTCATCCTTAGGGAGGAGAAAAGGGAGCCCTCTCAAAATGCGAATCAAGCAAGCAGCATACTTATTAAGATGACAAACATGGCCATATCCATGGTCGAAAGGATAATCACTTTGCATTATTTTCTATTTCCTACTCTGTTATAGTAAATGAGCTCTGTATCTCCAACCAATCTTAATCTTCATCAGTGCAAAGTAGTAAAATTTCTACCATCGATTTTATAATAAAAGGGTACGACATAATATCCAGGCCAATACTGTTTATTGTTTCTGTGTCTTCATCTTTTCCTTCTCAATAATCCAACGGACAGCATCCTCGACATGGTCAACAACTACTGTAGCAGGATGGATATGATGGTTTTCATTGTTCTTGGGTTTAAATATCCCGGTCTTGACCAATACCGAGTTCCAACCATATGCATTTGCTCCTGCAATATCTGAAGACGGATTGTCACCCACAACTGTCAAATAGAGATAGTTTGAAGGTTTGAATAGTAATATAAATAACAGTTTAGATATCATTAATAATATTTAAAAAAAAAAAAACACACGCACATAAACAAAGCATGGACTATAGCGATGTACCAACCATAGACAGTCCTTTTGGTATTGTCCCCATCAGCCAAGGGCGAAATCTTGTCCAAAACCGACTCTGCATACTCGTAGGTGCTCTTCATTGGCTTTCCAAAAGTTGTATATTCGAGTTCCTGACCTGTCAAATGCTTATTCCATCCAAGCATTCAATTTTGCAAAAAAAAAAAAAAAAAAAAAAAAATAAAGATTTTTAAATTCTATTCTGGAATGTGAAAAAAGAGAAAGGGCCGTTGTTACGACCACAGACAATTTGCGTGAGCTGTAAAGTTCATTCATACTTTGTAGATTTTCTCAAGACAAAGCTTGAAAGTCCCTTGGCCGAAACGGGGGACTGGAAAATCGGTACTCCAGACCTTTAAAAAGAAAAAACATCTCAATTGAGCCAGGTGAATGACACAGAAACATTTTTACAAATATGTATAGATAATAATGTGCCATCATCTAGCAAGATTCAATGTAATGAATTATCATCAAACAAACTCAGGAAGTTGCATCATTTGACAACATACCACATCTGGATTCGAAAAGTAGATTGGAGTACTTTGCTTCGATGAGTGTAACTCATCTGGATCTTTTATAGTTCCTAATTTTCCGCCTTTGGACAGTGTTCATAAAGAATGTAGGGAATGGAGGAGAAGGAGGGAAGGTGTTGATGAGAGTCAAGTTTTTTTTTTTTTTTTTTTTTTTTTTTTTTAAAGGATAGTAGCTACGCTATTGATGAAATAACGCATACAAATGTACACTTTTTTACCTTTGGAAACAAGCACATCCAAACAAATCTGAAGATCTCGACCCCAATTCAAAGAATCGTGGAACACCATGACTACATCGATTGGTTTTTCAAGTTTTCGTATGTACTCCTAAGCATTTTTTTAAGGCTTAATCTCTTCTATCGAACTAGGATTTGCAAATGAAAAAAAAAAAAAAAAAAAAAAAAGCTTTGGTATCCTTGAGGTAAACTTACTTCTTCAAGTGAGGTAGGCCGTGTATGATGGGTTGAAAGAGGGAAGACTGAGGGATGAGCGTTGTGGATTTCCTCTGGTGTCACAACATTCTTAAATCCATAGTCCTCTGCAACGTGTTTACATGATAAACCCTTGCCACCGACGACCAAGACATTGGCGTCCTTGTACTTTGGGACAAGCGCACGCATGGGTGAATGAGAAACTATTAATTGTTCATAATTGACCTAATAAAAATATTTGTAAAAAAAAATGTTGTGTTTTGATACCTATGCGGTAATCTTATTGAAGTGACACCATTGAAAGAAAAAAAAAAGACTTGATCTTACAGGGACACCTAACTTCTTGGAAAGCTCCTCTGCCTTTTGAACCTCTCGCACGCCACCTCCATTCGTGAGGAAGATATAGGACACCTTATTCCTAACAATTTTTTTTTTTTTTTTTTAAAAAAAAAGGCATTATTACGACTGGATTAGATACATCCTTCCTCTGTGTATGATCTATTTCAGTTTTTATAGGTGCATACTTCCAAAGTAACTCTAGTGCGTGTCGCGTCTGTGGGAGAACTTGTTTTCCCTAGATGGAATCCGAATGCATAGATCAATTTATCGTTTATTTGGTTTGAGCACTTCCTCTATTCCTACAGGGAGAGCACACACACCTTGACCAGCACACCATCAATGTCAAAGACAATACTATATGGGGCCGAAATAGCGCCAGATTTATTGATATGGGTATGCAGTCTCTGAAGATGGGTCAAGCGCTGAAAGCACAAGGAAGCGTGAAGAGAAGGTTGAGGGAGCCTGAACTTGGACAGGTAGCAGATCATTGTCAGAATTATTAAAAAAAGGTAATGAAATGAAATGGCAATTCTTTTGTTCATCCTCATTTCATTTCTCTTTGTATTGCCATATTGCAATTGGCCATGTTACCCTTAAGGAGGACCATGATTTCATTGGGAGAAGCTTACTGGGATACAAAGACCTTTACGTCCATTATCCGAGCTGGCAAGCCTCTGCTGTCCTTCTACACCCATCCTCATGTCCTATCATATCGAAAAAGGAAGCCGAGGATAAGCCTAGGGCATCATACGCTTTCTATTAATTTAGTTTAGTTCTTGAGTATCAATAAAAACTGATTACGCGCAGGAGAGGGTTACCAGCAGGGAAAGGAAATCATTCCGCTTTATTCTTCTCAATAGCATTCTGCTTAATGATCTAATTATCCCCGACGACTGCATAGGATAATATGCTCAAAGCTACACTCGCTGCACATGCTGTATTTGAACTGGTAGTCTTTGATTGATCTACTTGGTACTGTCACTGTTGTCGATGGTTCTCCCCCTTTCAAAGCCTCTGTCTCGAGGGATGTTTCTGCAGATGGGCCTTGGTTATGGCAAAGTTGATTAGAGTTTGCTTTGGGTTTGGACGCCATTGATGATGCCGCCACAGTCTGTTTGAACGCCTCATGTACAGCCTTAAGAGAGGATTGCTCACCCATAGCTCCATGTTGCATTAGGAGCTTTCTGTTGACTTCACTCAACCCGTCCACATCTTGAATACATGTGTTGCTCGCATTAAGAACCATTTGTCTGGTGCTCCACTTTAGGCGGTATTGGTACCGTTCATTCTCCAGTATAATTTGCCACATCCGAATGGAACCATCCTCACACCCTGTAACCAGCCAGTAACCTTCTTCAGAAACACTCCATACAAGTGATATAACATATGCACCCACGAATGGAATCACAAGCAAGCACTGGCCCAGCTCTGAATCCCACATTCGCACTGTCATGTCACTACTGCATGAAGCAATGTACCTTCCATCAAGCGAATAAGCCAGATCATAGATACATCCAGTGTGTCCTTCAAGTGTATGCAATGCTGCTCCTGATTCGGTCTCCACCACACTAATCGGTCCCTTTGAGCTCCCAACAGCCATCTGTTGACCACATGGTGGAAATGTCGGGATCGTTGGAAACCCCATAAGCATTATATCATACCAGGGTTCACCCGTGTCTGCATCCCGTACTCGCAAAATGTCAGCATTAGAGCCGTAATAATACATTATCTTTCGGCTGTCAGGCATATATAGGAGGAAAGGGCTATAATGCTCCTCATCCGTCACTTCAAACTGGAGGTCCCCTGATTGAGATGCCCATACTCTGATATTACCGCCATCATCATACGAAGCAATCTGGTGGCCACTGGGCGAGAATACTAAATAATCCACACATGTATCACTGCCCTTTAGGGTACGGATGTGCTCTCCTGTTTGCGTGTTCCATACAGTCACGTCTCCATTGCGCTGGCCACAGGCAATTTGGTGACCAAGGGGTGAGAACCCCAAGGCATTAGCTTGTTCACCTTGTAACCCCAAGGTCTGAGCGACTTGACCTGTTCGAGTATCCCAAAGACAGACTTGTGAAGAATCAACAGTGCAAAAAGTAAGCAGTCGACCATCAGGTGAATACTTGAGTTCGCGTGCGTATTCATCTCTTTGTAACACATGGATGAGTCGTCCAGTCCGTGCCTCCCACATACGCACTGCTCCATCGTTGCTACTTGAGGCTATCTGCTGCCTATCTGGCGAGCTTCTAACGCTGGTAGCCCATTTCGGATGGCTTTGTGGGCCATGATTAGTTTGTTGTGGTCGAGTATCCCAAAGGCGTATTGTCCCATCGTCACTAAAGGACGCAATCTGATGGTTGATTGGTGAATACGCCACGCAGTTTATAATACCAGAGTGGCCATAGAAGGTATTCATGAGCTGTCCCGACCTCGTGTCCCAAAGCTGTACTGTGTTGTCTTGACCGCAAGTGGCTATTCGTTCTCCATTCGGTGAATACTTCAAGTCTGTGAGTTCAGCAGAATGCCCTTCAAGAGTATGGATGACTTTCCCTGTTTGCATATCCCATTGATATGCCGTCATATAGGCGAACGAAGCAGCAAATTTTCCGTTAGGTGAATATTGAACGCCTTTGACATAACTGGTATGTTCCAAGGTAAACTTCTTTTGATCAGATCCTATACTCCATACATCCAGGCAACGGTCATATGTCCAATGAGATTTGAATTCCTGGCCATTTGGCGAATACACAATTTGCTCAATTCCATACCCATGGTTCTCTAGTATCAGAACCTGGTGCCCTGATATCGCATCCCAGAGCCTTAGTGTTTTGTCAAGGCCTCCAGTCGCAATTTGGAGCCCATTAGGTGAATATGCTACACTTAATACGCTACTAGTATGGCCCTCTAATATGTATTTGAGAACACCTGATTGAGCGTCCCACACTCGCACTGACGTATCACCGCTTGCTGAGGCAAGGTAATTTCCATTTGGGGAGTATACTGCACAGTATACTACATCCGTGTGACCCACTAACCTGTGAACCAATGCTCCCGATGTTATATCCAAAACCAGAATGTCCCCTTTATAATGACCCCAGGTAGCGATATGTTGACTGTTTGGCGAGTACAAGAGGTTATAGACCCCATCATCCTTCAGAGTCCAAAGTTTCTCCCATGTTGATGTGTCATATATAATGATTGAATAATCATCTGCTCCATTTCCGACAACTGCAGCGAGCGCCTTGCCATCAGGGGAATATGATCCTGCCTGCACCTTCTCTTTAGCTACAAGAAGCGGCCATTCTCCAAACTGTATACCTGCCATCTTTGCTCCACTAAGGTCTGCTTCACGAAGCCAACAGTTCCGTAGATTAACTTTTCTTAGGTCTGCTCCTTGCAGCTGAGCATACTCGAAGATTCCAGGGCTGAGGTCTGCTCCTGGGATCCGGATACCCCGCAAGTCTGCCTCGATGAATGATTCGCCTGCTCGAACCAAAATTGTCATCGCATTGGCTGCTGCTACTCGCCATTTGTTATCACTCTTTGAGAGTTCCACATATGTATACAGCTGCTGTTTGAACACCGGTTCAAGGCGGACACGGTCCTCTAGGAACTGAATGATAGATGGCTCATCCACAAAGCTTCTCCATACTAAAGGTGACGCCTCATCAATCTTGACTACATCGACTCCCTGCTCGTCTTCATTGATGCCCATGTCTTCGAAACTGAACACCGAGCTAATGCTCTGCCGACGGGAAGCTGAAGCCGCCACCTTTGCCTCTTCCTTCTTTGCGGAAGCACTCATCGCTTTCTTTGGTTCAAATATTGCTCGTACCAGGCTATATTCCAGAATTGACCGATGGATAAACCGATGCTGATTGCCTGTACGAGTGAGTGGGGAAGCTTCGCGCAATAGGTTCCTTCCATTCTCTTTACTAAAGTATTCCTCTTTCCATGTACCCCTGTCCTTGGATGGCGAGTAGTCCACTACTGGGTTGCCATCTTGATGTCTGTAGATTGCTAAGGCTAAATCAGTTAGGTACTTGATCCCATTCTGTGCAAACCCTTCATCTAATAGTTTGTGAAACATTCTTCTGTCTTCCAGCCCCAATGCTTCGCTTAATCGCTTCTTGCCACGTTCGAGCCACTGCTCAACGAACTGATCATACAGTGTAACGCGCTTGACCTTGGTGTTAGAAATATATTGATCTGGATCTACCATCCGTGGTAGTACTTCTAGCGACATTGATAGTATAAATGGGTTCTTTACAAGATCTTGTAGACTAGGGACCATTTGGAGTGCACGCTGGTAGTCCTTCACTTGCCACAGTGGATCCATGGCATCAACATATTGTTCGATATAGTCATCAATCTGGACCTCAGAGAAAGGTACAATCACAGCTTCTTGAAACAATCCAGTATCTGATTGGTGATTGCGATCCATAGGTTGGAAGCGGTCTCTATAGTCCAAGCCAAGGTACTCAGTGCGACAACTAATCACCATCTGAACCCTCCACTCTCCAGGTTGGTTCAATTGGTTGGCGACATACAGGTTGTTGGTCTGCATGCTCTCATCATATCCATCACAAATCAAGATAAATGACCGATTCATCTTCAGCTCCTTGATCTGCGGCTCTGTAAAGCCATGGTGTCGCAATTGTTTTGCAACCAGGCCCTTCTCTGGCTTGTCGATGGCTGGGAGATTGATAAACAGCGGGATCCGACTATGTCTATTTTTGTATGTCTCCCAGAGCGTGGTTTCTAAAGCGCGGTTGAATGTTGACTTGCCTGACCCTGAATCTCCTTGAACAAGTAACACTTTTCGGTCGCTGTCCAGGAACTCTTTTACCTTATCCATCAGCAAGAACAGCTTGTCGTTGCTTGCTTGAGGGCTTGCTTTAGCATATTGTTGAATGTAGAATCTTTGGCTGTTTCCAATATCCACCCGCTGCCTCTTTAGTTGCCGTAGACTGTTCTCAACGCCGGACCTATTTTGTGCACGATCGAGCAAATGTGAAGGTGTGGATGGAGGATGTATGATGAAAGGATAGTGGGTCGTTGGACCTTGAAGACAATTCTTATATAACTCCTGTCTCTTAAGGTCTCCATGCTTTTCTAGATCATCCAAGAGAGTATATGCAGCTGAAAAGAGAGGGGATAAGGACGTGTATATGGAGAAAACAGATTAATCATTGTATGTTGAATGCAACCACTGACATCAATTATCTACAGAAGAGAGAGGAAAGCTCACCTTGTAGACCATCCGGCAATAATGAGGATAGTTTCCTAAGGATGCTTATTACCCATTGTTTGACATGTGCATGGTCACTCCACTCCTGGTCATTCTTGTAGATTTCTCCTAGGAATGTGATGGCATCTTGCCGAGTATCCATACTCCACTGCGTATCAGCTGCAATCTGCCCTAGTCTTTGACATAACCCCCATTGGAACGCTGCATCATTTCGACAGGATGCTTCACACACAAGAGTCTTGAACTTGGTGAACTCGCCTGTCT